TTCTATATATGCTGCCGAGAAAAAAAATGTATATATATTGTGTGTGTGAGAGAGAGAAAGAAAAAAATGTAAATTTATTCCATCTTTCTTGGAGCAAAATTCCCCAATAGGCCAGTTTAAGTAGCAAGAATAGAAATTTAATACACATAATTACTTAGGCAAGAAGGCTACAGACAGTGAGGCAACCCAGACATTAATGACATTAATAACATGTCAGAGGAACAAAGGGAGACCAGGAGTTGTTCATTCAAAGAAGAACTACATAGTTGCACAGCTTACATTTGGACTATCTATCCTTAGGCACTGCTTTGAACTTCCTGTCTTAACTAATCTACTGGGTCCTGCACTACCTGCACCCTTCCAGCTGCTGCTGTGGTGACATCCCTCCAGGCTGGGTGCATGATTCCATCCCCTGAAAGCCACTGTCTGGGCTTTCTGTGCTCTTCTATCACTTGAATTAGAACATTGCATTACCAACTATGAGATCTGTCATTTCTAGCAGCTAAGGGGCTGGGCAATCCACCTTGCACAAATGGTGGTGGGAGACAGTAGTTACATTTTTTCTTTTCAGCTCCCTCTTAGATTTTGGTAGACTTTGCTGTAGGCTACTCTACATATGAGAAACTCTATATAGCCTGAGATCATGTGGCTCATGTTTGTAATCTTAGCTATTTGGGAGGCTGAGATTGAGAGCATCATAGTTCTGGTTCAGACCAGCCTGAGGAGAAAAGGTCATGAGACCATCATCTCAATAAAAAAAAGCTAGACATGGTGGCATGTGCCTATCACTCAGCTAGGCAGAAAGCACAGGGACTGCATTCTAAGTTGGGCTAGGTAAGAAATGAGACCCTAGCCGGGCGCTGGTGGCTCACGCCTGTAATCCTAGCTACTCAGGAGGCTGAGATCTGAGGATCGCGGTAAAGCCAGCCCGGGCAGGAGAGACCGTGAGACTCCTATCTCCAATAAACCACCAGAAAACCGGAAGTGGCCCTGTAGCTCAAGTGGTAGAGCGCTGGCCTTGAGCTGAAGAGCTGAGGGACAGCGCCCAGCCCATAGTTCAGGCCCCACAACTGACAAAAAAAAAAAAAGAAATGAGACCCTACTCAGAACATAATTAAAGCAAAAAGGGTGGAGGGCATGGCTCAAGTGGTAGAATTCTTGTCCAGCAAGTGCAGAGCCCTGTGTTCAAAATTTTAGTACTAAAAAAGTCTCTATAACCTGAAGGGAGATACTTCACCTAACTGAGCCACTGGATGTACTGCTTGATGATTCATTGGCCACTATATATTCTTGCAGTCTATCTCCCTCATTCCCTTTTCCATCTTTCTTATAATTCACTGGAATTACAACAGCATATAAAATACAAAATGCTAGCATTTGCCATTTCCTCAAACGGTTTTTGAAAAAAAGTTTGAATTAATTAATTATTATTATTTATCTTTTTTTTAGGAACCTCAAGTCAACAAAATAAGAATGTAGTTAAAAAAGGGATCCAAGGGCTGGAATTTTATAATTGAATGGTCCACCTGCTTGAAGGGCAACAAGGACTCAATTGTTTTAGGGCATAAGGTATGAATCAAAAGGCAGAGTGCCTCTTTTTCAGCTTGGGGAATCAGCAGGGTAGACTTTGCCAAAAACCAGGCCTGGAATATAGCAAATATCCTAAGTATGGGCCCAGAAACATAAAGTAGAGATTTACATGTACATAAGCCTAAGAAGTCAGCGTTGCTGAATTCCTTTGTGCCTTCCATCTTTCAGAAAGAGTCCCTAACCACTTGCTAGAGAAAAACAATTTCTTCTTGCCTGGAGGAACACACAATGACCTAATCTGAAGCAGGTGCCTTTCAAGATGAGGCTTGTTTTTTCTAAACATACCCCCAACGTACTTGATTGCCTTCTGGCTGAAAAGCAAAGTCAGGTTTAAGCACAGCCTGAGCAGGAAATTACAAGTTCTATTCTGAGAAGAAATAAACCACATGCCAAAGGAATTTCAGGATCCAGCTAATAAAGGGTAGCTGGAAGCAGGGGAAGATGCATAGGAGAACATCATGAATACAGAAGTCCTCCATTATCCATAATATTGCTTGATTAGAAAGGAGACAATATTTAACAGAATCCCAACACTGAATTAATCTCTCTCTCTCTCTCTCTCTCTGGTGCTGGGGCTTGAATTCAGAACCTGGGTGCTGTCCCTGAACTGCTCTGCTCAAGGATAAGTGCTCAATCACCTGAGCGCTTACAGGTTCACCTCTGGTATTTTGGTGGTTAACTGGAGCCCCTTTAGTAGCTAGGATTATAGGCATGAGCTACTGGTGCCTATATGACACTTAAAAACCATTATAACAAACGCCACAGAATGCCTTTTAATTGTGGTTAGCTATAGGGAATGTGTGGGCTCATCCATGCATCATGTGGACACATTACAGAAATGGTTACATTTAACTGAATGAATGGATGAACAGTTTCTATGTCTACATTTTAGGAGACGAGGTGGGCAAGAAAAATTTTTGTGCTTTTTTTCTTTGTAAGGATCTACATCTATTTGGGACAGTTCAAGTAATTAACAACTAAATTACCAACCTTATTTATTATTTAAATTACTAAACTTATTTGTTATTTCTCTACCAGTAACTTCAGATAAAAAGAATCTTGAATGGGCAAAAAAATAAAAGGATCCTTGCAGCCTGCCAAGGCATTAATAATAAGAAATAGCAATTTACATTATTTATAAGGAAGCTATTTACATTACTTAGCCCTGTCAGACACAGTAGTTGCCTCACTCCATTCTTTCATTATAGAGGAAAGAATAAAGCAAAGTGACAAGCAAATAGAAGAGATATTATAATGGCTGCATCTTATTATAAGAAAAATAACATTGCTAACACATTAAAGATGCCTCAAATATAATTGGAACTGTGCAAATGGAAACTTCCACCTCACCAGGATGATGATTCAGAATCTAACACCTATTAGTATTCAGCTTCCAAAAACTAATGCAAGTTAAGCATTGTCAACTTAAGTATGTAAAAGGAGGAAGATGACTAAGATGTAATGTTTCATAATTCAAGTATTTGAATTTAATTAGTCACATTTCTTTTACCCCTGACTTTGAAATCTGAATACTACAAGAAAGGTCATTTGTGAGAACAAGCAGACCACAGGGCAGAAAAATCCTACTTCGTTTTCTTTTTCTTTCCTCTTCTCTGCCCACTTTAACTTAATTGAATCCTGCTATTTCACTTTCATCAATATAATAGATAGTTCTCAATAGCAAGCTGTACTAGCTTTTGATTCTGAAGTGGACAAGTCTGGCATATATCAAAAAATAAGAGGAAGATGAGAATAAGACAGTTCACCAAGCTGAACTCTCAAAAATGTCTATCAATACTTTTTTTTTTGGGTAAATGTCCAAGGATGAATTTTTCCCCATTAGATCTAAATTCTCTAAGTTCTTTATTTTTAACTACTCACCTAGAGATAAGATAGAGTCTTTAAAAAATACATTTTGCTTCCAGCTCTTGGAAGCAGAGGCAGGAGGATCCTGAATTTGAGGGCAGATGCGGCTATGTAGCAAGATCCTAAAACACTGTCTCAAAAAAAGTACTATATTTATCATAATATCCTAATTTAGAGAACTAGACTCCAACAGTGAGGCATCATTGCATTTTACTGCTTTGATAGGGAGGTTTTGTGGTCAGAATTACTTGTCTTGATGAGAAAAATTGCTGGCATCTTCCTTCAAAAATGATTGGGGTACAGTCCACATCACATATTAGCCTTATAAATTAGGATAGGCCCACAAAACCTCCAAAAAATTAGGTCAGGACTGAAAGAAATCAGGCTGTGGGCTAATAAGCTTCTTAATGGGAGGCTAGGGCATTAAGACCACCGTCTTTAGTTTTATGTGTGGAAGAACTGGCTGTTTTTCAGTGTTAAGGACCTTTTTTTTTTTTTTTTGAAGAGCCAGCTTTGTTTCTTCTCTTAATTTTATAAGGAATGCAGATTATTAGTTAAAACTTAAAACATACAGTAATAAATTTGACTCTGGGGCTCATGATATGCAGGGAAAGAACAACTTTCTTTGTCACTAAGTATTTTCCTTAAGGCCTGTAGATTGTCTATTAGGAATAAAGTCTCTTAAGATCCCTGTTTAAAAATGCAAAAATATCCCGAGAGTTAACACTTCAAGTCATTAGTATGTATAAATGTTAAATTGTTAAGGTTGAGTAAAATGGACACTAATAAGATTGAATTGCACATAAATAAAAAATCATAGTTATTAGAGGCACAGACTTCATTTCATATTGCACACACAGAACTGAATGTATAAATGGAAGCAAATGGATCAGTGGAAGGTACTAGATTGTTAAACTTCTTGTCCTAGACTTTCCTAATTTCGATTTTGAAGCTTCATTTGGGAGGGCTTATTACGGTAATCAATACAAATTATTTTTTCTGATTCTGGGGTTTGGAGTCACAAGATTGGCAAATGGTCTGACCTTGTGGTTTTACTGACCTTGGTCAAATTATTTGTCCTCCCTAAACTTTGGTATCCTGCACAGTGACACACTTAAGATACTAACAGTACCCGGGATTGTGGAGTGGCTACGAGGAGCAAATGAGATCAAAGATCTTGAGACTAAGTTTCAAGTGCTTAGAGCAATGCCTAGCATTGTTAAATACCACTAGGGTTCAAATGTGGTTAAAAAAATAGGGAGAAGTAAAGCATAGCCTGGATTTGTGATGGTAAATTTTCAGCTCCAGTCCTCGCTGCTTTGTCTGTTCAGAACCTTCTGGCATTTTGATTTCTTCAGAAGTGCCACTTGGACAACATGACAACCTCCAGAGCATCCTTCTAGCCTGGTTTTGTTCTTCCTCTGCACGGTAGGGGTCGCTGTGTTTGCCGGAAAGCGCTCGGGCTGCTTGGTTGCTACGAGACCGTCGCCAGGCAACCGCGTGTATATACACACACGCTCCGGCCGGGCGGTGGTGGCTTCAACATGGCGGCGTCCGGCACCTTGATGAGCTCTCCGTCCGATGACTCTCCCTCGACATCATCGCCACCGGAGCTTCCACCGACCCCACCACCGACCATCACGGTCCCGCTAAAGTCACCCCAGGAGTCCAAGGTCTGCTGGAGTCCGCTGCTTCGCTGGACGTGTCCTGAGGAGAAGCTGCCCATTGCCGCGTTTTACGGGCCGTTGGACGCTAAAAACCCTCTGCTGGCCTCCTTCGAGAAGGAGATTCGGGAGTTGTTAGGTTTTATGAGGAAAAAGAAGGCGCTGGCGACGACGGAGGAACCGAAGCCCGAGTTCCGGCGACGTTGGTAAGCAGAGGTAGGGCGCCGGGGCGGGCGCCGGCTGGTGGAGGGCCTGCGGCGGCGGCGGCGGCCGGCGGCCCGGGGGGCTGGCGGGAGCGCGGTCGGCCTGCTGGGTGCTGGCCGGGCCTGGCCCGACCCGACCCGACCCGACCCGACCCGACCCGGCCTGACCTGACCCGAGGGCCTCGGACAAACCAAGTTCCAGAAGTGGAGATTCGTCGCTACGAGATTGGCCGTGATTCGCGGTACTTAACACATCCCAGTTTCCTGCTTAGGTCAAAACAACAACAACAACAACAACAACAATAAAATTTCATTAACTCCTGTTTGTTCTGAGTTTTCTCCTCATAGCTACTCCAGGTGAATTGTTTTATGGTGTCTTCAGTGGGGTTCACAGCGCCGCATTTATTTGGTAAATACACGGTTTGGAATTGGAAGAAGATTCGAGGAATAACTTTGAGATGGTTTAGTTCTTCAAGGAAGTTCGCCCCTCTACATCGATTAGTTGTACAAGGGAGTTTCATTTTGATATGTCCATATGTGCATACAGTGTACTTTGATCAGCCTCATCTCCAGGCCTTGGCTTCCCACCTTCAATCTCAGGAAGCTTCATTGTTTCATTTGTCACACATGTACTCTAGTATTGCATCCTCCTTCGCCTCCTCTGTTCTCCCTTCCTGTTCCAACTAGGACCCACACTCTGGATAGGACTGGTTTCACATTTCAAGAACCTCCTTGATATGAAGTGTGTTATCCTGTGAACATGTGCAGCTTATTATTATATTGCAATTAGGATCACAGAGATTTTTTTCCCTTGATTTTATGACTCATCTGTACGTTTCCCTTTTTTTTTTTTAAAGCTGCCACTGTGCTATTACTGTGAACTGCAAGGTATCTGCTTTTGAGATTCTTTCCTGTTGATGTTACCATCTTTCTTGGTTAAATTCATTGCAAATGAACAATCACAAATGAATATACAATGTGATATACATATCTATGTATATCATCTAACATTTTTCACATATTTAATACTAATTACTAGGTTTAACTTAATATATTACTTATTCACGAATCAAATTATTAAGTACTTTCTGTATATTAGGTACCTTTCTAGAATCTAGGAAAACATCAAGTTAACAAAAAATATAAAAATGTCTAACTTTGACAAGCGCCAATGGCTCATACTTGTCCTAGCTACTTAGGAGGCTGAGATCTGCAGATCATATTTCAAAGTCAGCTAGGGTAGGACAGTCTGTGAGACTCTTATTGCCAATTACAAAACAAACAAACAAACAAAAAACCCCAACAACAAGCAAGAAGTAGAGCTGTGGCTCAAGTGGTAAAGCACTGGTTTTGAGTAAAAAGAAACTCAGTCCCTGAGTTCAAGCCCAGGACCAGAACACATACACTCAAAATCTATCATGACACACACCTTTTAAAAATAATTTTATTGTTAATTATTAAGGTGTTGTCCAGAGGGCTTACCTTTTCATGTTAGGTAATGAGTACATTTCTTTTTTTTGGACAATGTTACCCCTTCCTTTACATTCCCTCAATTTCTCCTCCCTCCATTGCTCACAAGTTACATAGGTCATTTTCCACATAGTGTATAATGAATAGCATGATTACATTTGTTTACCAACTTCTTCCTGTTTGCCCCCACTTGCCTGCCTAAAAGGAAAAGGAAAACCCTAAAACAAAAACAAACATTACCACTACCACCAACAATAACAACAACAACAACAACAACAAAAAACCCATGTTTCTATTTCCTGGAGTCTGTTTGGATAAATAGTATTTTAAATGTTCAGAGACGTTATATCTTTGTGTTCTTCCCCTAAGTGTATCTTCCTTTAATCTGTGTGAATACCTAAAGACCTGTATAGGTTTTCATGTCCAGTTATAGTGTAGATCTAGCTTCCACATAGGAGAGAAAATTTGCTGTTTGTCTTTCTGAGCTTGGCTTACTTCACTGAGCATTTTAGATTTGTTCTATGTCTGACACATATAATCAACCACTAAACAAATATAGAAATATAGAAGCCTCTTGTGTCTATAGATTTGCTTTCTGTGGTTTCAGTTGCATGTGGTCAGCCATAATCTGAAAATATTAATGGAAAATTATAGGAATAAACAGTTTTGAATAGTGTTTTCCTTTTCTGTATCCAACCTGGAATGCAAATCATTCCTTTAACCAGCATATTCATGCTATGCATCAAACATTCTGGCTCATTAGTTACTAGCCATCTTGGTCATCAGATCAACTATCATGGTATCACAGTGCTTAATGATGCCACAGTGAAAGAGTAATGATACTGGCAACTCAAATGTGCCAAAGAGAAGCTATAAGTACTCTCTTTAAATGAAAAAGTCAAGTTCTTAATGAGGAAAGAAAAACTTACATGCAAAGGTTGCTAAGAACCAGGATATAGTAAGATATTTTGAGATAGCTATCACATGCACATACTTTTATATAGCTTATTATTATGTTCAACTTTATTTGTTAATCTCCTATTGTGTCTAATATATGAGAGTGTATGGGCTGGGAAGGTGACTCAGTGGTAGAGTGCTTGCCTTGCATTCATGAGGAACTGGGTTCGATTCCTCAGCACCACATAAGCAGAAAAAACCGGAAGTGGCACTGTGGCTCACGTGGTAGAGCTCTAGCCTTGAGCTGAAGAGCTAAGGGATGGCACCCAGGCCCAGAGTTCAGGCCCCACAACCGACCAAAAAAAAAAAAGTTTATCATAGGTATGTGTGTAAAGGAAAATAGCACAGTATGTGTTGTGTTCAGTGCTGTCTGTGGTTTAGCATATCCACTAAGAAGTCTTAGAATGTATCCTCTGGTATAAGAGAGCATGGCAATAAATACATTTTACAAAGAGATAAATGCTAGAGAGAAAAATAAATTGAACAGTAAAGTTGCAGGACATCAGATTTGAAGTCCAGTTCAAAATGAGGTGACAGGGAGCCAGGTCAGGAAAGAGGAAAGGGGGTCTTTTTGAAAGATGAGGTGCGTAAGCAGTTGATGAGTAGAAGCCACCCAGGGAAACTGGCAAGTATATTGAGGTGGGATTGTGATTGTGGGAAGAGCAGGTTTTGAATAGGAGGATAGTAAATGGAAAGTTTTAATTTTAGATAGTTTGAGATGCAAGTCAACATTCAGGCAGAGCTATGATTAGGCTTTGGGCATTTGAATCTGGAGGTCAGAGGAGACACAGTTTTTTGATCCATCAGTCTATTAATGATATTCGTTATAATACCTGACAAAAATAACTAAGAGAGTGTATGTACATGGAAAAGAGTAAAGGACTGCTCCCAGATTCACAGGTAGGAGAGAAAAGCAATTAGCAGAGACTAAAAAGTAGCCAAGTAGTAGTAGGAAAACTAGTAAGCACACACGGGGGTGGGGGTGGGGGTTACTAGAAACAGAGAGAGAAAGTGTTTCAAAGGGGACAGAACCTTCAAGTCTTATGAATCCTGCTGATGAGCCAGGTTAGAGGGGAACCAAGAATGGACTGAGGAATACAAGTGGAGAATAAGCCTTTTTTAAAAAAAATTTTATTTATTTATTTATTTTTTTTGCTGGTCATGGGGCCTGAACTCAGGGCCTGGGCGTTGTCCCTCAGCTCTTCAGCTCAAGGCTAGCACTCTACCACTTGAGCCACAGCATCACTTCCGGTTTTTTCTGCTTATGTGGTACTGAGGAATTGAACCCAGGGCCTCATGCACGCAAGGCAAGCACTCTACCACTGAGCTACCTTCCCAGCCCAAGAATAAGCCTTTTATACTAGACATGGTGGTGCATACCTGTAATTCAGCAAGCAGGAGCCTGAGGCAGGAAGATTTTGAGTCTTAAGCTAGTTTAGGCTGCATAGGCCCAGTCTCAAACAAAACATAAAGCAAAAATAAAAATAAAAAATAAAGATCAAGAACAGCAAATTACATACCCAACCTATATGTATCCATATTTAAACAAATTGTGTTTAATCCCCATTTTCACTACCAGTAATTCAATACCACCATTTCTCTGCAGCCACTCTTGAATCTCTCCTTCACATAGTAATCAAGGGGGTCATTATAAATACATCATCAACTTTCATCTAAAGCCTTTCCTTTGCTTGCCATTGCTTTTAGAATAAAATTAAGATGCCTGTCTACTTCATGTTGCTGTTCATCCCTTCTCAGAACTTTCCTGAGCCTTTATTTTGCCATCTCCTTTGAAATGTCCGTGAGCTTTTCAGATGTTTGGCTCCTTCATTTCTTCCAGATCTCAGCTCATTTGTTAGAACCTTACAGAGAAAGTTCCTATCTGGTGCAGGTTCACCTATCAATTTGTATTTTTAAATCTGTTTTCTTAGGGTGGGCACCTTGGCTTATTCCTGTAATCCTAGCTACTTGGGAGGCTGAGATCTGAGGAGAATGGTTCAAAGCAAGCCAGGCAGGGCAGGAAAATCTGTGAGACTCTTATCTCCAATTAACCATCAGAAAACCAGGAGTGACACTGTGGCTCAAGTAGTAGAGTGCTCACCTTGAACTGAGCCCCACAACTGACAAAATAAAAATCTTTTCTTGTGTTTTGTCTTTTATTAGCATGTAAGCTCCCTGGTGATCTAGGATAACACATGTCTTCTTCATTGCCCTGTCTCTAGAACCAAGCCTGGAGATTGAGACATAGCAAACAATAGGCATTTGTTATTGGAAAAATTCAAGGGGATAGAGTATCTTTGTATTCTTAATAATTGTGAATATTGTGTACAGAAAAGTAGATCTGGGCCAATTTTTAAGGACAGTATTTGATCCATCTTTTTTTTTTTTTTGGTCGGTAATGGGGCTTGAACTTTGGGCCTGGGCACTGTCCCTCAGCTCTTCAGCTCAAGACTAGTGCTCTACCACTTGGCCCACAGTACAGCCCCTTTTCTGGTTTTCTGGTGGTTAATTGGAGATTAAGAATCTCATGGACGGGGCTGGGAAGGTGGCTCAGTGGTAGAGTGCTTGCCTTGCATGCCTGAGGTCCTGGGTTCGATTCCTCAGCACCACATAAGAAAAAGAAAAAAAAAAGCTGGAAGTGGCGCTGTGGCTCAAGTGGTAGAGCGCTAGCCTTGAGCTGAAGAGCTGAGGGACAGCACCCAAGCCCAGAGTTCAGGCCCCACGACTGGACCCCCCCCCCCCAAAAAAAAAAAAAAAAGAATTTCATGGACTTAAGTGCCAAGGCTGGCTTTGAACTGCAATCCTCAGATCTCAGCCTCCTGAGTAGCTAGGATTACAGGCATGAGCCACCAGTGGCCAGCTTTGTTCCATCTTTAAGATAATCACAAATGTAAAGAATTGACCTAGACCTTAACAATCAAATGTTTCATGAGATTTAGGAAATTAATTTTGTTTATGCAACAGTTTATCTGTGTGCCCTCAATGTGATAGGCACTGCCCTCCCTAGTCACTGATTACACGGAGATGAACAAAATAGATATGGGAATCCATGCACATTGAGCTTGCAGTCTAGTGAAGTAGAGATTGTCAGTGAATGAATCGTTAAATCAACACACAAGCAATTTCTTACTCTTATGGAAAATAGCTGAGCATTTATGTGTGCCACTCATTGTGCTAGGCACAGAAGATGCATCACTGAACTAACTGAAGTCTCTGCCCTCTTGAAGCTTATATTCTAGAGGAGACAACCATGTCATAGGGGTGTACTTTAAGGTAACCTAGAAATTGGTGCTTTCTAGCAAGAAAAAGAAGGAAAGAACTTATGGGGTAGGATATAGTAAGTTGTGTTTTTCAATAAGGTGGTCAGAGTAGATGACACTTGAGCAGAGGCATAAGGATAATAGAATGGCAGCTTGCTTCCAAATGAATGGTAGGGGAGATGACAGAAAGCTAAGATTAGAAGGATGCCCAGGAAATAATTAGGCAAACAGATAAGAGGAGGGAACAAGTGCAGAGGAAAATCCTTGGTAGGCAAGTCCCAGGAACTTTGGAGGAGCACATGGAAGCCCACTTGGCAGAAAGGTGAGGGCAGGTGCAGTGAAGGGAGAAGGGTATGGGGCTGGGAGAGGTTTTAGAGGCACTTTAAAGAGTTTGCATTTATCTCAAATGTAACAAAATCCTTGGGAAGTTTTTGATATGGGATTAACCTTAGACATTTTTTGGGGGGTTTAAAAATATTATTTTGGTGATATTGTCCAAATGGAGCAGGAATGGCACATGGAATGAATTGGGAATTCAGGAGGTAGGAACTGCTTTTATACCATATTTTAAAAATCAAAACTTGTTTCTTCTGACTGTAGGTATTTCCATAGCATTAAAATTCATAGTACCTAAAATATATATTTGATCATATAAGCAATGTCATTAAATAAGAGTATGATTCATATTTTAAAGTATGCTTTAATAAAAGCACATAAGATTCAGAAATGCTTGAACATAATCACATGAAATTTAGGTATTATGCTTATGCAGTTTTAATCTTCTATTTTGGAACTTTCTAAATTTCCTTGAGCAGCTATAATCAATGAGCAATACAAAGCATATTGACATTCTCTTTTAAAATTATTATACACTTCCTATATAGTATGTATTATAAATTTTATGCAAGCCATTCCTAATGAATCTTACTTTGAACTTAGAATTCACTGAACAAATGTTTCATATTATATAATCTCAATTGATTTAATGAAGCTGGTATTTTTCTTCTATGAGTAACAAACCTACTCATCATTATCTCAGCTGGAAGATTTGGAAGAATTATCTAGTTCATCTACATAATTTGAGAATTCCAGCAAGTCTGTATATTTTAAAAATCCATTATATCTATCCTAATATGAAGCATTTTGTAAAGCAGCAAATTAAAGCAAAAAGAAAATACAAAATGAACAAAGAAAATAACTTTTGCTTTTTAAGATTCTAGGGTTTATATTTGCCACATTATTTGGCATTGTCATTTATTATTGGTGCATGTACATATTTTTGTACCCCAAATATCATTAATCAGTCATAAGGGACTATAAAGGACTGATTAATAATAATAAGGGCTACTTTGTCCTTTTGATTTAGTCACTTAATTACCTAAATGAAGTATTGGACATGTTTCTCTAGAGATTGTTTTATTAATATTGTAACATGTACATCACAAGTAGCAGATCTATCTTTAGTAATAAATTTAAAACCCTGTCTATGTTAGTCAGTTTAGGCTATATTAATAAAATACCACAGACTAGATGGGCTTCAACGACAGAAATTTATTTTCTAGTTGTGGTTTGCATCTGGTGGGGGCTTTTCTTGACTTGTTGAAGACTGCTTTGTCTTCACATAGTATTTCTTCTGAGCAAACAGGGAAACAAGTTTTCTGTCATCTCTTTTTGTAAGGACATAATCTCACCAGGATCCTACCTTCATGACCTTATTTAGCTTCCTTAGAGACCCAGTCTCCAAATACAGTCACATGGGGTATTTAGGGTTTCAACAATACATGTAGGTTGGGAGGACACAAACATTTAGTATATAATATACTATTAACTAGGAATTTATGAGATAGGATTGAAAAATATTAAGGGGAATTTAGACTTTCCTAGAAGCATTTACAATTTTCAGGAGAGATGGAAGGAATAAATAAATGTTACCTAAAAGAATAAAATAAGCAATGAAATGTTACCTTGGTAGTGACTAGAAACCACTTTGATACTACTGTATGCTTTGCTTTTGTTTTACTTGTTTACTTTGTTTTACCTTGAATGGGTCCACTGAATATTTGAGCCCATGAGCTCTTCATAGAAAATAATAAAATAATGAGAGAAACATTTCTTCCTAGAAATGTACACTTAATCTGGCTTATGTAACTGTAACCCCTTTGTTCATTACCACTACAACAATAATAAATATGTTAAAAAATGAAAGGGAAATTTTCCCTAATTATTTACTCCATTCAATCTTTCATCAAATATTTATTGAGTACCTACATTTACTATAGGCAGAAGGTCCAGAATCACCAGCACAATATTGAAGAAGAACAAAGTTGGAAGACTGCCTGGGTATAGTAGAACAGGCCTGTAATCCACTCAGGAAGCTGAGACAGAAGCCTCTTGAGTCTGAGGCTACCTAGGGTTACATACTGAAATCCTGTTTCAAAAGAGAAAGCAAAGCAAAGCAAAACAAAATAAAATACAAAGTTGGAGGATTGTTCCTACCCAATTTCAAGAATGTTGTAATAATTGGTGCAAGTAAAGACAATCAAAGTAACATAGAATTTGTATCTGTGTGTTGTGTATTCATAGCTAATCTTTAACAAATGAACAAGCATTGCAGTGGAGAAAAGGTCATCTTTGCAATAAATAGTGCACATTCAAAAAAAAGAATTGAAACACACACCCTATACTCCATAAAATTTAGTCAAAAATCATATATCTAGATGTAATATTCAAATGATAAAATTCCTAGATGATAACAGGAGAAAGTCTAGATGACTTTGGGTTTAGTGATGACTTACTATATACATTACCAAATACCCCATCCATACAAGAAAATTTTGATGTTAGACTTCATTAAAATTAAAGATTTCTGCTTAGTGAAAGGCACTGTAAAGATGACTATATTTGCCAAAGACATATCTAGTAAAGTCTAAGACACTGACAGCACCAAATGCTGACAAAAATGTGGAGCAACAAGAACTCTCATTCATTGCTGGTGGTGATGCAAACCCTGAGTGGAAGACAGTTTAATGTCCCTTTCTGATAAAATAGCATACTCTTAGGACATGAACCAATAATTGTGCTCCTTGGTATTCATACAAAAGTTTAAAAAATGTAGCCGGGCGCTGGTGGCTCATGCCTGTAATCCTAGCTACTCAGGAGGCTGAGATCTGAGGATTGCGGTTCAAAGCCAGCCCGGGCAGGAGAGACCGTGAGACTCCTATCTCCAATAAACCACCAGAAAACCGGAAGTGGCGCTGTAGCTCAAGTGGTAGAGCGCTCGCCTTGAGCTGAAGAGCTGAGGGACAGCGCCCAGGCCCAGAGTTCAAGCCCCATGGCCGACCAAAAAAAAAAAAAGTTTAAAAAATGTGTCTATATAAACCCTGTATATGAAATATTTATAATAGCTTAATTCACAATCAACAAAACTTGGAAACCACCAACATATCTTTCAAAAGACAAATGCAAAAAGCAATTGTGGTACTTCAGACAATGATACTAGTGTTAAAAAGAAATGAGCTGTCAAGCTACAAAAAGACATGCAGGAAACTTAAATGCATATTACTAAATGAAAGAAGCCCATCTAAAAAGGCTATATTGGAAGTGGCACTGTGGCTCAAGTGGTAGAGCACAAGACTTGAGCTGAAGAGTTCAGAGACAACACCCAAGCCGAGAGTTCAAGCCCCATGACTGGCAAAAAAATAATAAAAAATAAAAAGGCTACATTCTGTATAACATTCTGGAAAAGGCAAAAAGTGGAAACAGTAAAAAGATCAAGGTTAACAGATTAAAGAGAAAGGGACAATGAGATGGGAGCATAAAGGAATTTTTAGAGCTGTAAAACTGTTATAAAGATGAGTATGTGTCATTACACATTGGTCCAATCCCATCATATATGCACTATCAAGAGAAAACCCTAATGTAAATCTGTAGGCCTTGGATGATAATGATGTGTCAGTGTTGACTCATCAGTTGTAATAGGATGTACCACTCTGGTGGTGTGAGTATTGATAAAAGGTAAGAGCTATAAGAAACCAACTTGCCTCTTAATTTTGTGTGTACTTAAAACTGCTCTAAAATAGTGCATTTAAAAATGTCTCTAAAAGTTTCACACATAGGAAGCAATAGTACTAATTTTTCCTATAACTATATGATAAATAATTAGGCATTAGCAATAAGGCACATTGAAAAGATAGCACAAATTTTAAAGGCTTGCTTACTAATTAATTGAGGTTTATCACTGACTTTGAAGATGTCATTTTATGTTTTTTTTTTTTTTTTAACAGTGCCACCACTTTGTTTAATATCTGGACCAAATATGCCCCCAGGCTGCCAGCTGACTATTACAATGAAAAGCTTCTGAAGGTTGGAGATAGCCTTTGTCAAATGAAAGTAAGTGCCTCTGGAGCAAAGTGAGCCAAAGGGAAATTCAGCTTGGCTAATTATTATTTGGTCTGATACCCTTTCTACATGACATATTTTGAACTCTTTTTTCTTAAAAAGAAAATGAGGCAGGGTTGAGATTAGGGGTTGTACTGGTGCTTTAGGCCTGTAATCCTAGTTCCTCAAGAGGTTGAGATCTGAGGTTCAAAGCCAGCTGGGACAAGCAAGTCCATGAGACTCTTATCACCAATCAACTACCAAAAAGCTGGAAATAGAGCTGTGCTCAAAGTGGCAGAGCACTAGCTTTGAGCAAAAAAGCTCAGGGACATTGCCCAGGCCCTGAGTTCAAGCCCCAAGGACGGCATAGACACAGACACAGACCACACACAATACATGAATATGTAAAAAGTTTAATGAGGAACAGTAACCAAAAAATGTGCTTGCTTCTTAATGTTGTAGTTGAAATTCTCCGGGGGTGAGCAGTTCCTGCAGGAACCAGAGAAAGCCACTTAGATGCTGAGGGTGTGGTAGGTGCACAGCAGGAAGTGCTGAGTCACCATGTTCCTATCTTATACAAAGGGGCCCCAGACACCACTTCCTGTTGTTTTTGACATGGTTGGCCTTGCACAGCCTGCAGCCCTCGTGGCTTCTGGACTTGCTGTTTTGTTGCCCAGTTTCCAGTGTTCTGTTTTAAATAACTTTCAGCTTCTTCTCAATGGTTTACTGTGTGTGATTTACAGCAGTCATTCCATATATGTCCTGCTTGTTCAGTATATTATATGCCAGACAGAGTCTATGACCTATTTTTAATTCCATATTAAGGTCCAAGTTTTGGAATGTTGTGGATGGGTGGACTTGGTTTGATAAGACCACACCACAGCTGAGTTTTCAGTTGACAATAATGAGTTTTCCCTTTAAGCTCTGGCATAAGTCCAAATTATTCTAAGTTATTTGTAATGTTGGACAGCAAGTTTTTTTTATCCAAAAGAATTCTTGGCCAGACAGAGGCAGCAGTATTCAGTGTTTTCTAAATCTTCAGTGTCTCAGCTTAATTTTCCTCCTTCATTTCTACTTTCATGAATCTGTTAGGTCTGGGAGGCAAATTTACCAAATGGAGGGTAAAATGTGGAAGAACTTTTGTAGGGAAGAACTAAGCTAAGATCTGTTTTTAATGACCAGAATTAGAGACAGCTTTAACTGGGTGAAAATGGACCATGCCCCTTAAAAATACAGGGTTTAGGAAACTAAAGGGGAAAAAATTGTAAGCTATATTCATGTAGAGTGGAGTAACAGCTTTTACAAGAATTAAGAGAGATAGCTTTGTCTGTTCTTAAAGTTCTGCACCTGAGAAGCTGGCAACCTGTAATATAGTGTATAGTTAGAGGATATTGGTGGAGGGAGAAGGCAAGAGCATGCTTGAAGTTGATAAAGCAAGTTGATGAAGGATTCAGAGTACTTTTATAGAAACATCTGGAAAAAAATCTTTTAAAATTTAATTAAAGAGACAAAAAGTTTCATCTACTTTTTGCTGATGTGACAGTTGGAAAGATGGCATTTATAATCCTGGGAATAAACTTGCATTATTTGTGTTGATTTCTAGACTCTATTTTAATTTTTAGTTATAGTAAAGATGATTTTGTAGAGCATGCTTTTTCTTTAACCTATTTGAGTCTATTGTATGAATCCAGTTAGAATGAGAAAGATTCAATATTATTGAGCAAATAACAAAAAGTCAAAAAGAAACAGAACAGTTTTGGAGCGTGGATACCTCTCGAGTGAGGTTGTTCCCACCTAGATCTTAACTTTTCCTAGAGACACAGCTGCTAGGAAGGAAGTAGAGGAAATTGTAAAGGAACTTAGCTTTAACGCATTGCCTGTATTCCCTACCTGAAACTCTCTAGGTCAGCTGTGTCTATGGGTGGCAAGAAATAAAGCATCTGATTGTAGCAAGGCTATACATTTCCCTCAGACCAAATATTGGGTTACTACCATCTGGTGATGTTGGATTTGGGGGCATGGAGTTTGAGTAAACATAGGTTTTGCTATGCCAAAGTGAATATTCCTTTTTTGTTGTTGTTGTTGGTCATGGGGCTTGAACTCTGGACTTGGGTACTATCCCTCAGCATTTCAGCTCAAGGCAAGTGCTCTACTGCTTGAGCCACAGCACCACTTCCGGTTTTCTAGTGGTTTATTGGAGATAAAAGTCTCAAGGACTTTCCTGCCTCAGCTGTCTTTGAACTGTGATCCTCAGATCTCAGCCTCCTGAGTAGCTAGGATGACAGGCTTGAGCCACCATCACCCCGTCAAAGTGAATATTCTTATTTTGTGGTTATGAAGGTCCTATAGCTTGTGGTGGGGACATTTAAATCAAATAATGTCCATAAGCCACACAGTGCCACACCAATGACATAATTTTACACTTTGGTGCAATTAAGAATAATATAAAAATCGTCAAGTAATACTTTGAAACTTTAATCAGGTCTTTTTATTTTAGGAATATAAACTGGCCCTTCTGCAGTGCTATGGAAGGTATCTTCAACAGTTCAGTACCAATTTTGATGAGAATGGAGCAGATGTGAATCAATTCAAAACTATCTTCTTTCCAAAAGGTTTTGGAGATGAAACTTCTGGACTTACAGTAAGATCAAAGAAGCAGCAAAGATAGCTATGGTTTATGTTAGCTCTGTGTTATGCCCTTAAGTTGTCAGCGTCTGACTATCTTCATTGCTTAGCATGGCATCTGGCCACTTGTTCTAAGTCCTTTGACATATAACTTCAGGCATGGTTAAGAAAATGAACTTATTGAAATTTGTGACACTACTTTGGAGATTGTGTCAATATAACCATCCCCTTTACCAGCAGGCACTATTGTTATATGCTCATAGTCTCCACAATAATATTTGTAGAGGCTTTCAGTTTGTAAAATACTTTGGAAAACATAGTTGACTTTTACAATGACCTTAAGAGTTAAATACTATTACTTCCTTGTTTTACAAAAAAGAAAATAAAGCTAATCAGAATGAATGTAAAAAATTAGCTCTTGATTGCAGATGTTTGTCACAAAAATTTTTATAATTGATTTCTAGCCTTTGTGCATTGCTATCATTAGTTCACCAGTTGAGCACTTCCCCTGTGCTAGCTTTGGAAATAAAAGCGTTTATATGAATTATCATAGTCTTAGTATGGTCCTGACTTTTTTTTAAATAGAAGAGTAAAATGAAGTTTACCAGAGATCAAGAAGTCATCCCAGCACCCTCAAAGCCATGGATAGGGCTGGAGCTTGAACTCTAGTAGTCTGATTTAAAATCTGTGTTATTCCAAACTTAATTATTAAAAGTCTTATTCAAAGAACGTATGGTTGGTTGATAAACAGACAACCTCAAGGCATCTTTTGGGGGACGATTGGTGTAACTGCATCATAAGTGCATGAATAAGAATACTAGGCAATGTAGGCTGGTGCTTAACATTGCATTAAATGCAAAAGTCTCTCCAACTTTCCATGTATGTAGTTCTCACTACCACCCACCACAATTCATTTTTCACAAATTATCAGAACTAATTGCAAAAGGACACATGAAAATAGTTTATCCTACTGTCCTTTGACTTTACTCTTTGCCTACAGTCCAGATTTCTTGTAATGACAAAGAACACTTAATGTTCTAATCCTTGGTCACTCCTGTAGTCTTATCTCTCACTGTAAATTTTTTTTAATCCAAATTTACAAAAAGTATTCAGTTCATTGACCATAGCAGCCACATAAGACATCCTTAATACTGCATGTGCTAAGGGTAGAACCATCTATTGCTTATGTCTGAATGCTTCTTGCCTGGCAGAGTGTGAAATGGAGGGGCTCAACTAACAGTTGTTAGGTGAATTATGTAAATGATGATAATCACATCTGAATTAATAGGTTAAAATGCTATTAAATGAATTTTAAAAAATTGATTAAATTCTATATTCTTGGTAATTTTTTTTTCTCAGAGTAGCTTCTGACTAAGGAATGCCAATCTTAACTAATTTAGGATATTTTGAAGAAAACTATCTATGTTTCTTTCTGGATTAATCTATTAAACTCATTAAGCATAATTATTTCCATTTTAGTACTTTACATTTTGAGAGGTGCTTTCCTGAGTTGTGTATATATGTATATTCTAATTTATATTTTCCAATGTATTTCAGTTTCATGCTTTGAGTGGCAGAAGCATTTGCAGCTATGAGCTAGTGTGTGACTCTGATGCAAACCTACAAAACAAGGAGTCTGTGAAGAAGTGTCTGCATGTCTTGTCCTCCCTAAGGCTTATCATGCAGGTGGCTCTCCCACAGGAGCACCTTTGCTGGATTATTTTCAATGGTGGGTACCAGTGTGTTTTGTTTCCTAGTGTATCATTCAGAAAGTTAAATGCTAAGGTTGATGGTAACTTGACAGCCTTGTCTTTTAAAACATACATATTTCATAATAGGATGGCTGGGGTTATTATCATTTTTTAATTTATGTTACATTTTACTTTGTCCTTACAGGTAGGGATTTATTTATGTCAGAGGCGATGGATAATCAGTGTCAGGTATATAAAAACCCAGAAGAAAGATGTGGTGAAACATGCCTGAAATGCCAACATTTAGGAGGCTGAAGCAGGAGGTTAGGGAGTTTGAGGCCAGCTTGGGATTGTTCTGTCTCAAAACAAAACAGACAGCAGGGACCATAGTTGATAGAGTACATAAGATGTAATGACGAAGGACTAACCACTGCAGTGTATTGGTCCTAGGTATTATCCATATGTTAGTTCTCTTCTCTTAGATAGTACCTTTGGTTTTCTACATGGCAAGCTCTCCCCTTTTACTACTTATTTGAGGGAAAGCTCTGATTACTACATGCATGCACATGAGTGCACATGTACTTATACTCACACATTTTAAATGTGTGTAAAGAAATGAATTTTAGCTATAAAATGTAACATCTTTTTCTCTCTCCTAAAGTTGCATTAAGTCACTTACTCTGTTCTTATTTGGGGAATACATTCTTTTTTTGTGGTGCTAAGAATGGTTCAAATATTTTAAATGAAAGATAATAGTGATAGTGTGTTTGATTTGATTAAGACCAGGACAAAATAACTCCAAAGAAAAATACACTAAAGGGGCTGGGAAGGTGGCTCAGTGGTAGAGCGCTTGCCTTGCATGCATGAGGCCCTGGGTTTGATTCCTCAGCACCACATAAGCAAAAAGAAAAAAGCCAGAAGTGGCGCTGTGGCTCAAGTGGTAGAGCGCTAGCCTTGAGCTGAAGAGCTGAGGGACAGCGCCCAGGCCCAGAGTTCAGGCCCCACGACCAGACCAAAAAAAAAAAAAAAAAGAAAGAAAAAAAAGAAAAATACACTAAAATTTCCCTCATTCTATGGCAACTGAAAGTTTATTTCACTTTTTCTTTTCTCACTCACTCCAAATCATGTTTTAGCATTTGTATTGAAATTAAACTTCGTATTGGCTGCTAGAAATGAGGATACTTTTGATGATATTTTTTGATCAGTGAATGTTTTTTTGTGCCTGATCAACCTTCAGGGAATCCTCAATTCCTTTAGTGGCCACTGCCATCTTTCCATCTGAATTGCTTACCTATTTTGGCAAAGGACAGAGAGCAGGAGAAAAGGGCAGTGAGAGGCCTAAGGACTGGGACTTGTGGTTGAGCCTTACTTGAAAGGTAGAAATGGTACATTACAATTCATTTCTTTCAGTCCTTTCATAATCAGATGCATACCAGACCTAATGGTGTTATTTTTAATCCAGAAGAATGAGACAGGAGGCTGGGAAGTTCAAAACTCGTTTAGCCACACAGCAAAGATGAAGCCAACCTAGACTACTTAGCCAAAGAAACAAACAGCAAACTAAAAGAAAAAAAGAAAAAAAATCACACATTTACCAATCCCTAATGTTCTTTGAAAAGAAGAATAAGTTTAAATAATTTTGTATCTTCTTTCTGTAATTTTATTTATTCATATGGTATTGTGCTCTAGACTTTATCTTGTTCCCTATACTATTTTGAGGCTCCTTTATTTAAACTAATTTAACTCTGCTTTCTGATTGTATAGGGGATGGGCACCTGGTCTGTTGCACCTCTCTAATTGCACAAATAATTCTATGAGGAATACCTTTCTACTTGTCCTTTTATAGTCTGGTGTAAGAGTTTTCTGGGATTTATGCCCAGGAATAGGACTGCTGGATTATGGGAGATACACTTATTATACTTTGTTCACCAACTCCTGTCCTTGGGGTAAAACTTTATGAGTAGTTCCTGGAAACCAGGCATTATCTTAGGTGCCAAGGTCACAGGAGAGGGCAACAGGTGAAAACTCTGTTCTCATACTCTTCTTCAGTTGAATCTAGATAGTATCAAGTGACAGTTGAGTGCTGAGGAGAAAAGTAAAGGTACGCAGGGCACAGGGAATACAGAAGCTAGAATGAAGTGGGTTGGAATTTTACATACCATGGTTAGGGGATGCCTTCCAGATGTGACAGTTGAGCAAAGACCTAAAGGAATTTGAGGGGTGAACCACTTGAATATGTAAGAAAGGCTGTTCCAATTAGGGGATTAATAAATGCACAGACCATGCAGTTTTGACAGTTTGACGTTTAAGTAGTCAGTAATTTATATATTTGCAAATTTACCAAAATATATTTGACCTTGTTATTTACTCTGTTTACTTTTTGTTCGTTTGTTTTTATTTTTGAGACAGGGTCTTGAACTCACTGTCTTCTTTTTTTTTTTTTTTTTTGTCATGGGACTTGAACTCTGGGCCTGGGCACTGTCCCCCAGCTCTTCAGCTCAAGGCGAGCGCTCTACCACTTGAGCCACAGCACTATTTCTGGCTTTCTGATGGTTTATTGGAGATAAGAGTCTCACAGACTTTCTTGTCCAGGCTGGCTTTGAACTGCAATCCTCAGATCTCAGCCTCCTGAGTAGCTAGGATTACAGGCGTGAGCCACTGGTACCTGGTGAACTCTTCTTGCCTCAGCTTCCTGAATGTTGGGATTATAGGCATGTGAAAACTACACTCAACTTTTATTTACTTTTTTTTTTTTTGGTTGGTCGTGGGGCCTGAACTCTGGGCCTGGGTGTTGTCCCTCAGCTCTTCAGCTCAAGGTGAGCACTCTACCACTTGAGCCACAGTGCCACTTCTGGCTTTTTCTGCTTATGTGATGCTGAGGAATTGAACCCAGGGCCTCATGCATGCAAGGCAAGCGCTCTACCACTGAGTCACCTTCCCAGCTCCTACTTTTTTTTCTTTAAATTATACTAGAGATTGAACTCAAGGCCTTGAGCTCGTTAGGCAGGCACTATACTACTTGAGCCATGCTTCCAGCCCCTTTTCATGCCTGAGTTTAGGCTTTGATTCTTCTGTTTGTACCTTTCCATGTTGCTGGGGATGACAGGCAGGGCCCACTGTTGCTAGCCATTGTGCTTTCCTTTAAGTTGGGATGGCATTGGTGGAGATGGTGACTCCCAGACTTAAGCCTTAGTTGACAACCTCCATTCCTTATCTCTGCCTCTCAAGTAGCCATGATTACAGGCTTTAGCTACCATGCCCAGCAAGCTACCTCACTTACCTTTGTATCAGCTTGGTGCTATTACACATGTATACCCTTGGTTTTGTAAGATATTTAACCAATCTTTATTCTTTCTGAAATCTAAGCAGGTATATGAATATTGGATAACAACTCAGTTTTCAGCTAATCTGAATCTTAATTTAGACTCTCAGGTTTATTTTGATGGTGGTTATCTCTGATGAAAAGGAGTCACATCATCAGACCATAAAGTCATATTTGGCTCAAAGCAAAATTAAATTGACTTCTAAAGATCACATGGAATTCAGTCTATGTCCATTTGTCACCATTTAACTTTCTCTTTCTGGCTTTTAGTGGGAATTTGGAAACTATACCAAAATCCAGCAATCAATCTTTTCTTCCTCCTGCTCCTGCTCCTGCTCCTGCTCCTCTTCCTCCTCCTCTTCCTCCTCCTCCTCTTTTTCTCCTCCTCCTCCTTTTCCTCTTTCTTCTTCCTCTTCCTCTTCTTTTTTTGCCAGTTCTGGGGCTTGAATGCAAGGCCTGGTCAATGTCCCTAAGCTGCTGCTTCTATTTTTTTGGTCGGGTGTGGGGCTTGAACTCTGGGCTTGGGTACTGTCCCTGCACTCTTCAGCTCAAGGTGAACACTCTACTGCTTGAGCCACAGGGCCACTTCTGGTTTTCTAGTGGTTTATTAGAGATAAGAATCTCAAGGCTTTGAACCGTGATCCTCAGATCTCAGCCTCCTGAGTAGCCACTGGTGCCTGGCTCCATCCCTAAGCTTCTTTTGCTCAAGGTTAGCACTTTACTACTTGAGCCACAGTGCCATTTCTGGCTTTTTCTGTTTATGTGATACTGAGGAATCGAGCCCAGGGCTTCATGCATGCTAGGCAAGCAATCTGCCACTAAGCCATATTCCCAGCTCAAATCCTGCATTTTCAAAGAAAGTTTTAGTAGTAACTGGGATGCATTAGGGCTGGCAGGGTGAGAGGCATATTTTTGAAATACAGAGGGCCCTTATGATTTTGAGGAAAATCTCCGGGGGATATAAATTCCCCAGTTCCCTGTAACTGACATGTTTATTCAGGTTCCTGGCTCTCACCTGAATCACATGTTTGCAGGGAGGCATGTGTCTCCTGCACATATCTTTATGACTTTTTTCTTCCTACAAAGAAGCACAGTTGCACAATTTTATTTTTATTTTTAAAGACTTAAAGTAGAGGTCAGCAAATCCAAGCTGGGATGAATTTACAAAGCCAGTGTGTGAGAAGGGAAGTGAGCAGTAGCATGTCACAGCCACAGTCCCACTGGAATGTAGAGTTCCTTCGTGGCAAGGACTATTGTATTCTCGGTGAAGTTTGAGGTATTTGAAGTATGCGAGATTTTACTCAATATTTTGGTTGCTAGTTTGTGTAATTAATGTTTATTATGCTTCAGGTGTGCTTTAATCAGGGCATATGTTTTGGAGCAGATGCTGTTTTCTTAGACGCTTTGAAAGTTGAAACAGGAACAGAAGATTTATAATCGTTGAATTTTCATGCTTATGAATTTTAATCAGATATTTTGTAGAAAATATTTAGACTACTTGTCATTATAATTACATGCCTTTTTAACCGATGTCACCATGTCCATAGCATGGTAGTGTCCTAGTTTTACAGACAAAGGTAGGCTGATGGTCTCCACTCCTCCCTTCTCCCTGGCCACCAGCTTTCTCTCTCTTCACTTAACTAATGACTTGATACAAAGTCATACTTTCATGAAATGTTGGTTGTTTTTTATTAGGTTGTCAATAGGACCTTTTTTTAAAAAAAATTTTGGTGCTGTTGCTGGGTCTTGAACATGGGGCCTGGGTGTTGATCTTGAGTTTTTGTAACTACCACTTGAGCCACAGCTCTCCCTCTGGATTTTTGTTGGTTAAGTGGAGGTAAGAGTCTCATGGATTTTCCTGCCTAGGCTGGCTTTGAATCCTTAGATCTCAGCCTCTTGAATGGCTAAGATTACCCTCATGAGCCACTAGTGCCCAGCAGGGCCTATCTTAATAATGGGATTAAATGTTATATATGACAGTAAAGAATTATAGTACAAATCTGTTATATATTGAGTTTCAAATTATTGTTTTCTTGTTGAGTATGGTGCCAAGCTAATTAAATATATATTCAGACCTTATTTGGAGATAAATATTTCATTTTTTACCCATCAGGATGCCACAAGAGATGAAAGCATTTTACATGAATTAATAAACATTGCAGGCACATAAATTATACCACTAAAATATTCTTATGTTCAATTTATTTCAAAAGTTAAATTGACTTTTAAATGAGACTAAAAGATTCCTATGTTAATATATCTAAAATATGACTGTATTTGTTATTTTTAATGATTTTATTCATAAGTGTCAAAAATTTTAGTGACTATAACATTTTATCATCATAAGAATTTCTCATGAGATTATTTGTTTTGGAAACTACAGACTTTAACAGCAGAAAGAAATATAGTTTCTTCATATAGTTTCTTCATTTGAGTGTAAAACATGTTAACAATCTTTGTCTCCACTAGGTACCATTTATATTTACACCATTTGCCGAAAACTGATGATCATGGGCCAGGCTTCCCAGGTATGAAATGTACTAAGAAGAGATCTCCTTCATATTTCCTGCTTGCTTACCTTTAGAGTTTTGTTATACCATATGGTGGATGTTAAAAGACTGCTTAGTGATATCTATCAAAATTGGTGAATATATATCATATAGTTTTATTGGTCTTAGTTTTACTTTAATATAGGAATCATATGTAAGAATGTGGATAATAAAGTATTAAAGAGAAGAAAGAGAAGTTCTAAAAAGGATAGTATTATCCAGTGTCCTCTATTGCCAGAGTCATTTTATATGGAACATCTGTCTAGTTCTCTGTCTCTAGGTAATGAATAAATGAAATCATCTTGCTCCTGGAGTAGTTGTTGTTATTGTTACTATTATTACCATTTGACATTACTGAGGATTAAGCTGAGAGCCCTTGCTAGATAAGCACTCTACCATTTCAGCCATATCCCAGTCCTTTACTATTAGTTTGCTTCCTCAAACTCTTGCTCTTTTGCATAGGCAGACCTCAGACCACAATCTTCCTATATCTACTTCTTCAGCGGCTGAGATTATAGGCATGTATCACCATACTCAAATCTCTTTTTTTCTCTTAAAAGTGTCCTAGTTTAGATGATAAACTGTGGTTGTCCTATTTATGCTACGAAGTTCCTGGACTTATAGTTCACACGCTATTTGAATAAACAAATACCCAAACTCGAATTCATTTATATGTTATATGCAAAGAGACTGTAATAAGATTCCCACTTACTTGTACTCACTGCTTAGTTTTAGCTTGAGGAAGTCATTGACATGTCTGTTGGTAACCCTACAATGTTGATGTAGCATTTTTATCAGTAGGACATGTATTTATTTTCTGTGTTCATTTTTCAGTCATTGAAATATAGGCCAAAAGAGCAAAGATATTCCCACTAAGACCCTGCTTGAGTTGTTGGCATTTGAAATATTGCTCCTTTATTCCATGTGTAAGCTTACTTTGAACATTAGAACACTCAGGAGAGATTTTTTTTAAGTTTTCTTTTTTTCTGTCTGAGACCAGGACTCAAACTTGGTCACTGGCTAGTGCTGTACCACTTGAGCCCTGCCTCTAGCCCCTTTATATTCTTCCTATTTCCTCAAGGCATAGACAAATATCTTAATAGCTAAAAACACCTAAAAAAAAAAGATGGGAGCAAAGGTATTTGTATGCTTCGTGGATAACATTGTTTCTAGTTTCTCTTCATGTTTTGTTCTTCAAATTAAAACAAAACAATTACTAACCTGACTAATAAACTCTGAGTCAGCACTTTGAGTGTGAATTAAATGAAAGAAAGACTGTTCCACATATAACATAAATTTGGCCTACAGTCTGTTCCGAGGATTCTACATTTAGTTCCAGTTGACTTCCTAAGAAGAATGTACATCCTCTTGTTGTAATTTCTGTAACAACAAATATAGCTTCACACAAGCTTCAGGGTTTGGTCTGCTACAGTGTTTGCTTGCCAGAGCTTTGAAGGACAGAGATGTCTGTGCCAACATTTAGCTGTTAGCATTGGTACTTGTTAACGCTGAGAGAATTTTAACCTAATGTGATAGTTATCTTAAAATATTTTCTCATTTATAACCTTTGTGAGATATTTCCCTTCCCTCTATGTAACTTGAGTTTGTTTCTGATAAGATAAGTGGCGAAAGAGGATGGGTGTATGTCCAAGTCTTGTGGGAGGGAAGAGGAGGGAATGAGAGATCCAAGAATTTTGGAATGGTGAGTGGTTACAGTTGGCACTTGAAGATCAGGATGAAATTCTTCCAGTTTGTTCAGTATAATGCATTTCAAAGGACTTAGTTTTTATTAGGAATTTCTACAACCCCAGCTGGCAAATTGATTCCTAAGCTGAGGCTGTAAATAGCCTTGTTGGTTCCATATAATGGAGACAAACTCTTGGAGGTTTTACCACATTTGACTCCTGGATCTTAGGTACCAAGAGTTGTAGTGACTTTGGAGCTCAAGTTTACAGCTTAAGATGAGGAGAAATAGAACTGGGATCTGAAGGTAATTCCTAATGTCACATCAGACCACAATCACTCTCATCACCATTGTCATAATCATTATTTGTTGATTTACCAGATATTCTTTGAAGCATATCATGAATGAGCTCGTATGACCCCTTTGTGAAAGGCACTTTTATGACCTCTAGCTTAGAGATGCAGTGACAGGTCTAATTAGAGGTGTCCTGAATCAATGTCATACTCTACTACCTCTCAAGGCCATTACAATAATGTAAATCTATTGACCAAAATAAAAACTTGTCACCATTTATACTATTTTGGTTCACCTACTCAAGTAGAGCTACGAAATATGACATATTTCATACATATTTCATACTGTATGAAATATGATATATAATATGACCCTGTATTTGTAAAAAGAACCTGAAGACCTCAACTGACCCAGGGCTTTTTGTCAGATGGACTTACTGTAGTGCCAAAGCAGGTCAGAAACTTAAGTTTAAGGAAACTGGGAGGTCAGATTTCAGAAACCACTTTTCCTAAACACAGATGACAACTTTGCTTTTGCTTGTGGAACAATCTGTTTTCTGTTTCCCTGTGGCATTTTGAACTGCAGAACATAAGTATTTGGCAACCATGAAAGAATACAGTAGAAAGTAGTCATTCTAAGAACATTTTATTTGTGCTCATTGATGAAATGGCTTCGGTATCATTTTCCTCAAATGACAGCCTGCTATAAGTGGAGCTGCAGTGCCATCCTGTGGCTATGATCATTTATTGTGTGCTGCTATGTGGGGCCCATATTTTAGATTTGGAATATGGAATCAGTTTGCTTTTTCAATCTCTCCCCCACCTCCTACCACAGGGTTTGAGCTCAAGGCCTGTGCTTCCTAGGCAAGTGTTGTACCACTTGAGCCACTACCCGAGCCCTTTGTGCTTTTTAGCTTGTTTTAGGTAAGGTCTTCAATTTTTCTTTCAGTCAGCCTCAGAAGGCAACCTACCTAGTTATATCTCCTGAGTAGTTGGGATTATAAGTTTGAACCACCATATCTGGCATTCAAGGTGTTTTTTTTCCCTATGAAGAGAATGGACCTGCTGCATCTCAACAATGCTTCCTTCCTTCCTTCCTTCCTTCCTTCCTTCCTTCCTTCCTTCCTTCCTTCCTTCCTTCCTTCCTTCCTTCCTTCCTTCCTTCCTTCCTTTTCTTTCTTGTTGGTCGTGGGGCTTGAACTCTGGGCTTGGGCGCTGTCCCTGTGCTCTTCAGCTCAAGGTGAGCACTCTACCGCTTGAGCCACAGCACCGGTTTTCAAGTGGTTTATTGGAGATAAGAGACTCACGGACTTTTCTGCCCAGGCTGGCTTTGAACTGTGATCCTCAGATCTCAGCCTCTTGAGTAGCTAGGATTACAGGCATGAGCCACCGGTGCCGGGCAACAATGCTTCCTTTTTTTTGGGGGGGGGGTCCAGTTGTGGGGCCTGAACTCTGGGCCTGGGTGCTGTCCCTCAGCTTTTCAGCTTAAGGCTAGCACCCTACTTGAGCCAAGCGCCACTTCCGGCTTTTTTTTTTTCTTTTTTGCTTATGTGGTGCTGAGGAATAGAACCCAGGGCCTCAGGCATGCAAGGCAAGCGCTCTACCACTGAGCTACCTTCCCAGCCCCAACAATGCTTTCTTAATAGAAATATTTATTTCCAGCTTTTAGAGATAAGAAAAATAGCACAACTTGAGTCATTTCTGGAAATGAGTTTTTATCCTTAAGCCTGAAAGACTTTTTTTTAGGACCCTAACTGGTTTTGGCTCACTTCTTTTTGTCATGTGTGTAGTGGAAAGAATTCTGGGTGTGGGAGATGAACCAGCCTCATCTCTATTGTTTAGAAGGAGATTTAGCCTTTTGGAGTTAGATTAGATTAAATATAAGATTCTTCCTGGCATGAAAAAATCTGTGGTTTTCTTTAATTCTAACTCTAGAGGCAAACTCAAATACAATGTGAACCACTGGTATCTGAAGCTGTTTTTATTTTGAAATGTGCAGTTTCTATTACCAGGAGTCCTGAGGGATTTGAGGAAGACATGTGAATTTAAAGGAGAAATTAATACATGGCTTAATTCTATAATCGATCCAAATGCAAAAATTTTTTTAAAAAGGGGGCATTGTCAAGGAACAGTAGATGTGAAGAAAACTCACTCTTCTTTTTTCGTTAGCATATATTACTTGTACAAAGTGATAATTTCATTGTGACATTTACACACATGTATAAATCTATTCTAATCAAACTTACCCCATCACTCTTCCTTACCCTCCATCTCTCTTAAAACAGTATCATAGATTTCATTGGTCTATTTTCATACATGAAAACAAACTACTTTAACCTTATTTATATTCATTCTCCTTTTTATATCAGTTTTCTCCCATTATTACCCTATCCCTTGCCACAACAGACCTACTGACCATCAACTTCCTATTAATTCACAAGGCTAGAAAACAATGATAAAAGCAGCAATAACAAAAATCCAAGGTAGTACAGTGTTCAGAATCAGGACTAAGAGTATTCGCTGTCACTCTGAGCACATACTCAGATGGAACATGGACAACTTAAGAGTGAGGCTCATAAGACCAGCCACATTGTTAACAGGAAGTGCAGTTCTGTGAGGTCTAGAAGCACAATATAGTTTCAAAATCACACATGTGAGTACATTAATGCAATGCCCGTGGGTCACAAAGTGAACATCTTCAATCTGGAAATACAAAACGCTACAAAATCTGAACCATTTTGAGTACCAGCATGAAGCCACAGTGGGAAATTTCACATCTCATCTCATGTGACAGGTCAGAGTCAAAATACATAAAACATTATATGAGATGCTAAAATGTTATATGAAATTTATCTTCAGGTTACATGTATGTGTATATATAGAACATAAAATGAATATTGTGTTTAGCCTTTTATTCCCAAACTATTATTTTGTGGAAATATTCCAAAATCAGAAAAAATTCTAAGTCCAAAACAATTTTAGATCCAAACACTTTGGGAAGAAATGTTCAACCTGTATATATATGTAAAAATTCATGTGGATAATGTATCTTCAAGTATAATACAGTTACAGTAGAGGTGGAAATAGGGTGATGCTCAGTTCTCTCTAGGGACATTAGAAGACTACAGTCTTCCTCAACACATAATTTTCTTCTTCCCATTCCTCTCTTCTCTCTTCTGTTCCTCTACCACCTCCTTCCCTTCTTCCTTGTTTTTCTTCTTTGTCATTGTTAAAAGTATCATTTCTCATGTGCCAGCTATTGTTCTAAGCATGATTCACTCATTAACTCATCCTCAAACAACCTTGTTTTTCAGATGAACTTTGAGGTTCATGGAGTTAAGTAAATTGTCCAAACCAACCACTACTATTAGCAGTGGAGGTAGGTTTTCAGTTTAGTTTTATAGGACAGATGCAGAGAGAGAGTGTTATAGCGATAGATTACAGTAAGTCAAAGCACACATCTGGATAAGATTCCACACATCTGTGGAATAGAAAGTCCTCTGACATATGCAGGGTCAAAAGGAAGGGTAGTAACAAGGTCATGGTGGGTCTTTGCATGCTTTAACAAAGGGTTGTACTTTATCACACAAGCAATATGGAGCCAGGGATACAGGTGGACCCATTGCAACAATGAGATGTACAAGTCGTTATGGCGAAAAACGAACTTAACAACTTTGGTGGGGGGGTGGGGAGAGGATCGGGTGGGGGGAGGGGAGGAGTATGGGAAGGGATGGGAAGGGGAAACAAGGAGGAGATAACAATGCTTGATAAGAAATGTACTCGTTATCTTGCCCAGGTAATTGTAACTCCTCTGTATGGTATTCTCACAATAAAAAAAAAAAAAAAAAGAAGTGACTTAAGCACAAGAGTGCTACAACCTGATTCCTGTTTTAGAAAGGTAACCATAAGGGTGAAGGGGAGGTATGAGGAGGTATAGAAGAAAAGGAGGGTGGTGAAAGCAAAGAAGAGGAGCAAGTGAGTTGGCTTAGCAGGCTAGGGAGACACATGAGAACATATTTGGTTGGGGCTGTTTTAGCCATTAATAGAACTTAGAATTTGACATTCAAAAACATTTATCCCACCTTTGTTGTGTTTTATTCCCTCCCTCCCTCCCTCCCTCCCTCCCTTCCTCCCTCCCTTCCTTCCTTCCTTCCTTCCTTCCTGGCTTGAACTCAGGGTCTGGGTACTGTCCCTGAGCTCTTTTGCTCAAGGCAAGTACTCTACCACTTTGAGCCACAGCTCCATTTCCAGTTTTCTGGTGGTTAGTTGGAGATAAGAGGCGTGCTGACTTTTCTGCCTGGGCTGGCTTCGAATCGAGATCCTCAGATCTCAATCTTCTGAGTAGCTAAGATTACAGACATGAGCCACCAACGATGATGTGATTCTTACAATAATATGCAGATCATATGTGTGGCATATTCATCAATTGAAAAGCAATATAATACAAATAATTTTTGATCTTTGGAATGTTTTCAAAGGAAAAAAATTAAAAACTTACTTGCAGAATACATCTAGCCAAGTAGTGTTTTACTGTCTATGGCTTGAGAGAAGAATAGATTAAAAAAACAGAAAAACCAATGGATTTGTGGGGAAAAGCCATCCAAGAGGAGAGTAGCTATTAATCTGTTCCTACAGACAGAGTAATAATGGCACGATCCTTCTCCTTGTTTAATTGTTCCTTGAAAATCTCTCTCCTGTTTACAACCATAGCCTGGGAATAAACACCATATTCAGTGTGCTTACAGTGTGCCAAATACCATTTTAGCATATCACATATATCATCTCTTTCTCCATAGCAACACTGCTGTGATGGGGTAAGATATCTACTATACAGATGAGAAAATTGAGGTCTAAAGGGACTCTGAAATGGAACTTTTGAAACATGATTTTATTTGATTTGAATCTTTGTTTCTAAGACAAAGTAATCCTTTTCCATTTCCCCCACCCTCCTATACCAGAATAACACAGTGGCCAACTAGTAACCATCGTGTCATTGGCATTAGGTCCTAGGCATCTGTTAGCATTTGATAAATATGAATAAAAATGAGCTGAGTTCACAGAGTGACTTTCAGATCCAAGAAGATGCTCTAAAAAGGCTAATTTGAAATTTAAAATTCTCTCAATTATTTTTTACTTTAAAATATTAATTTTCTCTTGACTTAGAATTTGATGATATTGAATAGAGTCACCATTGCTAGCTTAAGAAATGAACATACATTTAATTGTGACCTTTGCTTCACAGGCCCTAGAATACCTGCTGTGGGCTAGCATATGCATGGAGTCCTCAGTCCCACTCCTGTCTGTCAGGTACTTGACGTGGAGAACTACTCTTTATACAGCTGTTTGTCAATGCTACTATGACTGCCAGGCTGGCATTCATGGTGAGGTATGTGCCTTTTCACTTGGAGGTTCCAACATCTGAAATAGAGCATTTTCTTCTTTAGATGTCCCAAGGAAACAAATTCAAAAACAACCAAATAACTGAAAGGAAGCAAAGTCAACAATTCCAGGCCTTAGGTGAAGAAATTTGCTTGACCTTTCCATTATGTGTATATCTCTGCTCTCTCTTTTATTCTCTTAACTTCTACCTCCTTCCTCATTCTCTGAACATGAATTCCAGTGCCTTTCTTTCCTTATTTTGTTCTTACAGGTAAGCCACCTTCTTTTCCTGTTCAGTTTTGGTACTCTGCTACTTATTATACTTTACCTTGCCTTTTCTCTGCTTCCATTCACCAATTGTTGCATTCTGTCTCTCCTTACTTCCTCTTGTCTTTTCCTCATCTATGAGACTATATACTTGAAATACAACTTGGCAGAGGCTTCTATTAGCTTTTACAAATTCTATGTGTAAATTAAAAGGATACTTTATAAGATGTAGTACTAGCTTGGTTAATGAATGGGACTTTAGTGAAAACCAGAAATAGAAACCCTTTTCATTTGGGCCAACACATCTCTGTCCTGGGGGACATGCATGATTTGGTGTAAGGGGCTGGCAAGTTGGCATTTGCCCTTCACTCAACCCTCTGGCGGTAAGTGTTATACAGGACACAGCCTCCACAGCTGTAAAAAATACCTTCTCAGATCCTGCTCACAGCCATAAATAAATCACTTAGCCCATTAATCATTCCTTACATTTGGTTTTTCCTGACTGGACTAATTCTGAAGGATTAGATGGTAGAGGTCCACAGGCAGGAAAATAGTTGAATTCAACCTTCATGGAATCCTTTGTAGCCTGGGACATACTCTAAAAATGACTCACCATGTAAAGCTTTGGGACATTAGAGGTGGCACACTTTACTATATCTGTTTAAGTTATAAGTGGAGGTGATTTTTTTTTGGGGGGGGGGGGGTCTGGTCGTGGGTCTGAACTCTGGGCCTAGGCGCTGTCCCTCAGCTCTTCAGCTCAAGGCTAGCGCTCTACCACTTGAGCCACAGCACCACTTCCGACTTTTTTTCTTTTTGCTTATGTGGTGCTGAGGAATTGAACCCAGGGCCTCATGCATGCAAGGCAAGCGCTCTACCACTGAGCCACCTTCCTAGCCCAGGTGATTTTTATGTAGTTCTAGTCATTCAATTCTGATGGGGTTCTTCCTCATAAGAAAATTTACTATTCATACGTGTTAATATTGTGGTGGCTTTGAAAACATTTTCATAAAAAACCATAAATATTTGAGGTCTTCATAGAGTCTCTTCTATTTAATTCATTTGTAACCACTTGTTTGCCACCCAGTATATTTACTTATAGATTTATAGACACATTCTAGCTCAAATGGTATAATTCTTTAAAAAGATAAGTCAAAACCCAACAAAATAAGTGCTACAAAGAGTACTTTCAAGAGGGGAGGGAGGGGCCACAAGGAGAGGAGTAGAAGAATGAAGAGGGGAAGGGGGAACACTGCAGGCAAGACTTCATTGTATATACCACAGAGTTGAGAAATATAAGGGAAGGGGAGACCGATGTGGGGGTGAAGATGTTGAATTGTTGACACAGATCAAGATGCACTGTAGACATAAAATGCTTTGTTAGCTGGCAAAAATTCAATACATAACCTAAAAATTAAGCAAAGTAAGAGAAGTGGTGGGTTGGGAGAGGTGAATGAGAATGTTGAAAGGGGAGACACTGATCAAAAGGCACTATATTCATAAACTGCTTTGGTGCACCTATTAAAAGATAACAAAATTATTCAAAGAAACTATAACTATTTCAAAGAAATGGCAAAACAAATCACACAATTTCTTTTTTTATTGTGAAAATACTGTACAGAGGGGTTATAATTACGTGAGCAAGATAATGAGTACATTTCTTATCAAGCATTGTAGCCTCCTCCTTTGTTTCTCCTTCCCATCCCATCCTCTCCCCGCCCCCCCCCAACCCTCCCCCCCTCCACCAAAGTTGTAAAGTTCGTTTTCAACATAACAACTTGTACGTCTCATTTTTGCAATGGGTCCACCTGTATCCCTATTTACACAATTTGTTTTTCCCTTCCCCTCCACAAATTATGCCAACATAGCTCTTTTGAACTTCTGGTAATATCTGTAGAGAATTACTGTATAGCAATGATTGATTAAATGAATGAAATGATTAAATATGCAAGCTTTCCTTCCTCCCTCCCTTAGATATTTATTAGTTACTTCCTGTATGTTGGGTACTGGGAATTCAAAATTAAATAAAGCTTTTTAAGACCCTCATAGCATAGTGGTCACTGTATGAATAGTCGAATAAGTTATCCAGCGTATTATGCTAGGAAGGTTAGAGTTTTAGAAGCTCATGTGAGTATATATATATATATTTTGTGTGTGTGTGTATGTGTGTGTGTGTGTGTGTGTGTGTGTGTGTATGTAAGTATAAGCATTCATCAAGTTAGTCTTGACAGTTTAACTTTAGATTTATAGAGTTTAATGGTGCTTATAAGAAATGATAGCCTGGAGAACTATCATGTTAAAAGAAGTCAGCATCAGCTGGTGGTCTAATTTGCACATTAAATCAGCAAATGTCTACGACAACAAAGCTTATTGCTTTATACATTTTTAATACTATATTCCAACTTATTATGAATAAACATTTTAATTGCACACAGGCATTCGCTCGGCGTGCTTTAGCTAAAATTGATGAGTTAAGACAGTTGGAATTGATGAGCTCTTCAATGTCTCAGGAAGAATCCAGAAGATATTATAGAGAGGCTACATTAAAGGTATAAAATTTTTATGAAGTTACTGAGATTGACTGCACCCCATCACTGATGAAATGCTTGATATTGGTAGCTGAGAAGTGCTGCCTGTTGTAACCTGGTTTGTATTTCTTCTCTTTGAGACAGATGGCAGTGATGATCTTCAAAAGAGGAGTATTTGAATCTCGAAGAAAAAACAAAGCTTTGTTTAGACCAAAGATAAGACTTAACCTAAAGGAAATACAAAGTGTAAGCCTAAAAAGTCTTCTCTACTTGTGACTCCTTTTGCAGTCTGTTTCTATTACTCAGTAGTGTCTTTTGAGCATAGCCATTAGTGATTAAACCCTGCTTCCACTTTTCTACACTAGTAGACAATCATAGAAGAAACTTTCCCCACTTAGGATATGGCCTCACTTCATCCCTTTCTTTAAGCCTTTCCATATCTTATACAAATGCAGTTTTGCCATGTTAAAGGGACATCATGTTAAGAAATGATAGGTTAACTAGAGAATCTGGAATGGCTTTAAGGAACAGGCTCTTGCCGATGAACAATTTTCTGAGTAGGTATGCACTGGCCTTGTCTATGCTTGTCTAGTGCTAGTTTTGAGGTTGGAGAGAGGTAGAAGCACCCCTTCTCATCAGCTTTCAGGTTGCCCCATGAGAGCGTCTAGGAGCTATGTTGTACTGAAGCAACAGACAAGCACACACTTCAGGTGGCTTAAAAAAATTTATTTCTCTCTGGGGTCAGATGCTAGGGGAGTTATCAGGGAACTGTGCTCAAAGCTGCTCAGAGCCAGGCTGGGGAACAGTCTCAATCAGCAAATACTAGTCTTTCTGCTGAAGGAGAGAGTGAATTCTGGAGTATCTCACAGGAGCCAGGAAGTGTCATAAGTCCCTTCTTACATGGCCCCTCCCAACCACAGGCCTATTTGGAGAACTGTTAATGACTGTCTTAGAAAATGGAATGAGACAAATATCCCTATGGGGTGCTACCCTTTTCTCCTTGCTTGCCCTCCCCATTTTGAGCTCAGTGTCCCTCAAGGCCCAGTTCTCTGTCTAACTTAAGCTGTCCCTGACTCCTTCATGGCCATCAGCTCTCTTTTTCCTGAGCTTCTATAAAGGGACTGAAAATGTAAATGAAGTGGGGAGATAGAGGAGAAGATTCTGATATAAGAGTTGCTGAGCTTTAGAACACAGAAAAATTTTGAAATTGTGTGGTTTAGTGCTTATCTCCTGCAGATAAGGAAAATAAAGGTTGAAATTACTGCCCCAAAGGCTTATGTTTTGAATACCTAGTCCTCAGCTTGTGACACTGTTTTGAGAGGTTCTGGGAATTTGAGGATATGGAGCTGAGCTGAAGAAATTAGGCCACTAGTGGTATGTTGTTGGACATTATATACAGTCGCTGGTCCCTTCCTTACCCTTCTTCCTGTCCACCATGAGGTGAGGGAGATTCTCTGCCATATACTTTTGCCACTATGTTCTGCTCAAACACCACCTCTGAAACAGTGGGCCATAATAAGTCCCTCTTCCCTGAGTTGTTGTCAGTCATTCTGTCATACTGACAAGAAAGCTGACTAATACTACATAATAAACAAAATATGTTTTGTGTTAAGTTTGAAGAAGGAAATCATGTTAGAGGGATTAAATGTTATATATAAAACCCTTAAGAGGTCTTTGGAACAGAGTAGGTCCTCAATAAATATTAGCTATCATAATTGCTTATTTTTACTCTTTCATTCAACTATCACGTACTGAATATCTGTGTTGTCAAGTACAGTGGAATGTAGGAAAAGCTTGGGTCACAGTCCTGACTTTTACAGGAGTGAGCCACAAATGCCTAGCCAATTTAACTACTTTTAAATCTCTATTTTAACCAATCTTAGAAGAACTCTTATATCCAGAAAGAGAGATTAAAGGATCTCAACAGAAAAAGCTGAACATGTCATCCTCATCTATTTAGGTAATATAAATAGGGGAACTGTTGTCTAGACCAACCTGGGATTATGGAATACCCTATTTTGAAAAATGCCTAAAGCAGAAAGGGTTGAGAGCATGGCTCAAATTGTAAAGTACCTTTCTAGCAAGTACAAAACCCTGAATTCACTCCCCAGTACTACTGAAAGAAAGAAATGAAAAAAAGCCTGAAAGCCCCATCTGATTGTTAATATAAGTACTATTTGTGTTAGCATTAGTTAACTATACCTTACTTTTCATGGTCTTATATTATCTTTGAAAAATGGACTGATTTTTTTTCACTCTAGAATTCGTGGCCACGTACTCTTACAGAACGGCTACTGGAAGAGTTGTTTGACAGCACTGCATCCCGGTTTCTGGCTGTCTTGGAAGCTCTTTCTGATTCAAATAGGCGAGTACTGCAAACTGGACCTTTCACTACTGATGAAGTGGAGCTTCGAGATGTTGTTGCAGAACTGTTTATAGCAGGAAAAGAACTCTTTGTAGGTAAATAAAATGATAAGATATTATTTTATAAGAAAAAATTAACTTGTTAGTGTATATGAAAAAAATGTTGGATGTTTTAATACACACCTCTAACCCTCACTGTTTGGGAGGCAGAGATTAGGAGGATTGTTGTCTAAGGCCAACCTGAGTGAAAAGTCAGTGAGACTCCCATCTCAACAAACAAGCTGGGTAGAATGATTCATTTGTGTAATCTCAGCTACATGGGAGGCATATGTAGAAGGATTATAGTCTGAAGCTGTCCTACATAAAAAGTGTGAAATTCCACCTGAAAAATAAAGCAAAACAAAATAGCACTCTCAACCGCGCATCCAGTTTATGTATTAACCTTGCTAATGTCAATTGATAATTTAAACTGTTTATTTGTAGATTTTTTTGTATTTTATGGGTATATAATAATCTATGGGTAATGACAATTATACTTCTTTCAAATTCTTACCCTTTTAAATTTCCTTTTTCCTGTTATTTCTTGCCTGTTTTCTGTTACTTATTGTGCTAGATGGGATCTCTAATAAACACATGGGAAGGATGATGACAGCATTTATCTTTGTCTCATTTTTTAAATCTCAAACAGAAAACTTTCAACATTTTATCATTAGTTAAGATGTTTGCTAAAGCAGTTTTTATAGATATATTTTTCAGGTGAAGAAAGTATCTTTGATCTTTGATTTCCAAGATGGTTTTGTTTGTTAGCTTGTGTAATTATTCAGTTTTTTTTTTTTTTTTTTTTGTGCTGGTCCTGGGGCTTGATCTCAGGGCCTTGGAGCTGAGCTTTTTTGCTCAAGGCTAACTCTCTACCACTTGAGCCATAGTTGAGCCAAAAATGGAGTTAAGATGCTTGAGGACTTTCCTGCCCAGGCTGGCTTTGAACCATGGTTTTTAATTCTGCCTAGTTGTTGAATTTTGGATTTATTTCATTGATCAAATCATTTCTCTTTTATTTCTATGAATGTGGTGAGAGACTTTGAATGTTGATCTATTTTCACCTACCTTTTACTTTTGGAATAAAACTTCTGAGGCAGAGGCTAGCTATTTGAAATAATACTCGTGTTTAGTACTTCTGCTGCCTTGCTCTGGACCTTGTTTGAGAGAAAGGCTGCCAAGAGACACTTGTGTCTCAGTTCTCCTTCCCTGTCTTCCATTTTTCTGTTGAATTTGTGGCTATTCTTTGAAGATGCTGTGCATTTAGTGTCTTTCCCTCATAAGCTTACCTTCTGTTGCCTTGTGATAGCCAATTTGGCTGAGAAGTCTACTTGGAAGGAGAGGTGAAAAGCTAGACCATACCTTATATAGCTTTAGTCAAGTTCTATGGTGTGTATATTTGTGTGTGTGTGTGTGTGTGTGCGTGTGTGTGCGTGTGTGTCCAAAGGCAGGGAGCTGGGCCAGTTTGGGTTCATTTCTCCACACAGAAGTTCCCTGAATTCTTTCACTCACTGGGCCAGTTTGGGTTCATTTCTCCACACAGAAGTTCCTTGAATTCTTTCACTCAAAACCCAAAACCTACCCTCATCTATCTTTGTTCTTTCCAACACGTGTTATTAAAATGGAAGGGATTTTTCTTTTGTGCCTTCTCCCTTCTCCTTGATCTTTCCAAGCTTAATTTCTCCTTTACTCCATGTCATTTTTCACCTTCCTCTCTATATATCTATATGTACAACCAGATTTTGTTTTTCAAAGTTCTCAATCTTTTCTTCTATTGTATATCAGAAAGTCTAATCTATCTACCATGCTACTGAGAATAGAAAGAGCAATTCTCTTTATTGCTCAGTCACTTCAGTTATCTTTTTGTACTCTCTGTATTGTGTGATTCTATGACTTCTTTCTCAACACTCTTTTGAGCCTTTTCTCCCTCCATACCCACCCCTGTTCTCTCTGTTTGTGGTACTGGGGTTTGAAATCAGGTCTTGGGCTTCCTAGGCAGGTGCTCTGTACTGAGCTATGCTTTCTAGGCCTTTTCTGTAGTCATTACTTTTTTTTTTTTACAGTTGTTTAAACTTTATTTTCATATGCTTATAAGATTTAGAGTACAATACATCAAATGAGACAATTGGAAATTAACAATGTATACATAGGAAGAGTATAAAGAATACATACAGGATACATTATTTGTTGTGAGGATGCAAAAGAACAGTGTTTTTGGCTTTAAAATTCTGATTCCAATGTCTATTATAACATTCAAGTAAAACATGTTTCCAATTATTTTAAAAATAACTATATTAAAATGTAATTCTAAGACAACCTGCATTGACCACGATCTTCAAAGTAGTGCTGTTCAATTCTTCTACAGAAAGCAAGGAGGTTACTATAGTTTTTCACCTTCTCAGAAAGTTCATCATTGGTCAGTCGAGTGGTGAGAATGGTGTACAGATGGCCAAATACCAGGGCATCAAGTTCAGTAGGTTGCTTGTTGAAGAAATATGGTTGTGTTCCCAGTCTTTGAGAAAGAGCTTGACAGCACTGGTCTACATCTTCTAAGACTTGGTCCAGGGTCTTGTTGTCCCATTCAATAGCTTTCATCTTATGTTTGACTTCCCACTGTTTCTGGTAGGTCAAAATATGATTCAGAGGCCATGAGTAAGGAGACCCATACCTAGAATGAGTAATCTCCTCTACTGTAGCTTCATCACACCACTGAAGATACAACTCTGCAGTCAAAAGCATATTGTTGACTAATTCCATATAAGCTTTCATTTCTGCTTTTTGGACCGTCATCCAATCCATCACTAAGACAATGACCCAGATGGAGACATATATTCTGCATTTGCCCTACAAACCACTTTTATAGGCAAATTACACATCGGCAAAAAGGTCTGCACAGCAAGAGAAGCTGCATTATCAGAAAGCAAAATTTGTTCCCTTTCAGTTGCTGATATAATGTAGCATTTTCTGGCCAAGGTTCTGTAGCTGCCATCTGCGAAACTAAGGCTTCCGCCAGCAGAGACATGTGGGCCGGGGAGCCCCGCGTCTGGCTGCCGGCTCTCTGCAACCCTCTCTCGGCAGCGCTCTCCTGTGCAACCTCCACAAGTCTCCACAAGAGCACAAGTCTGGCCGGGCTTCGGCTCAGACTCGCCGAAACCACTTGGGCGCCGGGGAACTTCCGCCCCCTGTAGTCATTATTTTTGAGATAGGATTTTCCTTGATTACTTCCTGGGTGTGCCTGGGCCATGATAGGCCATTTTAGGCTTCTTGTAGTAGTTGGGATAACAGGCACAGCTACCAAACCCAACTTCTTCCATTAAAATTGAATATCATGGACTTTTCTGCCCCAATTAGTTTGGAGCCATGATCATTATGATCTTATCTAGGATGACACACTACCACGCCCAGTTATTGATGGAAAAGGAATCTCACGGTTTTTTTTGCCCAGGCTGATCTTGACCCACAATTTTTTCTGTTTCAGCCTCCCAAGTAGCATGTACCCTTTTTTTCAGAACTTTGCTGCTGGAGTTCATAATAGAGAGGAAAAGAGACTTAAATGTTGGTGTTCTCAGGATGTTTATGGCTAATCGTACCATTTGCTATTGATACACATAATGATGACTCTAAAAGCTATGTCCTTATTTTAGATCTCTTCCCTGAGTTCCCAGTCTACATGTAGCCACCTCATTTGGGAAGTAATGGTAACAACTATGAGCAGTTAACAACAAATAACTGTTGGTAATTACATGTTGAGTGTCCATGCTTCTTCTGGTAGCTATTCTTGACTAGATTTTCACCCTCCCTCAAGTTTCTGTTGGGCCCTTCCTACTTGCTCCCACAGTATCCTGTATTTGTCCACTTATATTTCTGGTTTGGTCATGTATCTGGTCTCAGTGAAGAAAGGGAACATGCTCACCAATTTACTCTTGTTGCCTTAGTCTGGCAGTGTCTGATATTTATATTTTGTAAGTATTTCTTTGCATGGATGATTTTCATATCTCTCTCCTTTTTTTTCATAGCAAATATTGGTACAAGTGGAAAGCTTGAGTTTCCCAGAATACCACTGATGGAGTGCATGGTAGAGAAGAAAAATGTGATTTCTCTGGATGCTGCTCTGAAATTTATAAAATTAGCTTTTACTTATGAAGAATGGAGTTTATTTGAATCTTCAGCTGTACAACTTCTTCTTTCTCTGGAGGTAACAGGCAACACCATTCATGATTTTTTGTTTTGTTAAAATGGTACTGAGTTGCTAATTAACTTGGGGGATATCTTCTCTCAGAAGGAGAATGATCCAGAGTCAAAGAAAGCAGAGAAAGACTTAATTCTTCTGATTGCAGTAGAACCACTAATCAATGTCAAGAGAAACAAAGGTTTGATTTTGCCTTTGGAAAATGATAAAGAAGGACATCCCATTCATATGTATTTTAAAAAGTTTACTAATAGTGGTAAGTATTTCTTTACCTGTTTGAAGTATTTTGTTTTAATTCATAAAATGCGCTTATTCTAGTGAGAAGGCAGAAGGAACAGGAGGTACAAAGGCCTAAAGGCAAGAATGTATTTGGTGACTGAAGGCAAGGTTAGGGGAGAGGAATGGCTGGTGTGTATTGGTGGAGGTAGTGGAGCTGGGGAATGTATTAGGTGACAAGCATGGAAACATCTGGGAGACAAGTAATGGGGTTTCTGTACCTTGTAAAGATTATGCATTTTATTCTGTTGACAGTTTAGAGTAGAGTAATAAGGTTATACTAAGCAGTTGTCTTGTTGAGGTAACTGTAAAGCCTAGGGGCTGTATGTGCAAAGGCAAGAGGCATCAGTGCACTTTAGTAATGGGCTGTTGGGTTGCCTACCTTCTCTTTTTAGATGCAGTATTTTTCCTTCCAGAATTTAAAGAATTCAAAAGATACTGTGTATGTAATTAGAAATCTGGTCTACTTTTTAGACTAGTGAAAATTATTTAATTCTTTTTTTATTGTGAAAATACCATACAGAGGGGTTACAATTACATGGGCAAGGTAATGAGTACATTTCTTATCAAGCATTGTTGCCTCTTCCTTTGTTTCTCCTTCCCATCCCTTCCCATCGTGCCCCCTGCCAAAAGTTGTAAAGTTCGTTTTTCGACATAACATCTTGTACATCTCATTATTGCAATGGGTCTACCTGTATTCCTATTTAAAGATTTTGTTTTTTCCCTTCTTCTCCCCAAATTATACCAACATCAAATTCTGTGTTTTAATGTTTCACATGTTATTATACAGTTGCTCAATTGCAGATAACAATTTGTATTAAGTAATGGTATGCATTTTTTCTCTTTGATTTCTGAATAAGTAATTTTATTACTTTTTTCATTGCCACATTTTATATGTACTTTAAAATTATAATGCTCTTCAGTTTCTCTTTGAATATTGTTGGCATACATGTCATGGATTAATTATAACAGACTATTTTAATTGGAGTAGAGCTACTTAGATTAGTTTTTATACAGAAGTATTTAAGTTATCTTGTTTATGTGGTATTTTCCCAGTTATCATTTATGTCTGTTTTATAGAATTTCTGTGATTTCTGTTTCTTTTATATCTGGCATTTCCTAATGGATTTCCCCCATTTTCTTCTGCTTTTTAAAATGCAGAAACGTACCTGGGAAATAGTGGCTCTTTAGAAGATATTTTTCAGTCTGCAGCAATCTTGCATTTCTGTGTCTGTGATGCTTCTTCAAAGGTGAGTTAGTGAACTTTGAGTAACATTAGTGTGGAAGGAAGTTATCACTCATCTAAAGACAGATTTAAGATATCACAGAATTTGTACTTGGGCTGATATTTTATGTTTCTTTTTGTTATTGTCATCCATTGCTCTTTTGGGGCAGGTGGTGGGCTAGTTGTACTTCTAATGATAAAGGGCTTTACAGCCTATGACCACAGACCCTGGTTAATACTGAATATTGCTTTGCACATGATGAATGGCTAGTATTTAGAAATGACCTGTACATAGATGTGAGTGCTTTAGGTAAAACTAGTAGAGTACAGTTTTATGTATTTATGCATTCTTTTTATGGTGATACTGAGGATGGAACCTGCAGCCTTGAGTCCATGCGGAGGCAAGTACTCTGACACTGATCTATGCTGTCTGCCCATGCACTGGTTTTAAAACTGTATTGTAGGGGTTCATGGGGCTTTTCTGATCTTCCTCAGAAGTCCAGCTTTCAGCAGGGCACCCTAGTCTGTTCCTTGAAGTTTTATATGTTACACTGGAGTTCTGGTGGAATTTCATTTGAAAATTTGGTTTTATTGTTATGTGAAAAGCTTGGAATCCACAATTATAGAGTATATTATGTTGACATTTGTCCATATAAGTGAGATACAGTGAAGGGGAATAAAAATTTGTCTCTTCTACATTTTTTCATTTCTTCCTTGTTTATTAGAATACATGTGGCAGGTATTTAAGTTTTGAGAGAAAAATATTTAACAGCATAGTGGGAAAATTAATAAAAATAACAAGGCTGAAAAGACTAAGGATCTTTCATCTATAAGTTTTAAAAAATATTATATGTATCTTAGTTTAGCACAGTAAATATTTCTTGAAGTCTGATCTGGGTTATGTTCCCAAACATGGTACTAAAGTGTGACATGCATATCAAATGAAGTCTTAGAGCTGTGTGAAGGAACTCAAAATTTTGGTATATGTTAAGTGTAATTCTTACCTTTGTATAATTCAGTTCTTTTCAAATGAGCCAAATAATTTTGTCTGGAAAGGGGAAACACTCATTGGGGATCATCTGTTGGTACAGGGAGTGAAGTTCTGTCCAGTTTATGCCTGTCTTCCTTGCTGAGGTACCTTCTCAGATCTCTACTCTCTTAGGTTACTAGTATTTCTCCTTCCCACTCCCAATTCTTTATTACTTTAATACAAGAACTTTAAAAGAGAAAAATATGAGTAAATCTGATAGACTTATGGGTTTACATATGTGTCTAAAAATACTTGAAACTTTTCTTTCTTTTTTTGAATTTTTTTTTTTAGACAGAAGTAGCACATGTATAGAGTATTGTCTGAGAGTAAGGACTTGAACTAGGCCATTAGATTTGAATGTGTTGGATGTGCAACTTTCTAGTTATTTTGTCCATGGAACAATCATATCATCTCCTTGTGTTCATGTTACTCATATGTAAATGGAGGATATAGTACTGTTAAGTGCCTTGTTGGGTTTATGTGAGGGATGATAAATAAATTGGCACATATAATTAACAATAAAGCCCAGAGTGTTGCCTGCCATACAATGTCAAATCTATCTATCTATCTATCTATCTATCTATCTATCTATCTATCTATCTATCTATCTATCTTCTTATTAGTTACTTACTTAATTTCATTTTCAGAGTGTTCAGCCTGATAAAGAAATCGTTGTGGACATGTTAATGCTCCTGTGGCAGAAATGCAAAGTAGGAATTCAGAAGATCAATGTGTCCAAATATGACTATGTAAAATACATTCAGAAAATCAGCACTAACAAAGTAATACTTTTTTATTTCCCTCCTTCCCTCCCTCTCTCTCTCCCTCCTTCCTTCCTTCCCTCTCTCCCTCCCTCCCTCCCTCCTTCTCTCCCTCCCTCCCTCTCTCCCTCCCTCCCTCCCTCCCTCCCTCTGTCCCTCCCTCCCTCCCTCCCTCCCTCCCTCCCTCCCTCCTTCCTTCCTTCCTTCCTTTGTTGTTAATTCAAATTGTGATACAAATTTCCAAGCTAGATTTCTTTTGTTGAATCTACTTGAGTAAAACTTACCATTGCAGATATAGATGTTAAGAAGATAGTCTTTGTAGTGCTGAGTAAAGCTTTTATTTCAAGGTGTGTTTCTGTACCCCAGCACCAATTTGGTTGTAGGGAGTGGAAGAATATTTCAATTTTAAAGCAGGGAATAAGTATGTGGCTAAGGTCATATGAACTTGGATAAATTTGTCAGGAGGATTAAAAATATAGAAGCCAAATAAGTAAGTTAATTTTTTAAGGAATTTAGTTTTTACTTTATAATAATATATTTACATTTAATTTCATGGGAAAGGGAAAGCATAATAGCTCAATATCTGATATTATAACACAAAAACACATGAGATATTATTTTAGTAATGTTTCAGCTCCAATGATTCTGAGCTTTCTAAAATTAGCTATACTAGTTTGCATATGTCTGAACTTGCAACCTATATTTAGCCAACTTACGATTTTTTTTTTATCATTTTAGATCTACTAAGAGTAATTGGTTGGCTTCACATGCTATGCTTTGCAGATATACATATTGATGTCAATTTATAAGCGTATAGATTGGAGCCTGAAACCTATACTTAATTCCTCATGAATTCAGAGGACTTTGATAGTGACTATATACAATTGCCTTAAAGGGAAGATAAGAACTTTGAGAAGGCAGATAATTTTTGGTGATATAGAAAGCTAGTAGATAATAAACTTTCTATCTATAGATATTCAGAGGATAAACAAACAGATCTTGTTTATGAATGTACAAAATGAGTTTGTTTAATGGCATATATATATATGTATATATATATATTTTTTTTTTTTTTGTTGTTGTTGTTGTTGTTGGTTGTGGGGTTTGAACTCTGGGCTTGGGCACCGTCCCTGAGCTCTTCAGCTCGAGGTGAGTGCTCTGTCAGTTGAGCCACAGCGCCACTTCCAAAATGGCATATTTTTAGGATCACTTTGTATTACTAATCATTAAGGTGTATTAATGAGAAGTCTATGTAATACTTCATGAATGGAAGATGGTAAAGTCAAGGAAGAACTGCTTTGAAAAAAATCTGACTCAGTACAATGTAATACATTTTAAACTTACTTTCTATGTGTTTTCTCTTTTTAGTGGGTTTATCTTCTGTGGCAGATAAATGAAGTGATTCATTCCTGTAAAGTGGAAGGGATTGATGTTGTGGTGATGGCAGAAGTCACATTACGATTATGTGAAATATTAGAGTGTTTTGGAATCCCCAAAAGGAAATTTAAAAAATCTCCAGGTAAAATATTAGATGAAAAATAAGATTACTAATGTATATCTGCATAAATAGAAATAGGTAAACATAAATTAGAATATAAGAAAACTTCCAATCATGAAAACTAAGCCTTTTAACAAGGGAAGAGATGACACTGTTCAAAAATATATGTATTCATTACCTACGTAACTGTTACCCCTCTGTCCATCAATAAAAATTAAAATTAAAAAAAAGAAATCTAAGCCTTTCAATATCATGATTCACTGATTTTTTTTTTCAGAACCAGAGGACACAATGTTAAACAGGTACATTTTAAGAAGGTTATGTGCTCTGTGGTTCAATGGCAGACAGAACTTTACTTTCTCCTCATTCATGTTCCTCTTCTTCATTCCTAATTACCACTGACTTCTGTTTTTCCCTCACCATTCTTTTTTCCCTCCTTTTATTTTTTTAAAAAAAATCTTTTGATCTCTTCCATTTTTCAGGTCTATGACTGCTTCATGAAGAAAGAACTTAACCATTGATTCTTGCTGGACACTTGGATCAATGTTCTTTCACATTTAATCTCCATTTTATCCTTTCCTCACCTAATTTTCTGCTAACCTAGTCCCTCATAGTTGTCAAATCATCATTCAGTTTATTTTCCCTTTTTAGAACAAAGCTCCTAGTTAAGAATAGCTTCTACACTGTTCTATACTCTATGGACTCCTTCCCAGGATCTAGGCAGGGTTCTCTACTCAAGATCTTTGCCCTGTATTTATTATTATTTTTACTATCTTCTTAGTTTGTAGATTAAAACAAAATATTTTCCAGTTTTTCTCCAGTTAGGATAACTTTTCTGGATTACTCATTACTGGAAACAAAAAGTTATTCAGTTTTTTATGTTTCATGTACTAGTTACTTTTGAAAACGATTGTTTTATACTGTTTAATTATAGCTGGAGTAAGTACAATTTAAGCCAGTGATTCTTTGTTAAATGTTTATTATATACAGAGGTGATCTATTTATAAATTTGGAAACTTCTGTATTGATGTCAAAAGGGGATGTTTTTATTTTAACATTTAAATTTCTCTGAGGATGTTATGCTTAGTAATGTGTATTGACACATAAAACATAAGTCCCAAATCATTATTTTATGTTTATTTATGGTAGTCTAAAATATATTTATTTTATTATTTGTTAAATAATACACTGTTAATTTGAATTATTAAACATTTTAAAATAGAGAATTTAGCATTGCTATATAAATATTTATAATTTATATTCTTCTAATTTAGGTTAAACTTCTCTTATATTTACCTAAATTCATTAGGCTTCTTTGCTATTTTTTTTCTGGATGTTTCAAAAAAGACTTTCTAGAATATATTGGAAGACTAATCTCTACCATGATATCACTTTGTTGATAAACAAGATTTTTTAGGCTGCTTAACAAAAAAAATAAATTACATAAAAGAAACAATTTGGTATTTGGTCAAATTCTAGTGTTAAATCATTTCTAGCATTTAAGAATTAAAAAGGCAATCAACTTAGTATAACATTTTAAATGATTTTGATATTTATTTTCCTTTCCTCTGTTTCTCTGCTTTTCTTTGCTTCTTCCTCTCCTATTTTCTTTTTCTCCTCTTCCAACTTTTCTCCTTTTTTCCCTTCCTCTCTTCTTCCATCCCATTCTCCTTTGTTTTCCAGGTACATCTACAAAAAGAGGAAATGAGGAACTTTCTGGAACCCCAAAAGGGATCCCAGAAGGTATTTCAATACTAAAGGTAAACTAACATGTTGCAGAATTAAAAATAATTAAAATAATTATTGAAAAAATTGAAAAATAATTAAAAACATAAATTTATGAGTTGCTAGTGGTTCACACCTGTAATCGTATCTGCTCAGGAGGTTGAGATCTGAAGATCATGGTTCAAAGCTAGCTTGTGCAGGAAAGTCCGTGAGATTCTTATCTCCAGTTCAAAAGCTAGAAGTGGAGGCAGGGCTCAAGTTGTAGAGTGAGGAAAAAAAAAACCCAAACAACTAAGGGAAAGCACCCAGGCCCTGAGTTCAAGCCTCAGTACTGGAACAAAAAGTAAACAAGAACAACAAAAAAGCTCCATGAATTTTTATTTTTAAATAACCATTTCAAATATCAAATATATAATAGCTCATTTTAAAAATAATTGTGAATATTTAAAGTTTAAGAACCTATGGTTTCTGAGCTGTTTTCCTACCTTTTGCCTTTATGCTAGAAAAAAAATTAAAAGTAGATAAAAATGGCATAAAAGGATTTACAGTTACATTATCACTAGTATTTTGAATAAATTGCGATTAATGGATTTATAGAGGGAACAGTGTTTTTATTCAGTCTATGCCTCTGGCAGATCGAATGAGTGCTTATCTATTATGGTTTGAATGTGGAATATTCCTCACAGTCTCATGTGTTGATTAGTTGGTACCAGCTGATGGCACAGTTTTGGAGTGTTCTGAGACTTTAGGAGGTCTGACTGGAGGAAGAAGGTCACTGGGGGAGAATCCTTGGGACTATATCTCCTTCTTCTCCTTGTCTTTCTCCTGTCCACCATGATGGAAGCTTCTCTACCTTACGCTTCCTTCCTCATCATGATGTTCTGGCCAAACACATGAGGCCAAGTAACCATGGAATGAACCCTTTAAGCTGGGAGCTCAAATAAATCTTTCATTCTCTAAGTTGTTTTCTCAAGAGTTTGGCCACAGTAATGCAAACGTAACTAATACAGTCACTGATTAAAATGTACTTTGAGCTTGCGCATTTTCGAGAGGGTGGCCTTCGTTGCCTCCACAGTGTGGATTCTGTTGCTGAACCTGCAGGACGATTTCCAGTTTCAGAAGGAGCAGGTTCACCAACGCATTACCAAGCGGAAAAAGCAAGACAATCTTACTCCTGGAGTGATCTTTGTGGGCCACCTACCTAAAGCAATTTATGAAAATCAGATCCAGACTTATTTCTCCCAGTTTGGCACTATTACAAGATTTAATCTGTCCAGAAGTAAAAGGACTGGAAATAGCAGAGGCTATGCGTTTGTGGAATTTGAATCTGAGGAGGTAGCCAAGATAGTTGCTGACACCATGGACAACTACCTTTGTGGTGGGAGAATGCTAGTGTGTCGTTTTATGCCAGGAGAAAAAATACAAGAAGAACTTTTTAAAGAATGGAATATTGCATTACGATAGCCCACATACCCAGCAGTAAAGCCCTATAATCAGTGCAGGAATTTTACACAAAAGATGCAGATGGAAGTGCGATTTAAAAGGAAAGAAACCTTATTCAGGAAGAAATTAGCAGCAAATGGAATTGATTATATCTAAGAGAAAGGGTTCAAGTGTGCCTAAGGAGAAGACAAAGTTGCTTCAGAAAGCACCCCTGAGAAGCCTGTGGATAGCAAGGGCCCCACCCCAGTTTGTACACCAACATTTTTTGAGAAACAAAAATCAGAAGTGGCTGAACTGAGTGATAAAGATGATGAAATCGTTTTTAAACAACCTGTATCCAGTGTGAATGAGGAAATAAAAGAGACTCCAACCCCTTCACAGTCAGGGAAAAAAAGACGAAGACGAAGAAAAAACAATCTATGATTCTGAATGCATTATGCAGAGCATGTCTTCTTATAAGGGCTGACTGTTTTATATGATGTACAGTGAAATGCAACTCTCAATGCAAGTTTGGGAAAAAAAAAGATAACTGTTCATGACAGTTTTTTAAAAAAGTAATTTGACTACTCTGCACTATAGAATTAGAGGGATGCATCTTAATCTGCAGGAGGGGGGCTCACCCCGTCTGCCCAGCTCTCTTGTTTCTGACCATGTATCTCCCTTAGTTAGCATAGAGGGATCACTGGACCACCAAGGTGATCCCTGGCCATTGTAATGGACTGTGTATCTCAAACTTCTCATACCAGGTAACTAAAAGAAATTAAATCACACATGAAGAATGAGAAGACAGTTCAAGGGTTAATACAAGTTTAGAAATGAAGTATTTTCACCAAGAATGTTAAATTAGTTTCTGGTGGGCTGCAGGTATCTGAGATTACCATTATGAATCATCTATAGAATTTGAGATTCAATAAGCAGTGAATAGTTTTTCTATAAATTACTTCTGTACAAGTAGGGCCTCGAAGCTTTGAAGAATAATGCCAAGTATCTTCCTCACTTGTTGAGGTATGTTTATATTTGCTCATTGGGATTCATTAAAATTTTACTATTTGTACTGCAAAAAAATGTACTTTGAACAGTTATGGTACATTGGATGGACTCAGCCTTAGTTCACCACTGACCCTCACTCATTAAATTGTTTAAGAAGTAATGATAAGAAGATGTCTGAACATGTTCAGTTTAGACATATTTTTCCACAAATATTTTTCATCTGTGATCTACTAAATCCATAGATGTGGAGCTCAGAGGGACAGCTTTGAAGAAAATACTTAACATCCTTCACTCCTCTCCTGGTTACATTTCATTGCCTGTCCTCCACCTAGGACTAATTACCTTCCAATATATAATTTATGATGTTGATGATAAATTCCAGGTATCTTGATATTTTTATTACGTATGTGTATGTTTCCAAGCAATACAGAATATTGTTTTGCCATTTTTCTATGTATATAAATATTTCATACTTTTTACTTTTGGTATATTATACTTTTCAGTATAGTATACTTTCACTTTCAGTGAGATCCAACCCAGTTGATTTAGGTAAACATATTCTTCATTTTTGCTACATGCAACTTAAAAGTCACCCAGGAACAGTTAGATCAGGGATTTGAATTCAGGTGTTTTATCTTCAAGGCCCATGCTTTTAGCCACTATACTAATTATAAAAAACTATAGGGTATTTATATAAAAGATACTTTCAAGCTAATGTTAGTTATACAGAGGAAGATTTTATTACGTTCCAATCAGCCTCACCCCCCCCCTCCCTTCCCTCTTCCCATAACTATTTTAGTTGGTTTCCTTGCTCAGTTTTAATAGTTGTAAACAAGCTTAAATATATTTTAAATACATATCTGAATAACTTTTTTTTTTGTTGGTCGTGGGGCTTGCACTCTAGGTTTGGGTGTTATCCCTGCACTCTTCAGCTCAATGCCAGTTCTCCACTGCTTGAGCCACAGCACCACTTCCAGTGTTCTAGTGGTTTATTACAGATAAGAGTCTCACGGGCTTTCCTGCCTGGGCTGGCTTTGAACCATGATCCTCAGATCTCAGCCTCCTGAGTAGCTAGGATTACAGGCGTGAGCCACCAGTGCCTGGCCTGAATAACTTTTATTGGTCTTTTATAATATGCTACTTACCCCATTATCTTTATTTGTGACAGTCCCTTGAAATATAAGAATAAAGGGCAATTTTTCTTTTCATCCGAGTCCTGGGGATTGAACTAGGGGCTAGATACTATTCCTGGGCTCTTTCGCTCAAGGCTAGCACTCTATAACTTGAGCCACAGCTCCACTTACAGCTTTTTAGTTAATTGCAGGTAAGTGTCTCATGGACTTTCTTGCCTGGGCTGGCTTTGAACCATGATCCTCAGATCACAGACTCCTGAGTAGCTAGGATTTATTGGTGTAAGCCACCAGCACCCACCTCAATTGATAATTATTTTGAAGAATCATTTCACCCAGACTTCTGCCATACTTGGTATCAATGAAGTCCTAAAACACTAGATATTAATCAAATGACTTTATGAATGTGTTGCAGTACTAGCGGAGGAATCTATTCTAAATTTACTTACTCAGGTTAATGTTCATCTTCTAATTGTGTTCTCAATGATACAAAGTTGAGTTCTTTATGTGGTATTATCTCCTCTGAAGAGAGTTAGTTTTGAGAAATCTCAAATTGGGAGCAGAGATTAACTGCATAAGAGATGGTTGTCTGACCATTTTGTTTTTTTTTTTTTCTAAGAGCTTCTTAAATTATACAGCTTGCCATTTCTCACTCCAGACATCCAATTTTAATTTCAAGTATGAGCTTCTTTTTTCTTTTTTTTTAGCCAGTCCTGGGGCTTGAACTCTGGGCCTGGGCACTGTCTCTGAACTTCTTTTGCTCAGGGCTAGTACTCGCCCATTTAACCCACAGCACCACTTCTGGCTTTTTCTGTGTATGTGGTACTGAGGAATCAAACCCAGGCCTTCATGCATGCTAGGCAGGCACTCTACCACTAAGCCACATTCCCAGCCCAAGTATGAGCTTCTTAAATGTTCTTCAGGTAGATTCCTAAGAACACTGAAGTTTGAGACTCACTGGTTTAGTGGGCTAGCTTGTATTCTCTGAGGTATCATAGAGCAAGAAAAGGATTCCTAGTGCAATTTCTCAAGTGTTAGATTTGGCTTGAAATGGAATTTTTTCTTTTTGGCAGTACTGGGATTGAATTTAGGGTCTTGTACTTGTCTCCAACCCCTTTTTGAATTGGTTATTTTAAAATTACAGTCTGCCATTATTTGCTTGGGCCAATCTGGGATGTAGTCCTCCTATTTTGTTTCCCCTTGTCCCTGGGGATGGTAGGCTGCTGTACCATTGTGTTCAGACATTGATGGAGATGGAGTCTCTTTCTTATTGCCAAGGCTAGCCTCCTAGTATCGCCTTATCTCTGCCTTTGAGATAGTAATTTTCTGGCAGTTAAAGCCACTAAATGAAAACAGTTGCTTAGAATGTATAAAATTTGCTACAACAAAGAAACTAAAGACCATTTAGAAGCCATTGCTGCTATTTAAATCAGAAAAAGACATCTCCTCCAGACAACTTACAGCAGAAATTTTCAGAATGAAAATAAAGTCTGTGATGGCAACCATGTGAATGTCAAGCCCTAAAGTTCAGAGCCTGCTCAACTGACCTGGGGTACTTACCTTGTTTAAGTGAAATATTGGTAATATTTTAGAAAATAGCACCTGGCATCTAGTAGCTTCTTTGTGTTATGTGTTTTACACAGAGCTCTGCATCTCAAGAGTTTTCTAACCTACCTGGAGAAGGGAAAAGTAGGAAAATGACTGACAGTTTACTATTACAGGGAGGGTCCAAATCTGTATGCTCACCTACCAGAGTCTATATATGGAATAAATTATGTATCTTGCCTATATACAAGCTATTTGAAAAATATATGAAGTACTACTAGGATTACATTACATAAAACTACTCAAAATGTTGCTAAATGTATAGCATCTGTTTCTTCAATAGATGGTTTACTAATGAATGGTCTACTAACGAGTGTCTAGCCTATAATGCTATGGCAATTAAAAAAGCAGTCTATGTAAAGCATTTATTCCCTTGTGAGAGCATATTTTAATAAAATGTTAGCAGTGATGATGATGAAGATGGTAATGGGATGACCATGGTGATGGTCACGATAAGGATGGAATGTGAATATTTGAGGAGGCTTTGACATTTTTTGATGTTTAAATAGTATTTGGCCAAATAACTACCTAGATGCATTCAAATCCTGGTAGAAAAAAACCTGGAACTGCTGGAAAAAACTGAATAAAGAATCCTTAAGTGGAGCTCTCAAGAAAGTAAGGTAAATGCCTGGGTCCATAATAGAAAGGCGAGCTGAAAACCTGAGTGGCAAGTTTACAAGTGAGTGCTGTAGTAGGTAGCTGGGCATGAGAAGCTTAGATTTTAACAGGCTTCCAGGAATAAAGCTTGAGCACATGAAAGATGAAGTTGGCACTGACATTACATCCTATGATCAACTAGAACAAAATCTGTCTATGTTGAGAATTATCTCAGCCTTGGTCTTCAGAAGAGGAGGGGGTGGGAGAAAGTCTCTTTCCCTAATGAGTTATAACCTTGTGCCTGCCCATAAATAGGTTTCTATTTGAACTCATGCTGCTTGAGTTACTTGGGAACATCTCTGAGCCTGTAATTCTTTAGTGGAAAGATATCTTGATTGGTTATATATACTTGTACATATTCTAGAGATGTAAGGATGATTTCACATTAGAAAAAATCTATAATGCAATATATAATATTAACAGATAAAAAAGTAAAAAGATATGACCAAATCACTAGACAAACAAACAATTAAATGATTTGATAAGATTAAACAACTTTATTTATTTATTTACTTATTTATTTACCATTCCTAGGACTTGAACTCTGGCTGAGGACACTGTTCCTGAGCTTTTTTGCTCAAAACTAGCACTTTACCAGTTGAGCCACAGCTCCATTTCCAGTTTTTTGATGGTTAATTGGAGATGAGTCTCATGGATTTTTCTCTTTTTTGCCCCAGCTAACTTGGGATCTTGATTCTCATAGCTCAGCCCTCCTGTGTAGCTAGAATTGCAGATGTTAGCCACCAGCATCTGGCATGACCATCCTTTGAAAAATGACTCCTGAACTTTCAAAATAGAAGGCTTACTTATCTAGTAAAGTGTATCATCCAAAGACCCTCAATTAATGTTATGCCTAAAGATTAAAAGTAGTCCATCTAGTCTGTAACCATGTAAGAATATGTCATTCTTCTTTTCGTCATTTTCTATGTTTTAGATGATTTTAAAAAACCAGAAAAAAGATATAAAAACAATAAAGTAAGTAATAACTTCATCTTTATTCACAGACATATATAATGCCTGACAGCATATTTAGTAATAGTGTCTTAAGTGTCTATCTGCAGATGAGTAAATAAACTGTGACATCTTTTCAGAATAGCCTCAGTTAATGTTACATGAATCTGAGATGAATGAATTATGGTAGGATTTGGACTAGAGTCAGCTTGGCATCACTACAACCCATCTCTGCAGTCACCTTTGAATGATAGGGGCAATCTGGAACTGTATTTGCAGCATTTCATTTCCCTATGGCTCCAAGTGGCTAGTATTTCCAAGAAGGGGGATTCATAGGGATTCTATTGCAGAATATGAGAGTTTTCATTCTGGAGTGGCAGATGAGAGGTAAGAATTTACCAGTCACATTGTGTGAGCTCTTGTAGTTGAACAGCTGCCATGTAGTAGGTGTTTGAGGTTGTCGACTGCCTCCTAGATTCAATTGTCATTGGCAGCTTTCTTCAGGTTTGCTTCTTCATGTCTTCTAATAGTGATGGATACTTCTTATTTTGTTCACTGACTCTCTTTCTGTATGTAAAAATCTAGAATCCTTCTGTGCTCATAATCCTGACTTACCCCAGCAGGCACTCTACCACTGAGTTTCAGCTCAAGCCTTTGTTTTTTTGAGATAGACTAATCTCAAAATCATTCTGTATGACAGGCAGGCCTTGTAATCCTTCTGCTTCAGCCTCCCAGTTGCTGAATTATAGACATGTGCCACCACACAGAGATAAAATCTACACTTCTAGTTCTGAGATTTTGTACAACTACTCAATAGTTGTAAATATTTAAAAATCACTTGGGATTTAAATAAAATAATTTTAAAAAATTAAGTATGCAAAAATGATGAATTATATAAGCTGTATATTTAAAAATTCTTTTTGAGACAAGGCCTTGTTCTGTAGGTCAGGCTGGTCTGGTGCTCTCTGTGTAGTTTAGGCTGGTTTCAAACTCCTGATTGTCCTGTCTCCACCTCCCTAGTACTGGGAATGTAAGTTTGTATTATTACCATGCTAGGTATGATCAGAACTTTGAAAACAATAAATTGAAATTATATACATGTTTGTGAAAAGTTTAATTTATACTTAGAAAATGATGAAATATATTATTTTCATCTTCATTGATAGCACTCAATGTTTAGTCAAAGAGAAACACATTTATTAAGATGTCCTACACTGTTAACGTTGGGTAAATTACTTAAGTTTCTGCTACTTAGTTTTGAACTGCTGTTAAGAAGAGTTTGGAAATGTCGCATATGATTTTCCCTAAGTTTTCTTTTATTCCTTTATGTTTATGAAACTATTTTAGAAAACACCTGTGGAACAGTTGTCTTATGCTTATGAACTTCTTGATAAAACAATTAATGGAATGAATTTACATTTCATGTTAACTACTTTGCCAAATGGATCATCAGTAATTGACCATTGCTATGTCAAGGTGAGAATGGGAAAATCTTGGATCAGGTTGAAGTTCTACTTGTGTAGTAAGAGGGATGACTTGCAAATGGATAAGGAAAGCATGATTTTGTAGCAGTTTTCCTCTTATAGGGCAGAAATATATTTTCCTAGCAGTATCTCAAGAATAGTGTCTTTGAATTTGTCACTGAAGAGGTCATTAATGAATTCTGAGTGTACTTATTGGTGTATGAGCCAATAACAAAGGGTTCAGAAGGGAGCAGAATTTAATGGAATTGAGTAAGATACAACTTGATGTGATGATAGGATTTAGTTATTCTCAGTGTGTTTTGATGCTTTTTCTTTTCATTTTTACTTTAACTCTTCCTGACAAAAGTGCTCCCATGATACAGATGGAGACACTTACAAACCAATCTCAGAAAATAGTTTCATGATGGATTTGCATCTGGAACTCATTCAAGCTCAGCACCGAATAGCCATTGCACTTCTTGACCAATTGCACGGTAACAGTCCTTAAAGCAAAGAACTATACTGTTCAAAAATAGATTCAATTTAATTTGTAGTTGTATTCTAGTTGACTGAGTGTTCTCCAGATAAATTTGATTATTTTGTTTTCTTTTTTCTTCTCTGGTTAGTACCAATAGACGTCTCCCTCCCTCTCTCTTTCTTTCACACCTTCCTTCCTTCCCTCCTCTTTCTTTCTTTCTTTCTTTCTTTCTTTCCTTCCTTCCTTTCCCTCCTTCCCTCCCTCCCTCCCTCCCTCCCTTCCTCCCTCCCTCCCTTCTTTCCTTCCTTCCTTCCAATTTTCTTTCCTCCCCTCTCTTTCTTTCTTCTTTATTGGCAATACTGGGGTTTGGATGTGGAGCCTCATGCCTGTTAGACAGGTGCTCTATCAGTGTGTGTGTGTGTGTGTTTACCAGTCATGGGGCTTGAACTATCCCTGAGCACTTTTGCTCAAGGCTAGCACTCTACCACTTGAGTCATAGCTCTACTTCTAGCTTTTTGGTGGTTAATTACAGATAAGAGTCTCATGGACTTTCCTGCCTAGGCTGGCTTGTGATCCTCAGATGTCAGTCTCCTGAGTAGCTAGGATAACAGGTGTGAGCCACCAGTACCCAGCTTATGCATTGCTATTTTTCTGATAGGATCTTGGATTTATTGCTTAGGGCTGGCCTGGGACCACTTTCTCCTGTCTTTTCACCCGTTTTCCCCTTAAAGTTCTATGCCCTCCCCTGACCCTCCCAAAGATATACATGTGAATAAACCATCCATAAGGTAAAGAAGACAGAATTATCAAAAACTAAAAAGAAGTCCTTTGTTTCCATATCTTGGAGTTTGTTTCAGTACGTATATTATTTTGTATAATATGAAGAGGCATTTTGGCAATGGGCCTTTGTGTTGCTCTCCTAAAAAGAGTATCCTCTTTTGGTTTCACTGTGTGTGAGATTCTAGAATCCTGTATAATTTGTCATATCCTAGTTCATTTTAGATCTAACTTCCACAGATCAGAGAGCACACGCATCATTTGTCTCTCTGATCTTACCTCAGTTAATGTGATTTGTACTAGTTCCATCCATTTCCCTGCAAATGACATTGTTTTATTCTTTTAATGGCTGTGTTAATGTTTATTTTTAAAGTCAGAATCCACTTAAAGATATTGATGGTAGACTTGAGTTCAATTTTAAACAGTATTATTAGGGTAGTATTTCCTTTCTGTATCTCTGGCTATCTTTAATGTTTTCCTCTGCTTTATTGAACTTTAGCCCTATTGTAGATATTACTGTGCTTCTCCTGTCTTTCTTTACTAAGAAGGTTACTCTCAAACTGAAGTTCCCTAAATACTGAGTGTGTCATTCTTATTCTACAACTTTATGATAACTGCTTGTCCATAATCATGGTAAGAAAGTGAGTCATCTGTGCCTGACATTCAGAATTCCCTAGAAATTTCTTCCTTCTTATCGCCAATGACAATAATCAGGAGCAATTGATGACCATTTATATACCCTTGTTAGGGAAAGAATGATGTATTATTTCCTGCTTTGCATTGCTGTCCCCATGCAGATCAGTTTCCTGACCCTTTGCCATTAAAGAAATGTTATATTTTTCAGTGGGGTCTTTTGCCATTTTTCATCAATTACTGCCCCAAGGTAACTCCTGTGTACTGGACTAAGTGAGAATATAACTAAAATGGCTTTATTGTAAAGTTACTACAGGCACATTCACCTAGAACAGAGCCAAAATATTGGCCAGGTCTCTTGAGGTGAGGACCAGACCTGGATATCGAGAATTAGTGATCCAGTTTTTATCTTTGGGTTCCAGCAGACCTTTAGATTCTTTGCTTTCCTCCTTTCCCAACCAGACCACTGTCCATCTATACTTCATGGCCAACAAGTGGCAACGATTCGTGTTTTAGCTGAGAGTCTTGAACGGGACTCTAGTCTCCCTGCTGTCCTCAGCTTTCACAGGGACTCTGATGTGGCACAGTTTCTCTAGGAAGGGCTGAGAGGAATTTTGACAACTAGTTGCTATCAGGACTTGTCATCAATGATTTAAGAAAAGGTGAAGTGAACAAAAATTTACCTTCAAGGTAATTTTTACTCAAGATAAAATAAAAAATCAAATATTTTTATTACTTGGAAATTTTCTGTCCTGAGGCATACTGTGACAAATGAAAGAGGATCTGAAGTAGGATGGCATCACAAGGAGTCTATTTGAACTTTTAACTATTAATAAAGAATAAGATGACATATGATAGAGGAAGCAATACATTTAAAAACAGATAATAACTAAAGTTTAAAATGATTTCCTGTCTTGGATATAAAGCCTAATTGTAGTGAAAGTTTTCTTCAGTTTTTCAGATCCCAACTGATAGCAAAAGTATGTCTACCAAAGCTTCAGAAAAGATGAAAAAGTCTAGAAACCCTGATTGTTTTACAGGTAATTAAAATTGTATTGTATTGTATTTCTCTCTCTTACCACAAAGATTTGAATGATAGTTTTATTTTGTCATTTTGGTAACATAACTGTTTGCCTTTGCAGAAGAAAGTGTAATGAACAAAATAAAAATGAATAAGCTTTCCAAAGCAGTCTACTTAATGCAGAAGGCCCTTTTACTATTTGAGAATAATGTAATATCTACATCTGCATTGAACATCTTGATGGTAACAGTATTTAATTTCTTCTTTTAGTTATGGCATACAACTTCTGTTATAATGAGTGCTTTGTTTTTCTTTTTCCTGCATTTTATTATTAGCATCCATTTGTTGTGCAAAGCAGTTTCATTTTGACATGTCCATAAATGCATGCTTTGTTTCTCTCTGTTTTAAAAAAAATAGGCTTGGTGTAGTAGCTCAGGCCTATAATTCTAGCAACCAGGAGATGGATATGGGGAATATTTCAATTTGAGACCAACCTAGGCTAAAAGTTAAGAAAACCTGTTTCAATAAGTAATAAGATAAGTTGGTGGTATGCATCTGTAATCTCAGCAACGTGGGAAGCCAAAGATAGTTGTTTCCAGGTCTGAGCCCTTCCCCCAGAAAACAGTGCGAGACCCTTCCTGAAATATGCCTAAAGGAGAAATGGCTGGGAGTTTATCTTAAGTGGTAGAGTAACTACTTAGCAAGCATGAGGTTCTGTGTTCAAACTTCAGTAGTGTCAAAACACTTTGTTGTTATATTCTATTGTGAATTTTCGGGTTTGTTATATTAAGTTCAGCCTGCGAAGAGTACTAATCTACATCTCTAGTCCTGAACTATCCTGAAATAAGAGATTATATTTCCCTAGGGACAACTTACATGGGAACCAAATAAAATCAGAAGCAGTTATAAGCAGGGGAATTATAGTATTGGAATAATGCTGTGCTGGCCTCTTGCATTTCTCTCTTTGGAATTAGAATGCTTAAAGCCTTCAGGCTTTCTCAGATAGATAATGTGGCTAATTTGTGTTTGTGTGCCAGGGATTGAATCAGGACCTTGCGTATGTTAAGCACATTGTCTGCCATTGAGCTATGTCCCTAGCCCTTGTTGATATCACTCTAGTCTGGAAATTATTCTTTCCTCTTTTGGGTATGTTGATTTTATGTTAACTTCCCCAAGTCAATCACATTTTGAGCTATGGGATCTTCTTTCCCTTTACCTCTTGTATGGCCTGTAAAGTTTTGATTACATTGACTGTACTATTCAGCTTTCCATTGCTGTGACAGCATACTTGAGTAAACTGACTTGAAGGGAGGAAAAGTTTATTTTGATTTGTAGTTTCAGAGGTTTACTTGGCCCTGTTGCTTTTGGGCCTGTGGCAAGCCAATACAGTACTGTGGTGTTAGGAAGCCTGTTCCCCTCATGATGGATAGGAAAAGAGAGGAAGAGTAGGGATAGGGAAAAGGGAGAGAATGGTATACACAAAAGAGCTGTTTGGGTTTCAGTATCCTCTTCAAATGCATGTTTGCAATGACCTAACTTCTCTCTACTAGTTTCTCTCTGGTAAAGGTTTCTCCACATGCTGGTAGGCTTAGTGCTGACTAAGCCTTTCACACATAGGCCTTTGAGGCACATTCCAGTTACAAACTGAAGACAGAATAATGTTGCAAATAATTTGAACAGAGAATAATGTTGCAAATAATTCGGCTGTTAGGAGAAGGAAAAAAGATCAAAGATAGGAGGAGGAGGATACAGAGTTAAAGGGGTTTAAGACAAAATTTAGCATGTTAGTCTGCTATAGGTAAACATCTGGAACAAAGAAAGAAATACTAAAGATGAGAGGGAGAAGGAGAAGGAGAGGTGGAGAAAGAGAGGTTAAAAAAAAGTAAAGTCCTGCTGGGTACCAGTGGCTCATACTGTAATCCTAGCTACTCAGGAGGCTGAGATCTGAGGATCACAGTTCAAAACCAGCCTGGGCAGGAAAGTCAGTTAGACTCTTGTCTCCAATAAACCACCAGAAAAACCGGTAGTAGCACTGTGGCTCAAGTGGTAGAGTGCTCACTTTGAGCTGAGGGTCAGTGCCCAGGCCCAGAGTTCAAGCCTCATGACTGACAAAAAAAGTAAAGTACCATATGAGAGAGCAAATTTGGTGTAGAATTATTAAGAGACTAAATATCTTCATGAGATTAAGATCAAGTCAAGGACCAGAAAATGAAGGTCTGAGAGAGCTAGAAGGTAAGTATTTGAAATGAACAAGTAGAATCTTGAAATTCAAGTTTTCCCATACATGTCTTTCTAGTTATCTGTCTATCAGTTTATCATCTAAAGATAATTTTTAGTGACTAAGAACCACTCAGTAAGTATTTGTTGAAAAATTCCTTATGTGACTGATAGTATTTTAAGTGCAGGGGATAAAAATCAAAGTCCTTTACATATTCAACAAATATTTATTGATTGCTTCTTCTTTGTGGGCCTGCCCTTGTGGTCCCTACCTTCTCTTTGTGTCCCTGGGTTTACTCATAGATAAATCCAGTCTGTGGAAGCATAAATAAGTAAGTAGGTAACCATGGGTGAGTTTCACAGGTACTTTAACTGCAAACGTACCAGTAGAATTTAGCAGAGGAGTACCTAAGTCAGCAGTGCAAAACATCTAGGGAAATACCTACAGCTTGGGAGAAGCTGAGTATTGAAAGATGCACAGTAGCAAACTAAAGTTGAAAACTGCAAGAGTACTGACTAGCCAGACATAGAGGAGGGCAAAGAAGAAAAGCATTCTAGGCAGAGAGAACTTGCTAAGGGAACAAAAGTCATAGTGTGCTCATTCAGTCATAGTGGATCATTCAGCTTGCTGGGCTTGGATGCAAAGGTGGGTGGGAGATAGGATGGTAATATATGAGACCTGTGGGAAGGTAGAAACAAAGTCCTAACAAGCCTTTTATCCTAGTCTCAGAGTTTTGGATGGAAAGATGGTTTTATTGTTCAAGGTAGAGAAGTCTGTCCTGAAAGTACTGTACTTGTGTTAGGTCTGATGGCAGTATTGGATAAGTGTTGACAAGGCCAAGTTTCCTCTGATCTTTGTTGATGTGCTTAGATCCATTTTTCTCAGCAGATATTTTTGTGGCCATTTGTTTAGAAAGCATTTGGTACTTCAGTTTTGTTTCCAGGAAAATAAACTTTATCTTTCTTTTTAGAAATGTTGCTCTCAGGACTAATCACATAGGTTTTTGTAGCCTGAAGAGAGTAAAAGCTCTGGAGTTTTCTCCTTTGTTTTATTATGACTCATTCTGATCTTCCTACTGCCACAATATGCCATTCCCTTGTTGTGCTTTTACCTTCTTCCTACTGAGAGAGAGGAGCATTCTGGGGATATGGGAGATCTCAAGTTGCCAGCACATTTCTCTTCCTTGGTTCTTAAGTGAAACTATTTGAACTTGAGAAAAAGTTATGAGTATAATGTCCTGTCAGGATAGACTCATGAGATACATTTAGAGTCTGATTTTATGGTAATCCTCCACAAGAATTTTTACCAACTGAGATCATGTTGAATATTTATTTTTGAGGTCCTGTAATCTTCTGCTAGTCACCTCTGCTCCTCAGGGGTAGTTTTTATCTAAATGTTAAGGCTTGATGATCAGTCCTCAGGGTACTCTACTAAACAGCGATATTATGGCTCAAGTAATTGCCAAACTTTTCTTCTTTAAAGAAGACAAATAAGTTTCTTTCCCTTGACAATCATTTTCTGCTGGGGTATATTACACAATGTTTTACATTATCATGATCTTGTAACAAAATTGTCCCCATATCAATAGTTGATGTGTCGCTAGATACCATAAAAAGGTATGAAAAACTTGGGTCTCCTCTGAACTCTTAAATAATTTATAGCCTGTTTTAGTTTTTCAAAACCTTCCTGCCCCTGTGGATCCAGATAATCTCATCAGGTGTCTGGTTTATTTTGAATCAATTAAAAGTGAACCAACTTGGTGCCACAGATGAGGGACAAACCTTTTGATAATGACTCATTAGCTTTCCAAATCAGATAAATGACTGGCTATTTTTCTTGACAGGCAGGTTTTATTTTTCTCCATTTTCCCTCCTTATTTGACCTCTGGAAGGTCAATTTTTATACATTATACCATCTACCAACTTTAGGGAAGTGCACCTAGAAATTCATACTGGATTCACTGACTTCTGATCAAGTAGAGCAGTAATTATGTGGCTTTATGTCAAGACTTTAGTCAACTGGGGAATACATCAGCATCTGCATCTTTGCAGAGTACAACACTCAGCATCTTTTGAGATGCCATTTCTCCCTGGAAAGAGGCAAAAGCACCCTTCTACGCAAGTGCTAAGGGTTTCCAAGGTAGTGCTCAGTGCCCTTGTTTTCTGCCCAATATCCATTTCACCTTTCAGATGCCATTTTGGGGGGAAGGGTAATTTCTTCTTCTCCATTAGATATAATGAGTGTGGGACTTGTCCTCAAGAGGACAGCAGTGATGCCAGGGAAGCCTATTGATTGCTCCTCTAGGGGAACCTGAATCTACAGTGCAGAGATGAAAAGAATAAAACTTTAGTCTGTGTACTCCAATTGAAAATGAAAAGGAATCTGGGGAAAGAAATTTCTTTGTGTTTTTTAATGAGTGAAAATTTGGCAATTTATTCATTCCAGTGCCTGAATCTTGATCATATTGTGATAATTATGTTCTGCTCCTCTGGGGCTGCTTTGGTGCAGACCTGGCTTTCCAGTTGTTTCTATTGCAAAGAAATCCAATTGTTCCTTGGAAAAAAATATATTAAGTGAAGTAAGTCAGGCGCAAAGAAACATAGGTCCCATGGTTTCCCTTATTTGCAATAACTAGTATATGTCTGAGACAAGACGAAAAGGTCAGATAAGATGATGTTAAGCGAAATGAACCCCAAGATAAGGACACAAGTGTTTCTTTCTTTCTTGCTATTATTTCTAATGTAGTTATAGGGTACCACGTGATTTTTTTGTTGCTTTGTATATCCTCCCCCATGGTATAACCTTTATTTTCACTGTATTTGATGTTGGTCAAATTTGGGGAGTGGAAGGGAAAAAATAAATTGTTTAAATAGGGATACAGGTTGACCCATTGCAACAATGAGATGTACAAGACGCTATGTCAAAAAATGAACTTTACAATTTAGGTGGAGGGTGGGGGATGGGGGTAGGGGAGTGGGGAGGAATATAGTTGTGGAGATGGGAGGGAAGGGATGGTAGGGGAAAAACAAAGGAGGAGGTAACAATGCTTGATAAGAAAGGTACTCATTACCTTGCTCATGTGATTGTAACCCCTCTGTACAGTATTTTCACAATAAAAAACTTATTAAAAAAAGAAATCCAATTGTTCCATCATTTTCTCCTATTTGTTAGAACTTAAGTGAATTTACAGCAGAGATGATTTTAACAATTCCACATTCTGGTAATTGTACTTCAACTATAAGCAAAAGAACATTACAGTTTAATAGATTATTTTTAATAATTACATAGTCCCATTTTGAAACCAGAACTAACAATAGAGCTACCAGATATTCTAATAACTTCTGACTTTAATATTTTCTGAATTTGCATCTTGGAATCCCCTAAAAACATTATATTAACTTTGTTAACAGTGTTTAATTATTTTTTCTTTTTCATATCATTTCAGTCATCAATCCTATTTACTTTTGAGGGAAATATATAGGAATTCTCTTTTTTCACAGATTGTTTCAGCTCTTAAATATTTGTTCTCTGTGATATCATGATAGAACAAAGCCTTTCTGATTCTGACCTCCTTCTCTGAGGTCAAATGATCACTTTCAAGTTTCAAATACTAACAGAGGATTTTAGCATATTTTTTCTTTTCAGATGTTGTTTAGTTGTATTGCAAACTTCATCTAGGTTACTCATATATATATATATGTATATGCATGCATATATATATATATATATATATATTTTTTTTTTTTTTTGGTCGAGGCCTGAGCACTGTCCCTCAGCTCTTCAGCTCAAGGCTAGCGCCCTACCACTTGAACCACAGCACTACTTCTGGCTTTTTTCTGCTTATGTGGTACTGAGGAACTGAACCCAGGGCCTCATACATGTAAAGCAAACACTCTACCACTGAACCAACTTCCCAGCCCCTCTTCTATTTTTTTTTTAAACTTAGCTTTTTATTAAGATAACATGGTGGTAAAGGGACTTGGATTAGAGTTGTGGTATTTCTGTAACTATTGGTCTTGAGTCAAGTTATTTGTACTCTCGTAAGGTTTTAATTTCATCATCTGTAAAACGATTTATATAAAATGCTTCACTTTTGATATAGAATAAACAGCCAATAAATGTTAGCCATCAAATGTTAGCCATCAGCAGCAGCACCATAATTACTCTGTGTTTTGCTTTACACCTTCAAGGTTTCCTTGCTCGTGACTGGTGCTCTACCACTAGAACTATACTTTCAGTCTTTCATTTTGCTGATTAATTGGAGATGGAGTCTCCAGGACTTTTCTGTAAGGCAGGATTTAAAACCTCAAGCCTTCAAATCTCAGCTTCCTAAGTAGCAAGGATTATGTGATAAGCCACTGGCACCTGCTTTATATTCTCTTTATGAGAATAAACATTTCTTCCTATGTTTTCTCTTAGATTTATCTTAAACATTTAATATGTTATCTTCAACAATATTCTGTCCTAGGGTTCTTGGAGATGACTTAATCTACTTTTATCTTCTTCTGATGTATAGCATCATGTTGAAAACCCAGAACAGTGAGGTCAACTCAATAAGTAGTGAATATTCCAGTCCTGTGCTACTTGTTTACATATGTCTTAATCATGCCTTCAAGATTGCATTACATCTTTCATTAGTGTTTTGCTGCACTGTAGTGTCAGGCCTGTGTCAAGTATATTTAATGTCAACTTGTCCTTATAAGCATTGGGTAACTTCTGAAGACAGGCAGGTTTCATTTTCTTTAGTGCAAACTATAAGCAGAGAAATACTTTGGTTCTTGGTTTTTGTGGCACATTGCAGCACAAATCAGCATTGGAAGAGCCCTCAGAATTTATTTCTTTTGTGAGGTAATGTAGAATCTCTTTACATTAAGATTTATTGGCTGAACTTTTTGACTGATTCATTTCAGGATTCACAATTACTCTGCACACCTATCATGTGTATATAAGTTAGCTTAGGGTCTAAATACATATGGCATATTGGCTCTAAGAGGTTATAAGATATTGCTTCCTGAACAAAGGAACAATTGTTCTTGCAAACCATTGAGATTATTGACCTGAAAATGTGGGAATATTTTCCAATATCTCCTAGTACAAAATAAGTAGAATTTAAAAATCATTACAGATATTTTTAATTACAACTAATGACTTTATTCTTTGATGTTAACTATTTTCAATAAAATATAATAAGAAGAAGGTAATTCTGATCTTTGTTTTAGACCTAGCTTCAATATTTTTTGGGGAAAAGAATAAAAACAATTAGTAATAGATGTTAAAAATGTTCAAATAGTTGGGTGCTGGTGGCTCATGCTTATATCCCTGGGTACTCAGGAAGGCAGACATTCGGAGGACTATGATTTGAAGCCTGCCCTAGCAAAAAAAAAAAAAAAAAGGCTGCAAGATTTTATCTCTAGTTAACCAACAAAATACCTAGCTGGAAGCATGGCTCAAGAGTACTGGCTGTGAACAAACAAGCTGAGTGTAAATGAGACTCCTGAGTTAAGCCCCAGACCAAAAAAAAAAAAAAGTTCAAATAGAAAAGTGAAAAAACACAGATAGTTTAACTAGGATTATTAGACTAAAATACTATTTTATTATTATTTTAACTATCATTAGTCAATTAATTCCTGTATGCTAAATATTAGGAAATTTATTTATCACCACTTACTTTTTTAGAAATATAGTTGATCTTTTTTTGATACTAGTTATTGAACCCAGAGAACTCTACCTCTTGCGCTAAGCCATGCTCTCAAGAATCTACTTCTGTAATTTTTTGTTTGAGATAAGAACTCTCTAACTTTGCTTGGGCTGACCTTGAATCATGATTCTCTTGCCTCTGCCTGTTGAGAAGTTGGGATTACATACCTATGCCACTATGCTCAGAAGGTGAAATGTAATTTACATCAAATATTTATATTCTTTTGTTTTATACGTCTAACCTTCCTTATGAATAACTTCTTAAAACAATGATTGCTTTCAGGTTTGCAGATAATAATGTCATTTTTTAAATGGATAATGGAAATAATGATGGTAGATGTTCAGAGGGCTTGATTTAAAAAGTCTGATATTAATATGCAGTACTAACAACATTTAGGCATAAAGATGATACCATTGGTAATCATAGTTAGCCTTGTTTATTAGTCATTTTGCAAATATTCAAAATCATTCATTTATATGCCTCTGAGGCTCAAGAAACAGCAAATCGGAAAGATAATGTTAGTTAATGTAACCAGAATTTTACAAATACGAAGTTCAAGCTCTTGAAATGTATTTTTTTTTCTGTTTTCACACTTCATTATAGGAAGCATATTCTTTAATTGAGAAGGTAGAAGCAGAACAAAGTGCTCTATATTCACATCAGAAGTATTTGGAAAATTCAAAAACAAAGAAAAGCAGAATCCCTCCTCCACCTATTCTGCTGTCCCGGACTCATTGCTCTGTGACGTTTAAGCCTGCTCCATTTATTTCTGATGTTAAGGTAGGCTGCCCATTATGATCTTCACCTCATGCAGAGCACCTGAAGTACTTTTATGACTGTAATGATTCATGCTTTTATTGCTTGTAGTACCCGATTAGTCTTCATTGTAAGCACTGGACCCTAGATTAGTATTCTAATGTCTTATGTATACTGTTACTTCATGACAGAATTTTCCCCTTATGCAATTTATGGGATATTTTCATCCAACTCTATGTCCAACTATCCAACTCCTTCCTATATTTGTTGCTGTGGCATAGGAATATGCTAACATTTAAATATGCCCAAGAGAGGCTTCACTTGAAATGAATCAGACATTTGAAGAGGGATTAGTTGCTCTCAGAGCCAGTGAAGGAGATGAGGAAATGGACTGTGGAAATTTGGGAGTTCTAGTCTAAGTTCTTAAACCAATATAGATTTGCTTAATGTAAACAAGTATTTATTAGGAAGAGCCTCTATTCCCATTTATGATGGCTTGAAACTGGTTTAAATGGGACTAAAACTTGGGATTTAGTTTTCTAGCAAGAAATTTTCTTCTCCTAATTTATATTTTAATAGTGTATTTTTCTCTTTTGGGTGATTAATGATGTGTTTTTGATGTTGTATACAAGAATAAATTTTTATTGATTATTTTAGGGTGTTTTACATGAATATACTTGGAAGCCAAGTACATTTAAGTTTAAAATTATAGCTACATTCCTCATTAGTAGTCTGACTTTAGGAAGGAGAAATACATTTTCTGAAGATATTTTTCACTTATAAAATGTGTCTACTGAGGCTGGGAATGAAGCTCAGTGGTAGAGTGCTTGCCTCACATGCATGAGGCCCTGGGTTTGATTCCTCAGCACCCACATAAACAGAAAAAGCCGGAAGTGGCACTGTGGCTCAAGTGGTAGAGTGCTAGCTTTCAGTACAGAGAGGCTTAGGGACAGTGCCTGAGCCCTGAGTTCAAGCCCCAGGACCAGCAAAAAAAAAGTTTACCATGAAAATAAGATGATTAATATACAATGTTCTTTGCATATTAATTTATGTCTCTCTACACCTATGTTAAACATTTGTATTAAAGTTTACCAAAACTGGTAGTGGAGTTATAGACTCCATTATTTGGAGATTTCTCATAAATTAGTCAAATGAGCATTTATTAAACATCTATATTATATCCAGCTCTGAGCAAGGTAATTGAGGGATGAAGCTAAACAGAGATGAAGTATGGCTCATTCTTTGAAGAATTTCAGATTAATAGAGAGATGGACATCAGTAAGAGGTGTTGCCACTGGTGTAATGTTTTCCATTTACTATAATAAACATTTTTTTCTGCTATTAACACTTGTACAGTTCAACTCTGGCCTTTTAGAATCTGTTTAAGAGCAGGGCTTTACCAATTTAGAAGTTTTTGTTTGTTTAATTTTAAACTTAGCCCAAATTTTAATTTTGATGTATTTATGTGTAATGAACATTTAGTTTACAATGCTTGAAAATAGGAGGAATATCTAACAGTACCACATCTAACCTTCCCTTCCAGTTCTTGTCAATTGTCACATTATATGAAGTTTAAGTAAATTGGGAAACTTGCTTCGGGAACAGTCATCTGCTGCTGCTTGTTCATCAGCACTAGGTGGTGCCATGGGCTTAAATAAGTTCTCTGCTTTGCAGAGCCAGCTAAACTTTTGCCTTATCAAAACCTCTTGTTAAGGCATTCATTTCATTAAAATCTTTTTTATAGTTGAAGATGCTAATGTGATTTATATTGTTTATAAATTCTTCCAAAGTTAGTGATTTGTTCATGATATCTCTATTCTTATGTAGATTCTAATTACACGTTGCTTTTTTGAGTTATACAAACTAAGATCAGTAGAACAAAATAAAAATACCAAATGTGCTTGTAAAAATGCTTTTAGAGAGAATTTTACCCTCTAAATTCTGGTTTGGAGTGTATAACTTAAAGCAATAACAATCTAAGTCATATAATAGTCTTTTTTCCCCCTCTTCCCCCATGAAAAATGGGACTCTTTTTTTGCATGAATGATCAAGATAATTTAATTTCATACTTCCTCCTAATATTTATGTTGTTTTTTTCACCCTTGTATATACAGTCTCTGGGTTCTCCTGTCCTTGAAGGTTCTGCCTTTCATTGTTGCTCTTATTTAATCATGTGTAGCAACAATCACCTGAGAAATTTTCTTTGAAAACACAAAGCACTGGAAACTTGTATCAGAAGATCTAACTCATTGACAGTAGGCAGGCTAAGGATTGTTGATTGCCCAATCAACCATTTGGTTACAAACTATATTTTCCAAAACTGATTCTGGTACACAGTCATGGGTTATCATCCACTTGTGTAGATTAGACTCTATTAGGATTTTTCTGTTGACTGGAGGAAGGAGGAACAGGCATAAGCTATAAAAAATTCTTGGCTATTAAAGACATTTCCCCTTTTTCTAGCCTCCCCTGTAGTTTAGAATTTGCCTCTGGGAAAAGAGAATGCCACAGTGATGGCCCTCCCACCCCAAAAGTATGGCTTGTTTATAATACCACTGCTTAGGTATCAACTCATTCTCCTTTTCCCTACAGTGAGAACTTATAGTTCATTCCAGTAATGTACCTCCATTATTTTGGCATCTTGGCAGAAGGGTCATTGTCTAATTATTTAATCAAGTTAAATTTGTTGTTTCTGTGTGATTTTCATTTTGTGTTTGGTTTATGTCTTTCTTGAAAAATTTTTATAAGCTGGGCGCTAGTGGCTCACTCCTGTAATCCTAGCTACTGAGGAGGCTGAGATCTGAGGATCACGGTTCAAAGCCAGCCTGGGCAGGAAAGCCTGGGCAGGAAAGTCCGTGAGACTCTTATCTCCAATTAACCACTCGAAAACCGGAAGTGGCACTGTGGCTTAAGCGGTAGAGCACTAGCCTTGAGCTGAATTGCGCAGGGATAGAGCCCAAGCCCAGAGTTCAACCCCCATGACCGACCAAAAAAAAAAAAATTATAATCGGGGCCTGGAAGGTGGCTCAGTGGTAGAGCGCTTGCCTTGCATGCATGAGGCCCTGGGTTTGATTCCTCAGAACCACATAAGCAAAGTAAGCCGGAAGCAGTGCTGTGGCTCAAGTGGTGGAGCACTAGCCTTGATCTAAAGCGCTGAGGGACAGTGCCCAGGCCCAGAGTTCAGGCCCCACGACTGACCGTAAATAAATAAATAAATTATTATAGTCAATGTCATAATTCAGAAAATTACATGCTGGAGAAAAATAAACTCTGTGTTACTACTTTACCATGCATCCTTTTGCCATTTTACCTTGTTAGCTCTACCACTGTTCTTATTTCCTTTCCAGTCTTTTTCATGTATGCTTTTAAATTATATTTTAACACCACAATTTAGTCTCTTGACTTTATTCCACTTGCTTTTTTGTCATATACAGTTATGGAAAATCTCTTCACTGATGATCTTTGTTCCTATCAAGTCATAACTTGAGTCAATCAAGTTTAAATTGCCTTTGGAGTCAACTTATGCTACTGTCTATTTTGGGGTCAATGATTTAGAATCTCTGCAACTTTATTTCTTATGACGATAGTAATTCCATTTCATAGGAGTGTTCTAAATAGAAATTGTGTTGTGATTAAAAAGAATTGGTCAATATTCTAATGATATTTAGCATGTGGAAACTTCTCAGTTGATAGTTAAAATAAATAATAATGAAATTTTAGTCTTGATTGTCCCAGGTGAGTTTACTCTATTTGTTTTTACTTTAGAAAGATTAAATATATTTGCAAACATGGTTTCATACTTTAAAGCATGGGAGCAGCTATATATGTTTTTTATTTTAGAAAATTATTTCTTATGCTACATCCAGAGAAAAGAAACCAAATGTCTTTTAAAGGAATTGCAAGTGATTATGTCATCCTTCTCCTTGGCAGGTGTCTTGGTATTGCATTTTGGGTTGCAAAGCAGAAGGAAACTATGGAAAAGTAAGACTAAATCATAATCATCTCCCAAATTCAGGAGAAGCGGTATGTTGTATTAAATATCAAGAAATCTTACCAAAAGCCTCATTAATGACAATTAAATGGGATTTTTTTCCCCTTGTGAAGTCATTATTTCAGTGAATCTATTCTATTTTCAACTTAAGTCATAACTAAAATCCAACATAGAAAGAACAAGGTATGTCTAGTTATATTTAAAAGTCACATTGTTTTTGATTTTACATATATAATTTGAATTTTTTATTAATAGATACCAGCTGATGGAAAAACCATTTTTGAAGTGAAAGGTTTGGAGACTAATGAAAACTACATTTTTGCAATTGCTGCTTATTGTTCTAATGGAAAGCTCATTGGTGATGCCATTGGAGAGACAACTAAACCAATTCTGCTTTATCCACCTCTTTCTGCTATCACGGCTCGGATGTACCTGACACAGGTAGAAAAGATTGCTGCTAGTTTTTTTTGCACAATTTATTTTTTCCTACTAAGGATTTGCTAAGTAATTTCTTATTCTAAAGGTCCTGTAAAACATGTTTTCTATGATTGCAGTTAAATTTCATATAATAGGAATCATTGCTTCTATTAGCAAGTTTGTTTTATTACAGTAACATTTTCCCCTAGGTTACAAATATAACACATAATAGTTTTAGGAATTTTGGAAAATACTGAAATGCATATAGAAAAAAAGAAATATGTTATCATCCAGAATAGCACTTCTTTCTCTGATCATTGTTACCAGTGTCTATATGTATAACCTACTGGGGTGCTCTTGGCATCTAGTAAATAGAGGCCAGGGATTCTACTAAACATTCTACAATGCAATTACAAAGAATTTTCCAATCCCAAACGTCAGTGGTGTGAGGGTTGAGTAACATATTATGTATGTTATGTATATTACATATTATGTATGATTCATACATAATATTTGTTTTTTTGCAAATTTTTTATTGTGATTAAGTGATTACATAATTTTACAGTATTGTGGGATAGTGATGCTTAGTTAAAGCCACAAACACATTCTAACCTTCATGGGGCAAATTGTCTATCGTGGTCTGTAAAATTTATGAGGTTTATGGGCTTTGACTGTACAGTTATTTCTTCCACATTGGGTGATATGTATATTCCTTTCCTTTTGCATAGTGTCAGCTGTTCCCTCTTTCCCACTCATTCCCTCCCTCCATCACTGCCACTTTGTTCATTTTGATCAATGTCCAGTGCAGCTGATGGGTCCCGCTGTTGTATGTTTTCCCATTTCCCTCTAGTTCTGTGTCCTTCTCCTAGTTCCCCTCCAGTGTGCACATGTGTCCCATATCAGCAGCATGGGGTCATTTAGTAATGATTCAACCAGATGAGTAGAGGTCCTTTGTTTCTCGAGTCTTGTTTACTTTGTCGTATCACCTTACATTTTGTATTTCATCCACTTATCAGGGAGACCATGTGCCATTTGTCTCTTTGCTCTTGGCTTACCGCATTCAACATTATTTCATCTAGTTCCATCCATTTCCCTGCGAATGTCATTATTTTGTCCTTTCTAATGACTGCATAACATTCCATTCATACACAGTATTTCCTAGGATACGTACTATTTCCATAGGATTTCCTACATAGTATTATCCTATTCTATCTTATCTACTTGCCTATTGCCAATCCACCTGCCTACTATCTTTCCTATCTGTCTGTCTGTTTATATATCTGTCAATCTATGCGCTTCTGTCTCTATAGATACGTATATATACACTTACACATGTATATGCATTTATGTATAATATGTAATTTTAATTTATCATAGTATACATATTGTTTTGAAGTGTTATATTTTCATTTAATATATAATTGACATTTAAACATTTTAAAAATTGACATTTTCCCATTCCATTAGGAGTTTATATGTGTATGTATATTTTTGGTACAAGGCCTTGAATTCATAATACTCTGATGTCAGCCTCTCAAGTATGGGGGTTGCAGCTTTATATATAAATATTTATTAAATGCATTATTACTTTCTTAGGATAAATTCATAGATGGGAATTTTCTGGGTTGAGGCAGAGAAGCCTGAATGAAAATTTTAGCCCCACACAATAGGCAGAATGATACTGAGTAACTAGTTTCCTTCTGTGAAGTAGGAATAATAGTAGTTCCTCCCAGAGGTATTAAGAACAGTTAAATGGAATTATGCATATTCAGTGTTTCCCCTCACACTCATCACTCAGTAGATCCTGACTAAACAGCACTGTTGTTTTAGTTATGATTATACTCATGATTAACATTTTGGCTGACAGAGTTGTTGTCTTACTTAAAATGTCACCAGTGGAGAGACTCTGGAGTGAGTCATTGACCTATGTCTTGTCTCAAACATCTAATTTTAAGCTTATTTTTGGCTTAGAGCTGAAGGCTATACTAAATTTTATCATATTTCTAATGTGCTATTTTCTTTTCATAGTTGATTAGTAATATAAGTATAGATCTCAGTGACATTTTATATTATTATATTTTTTCAAACAAAATTAAGTTGAGAGAATTGCTAGGATTCATTTAGTATTGGTTTGGCATGTCATACTGGCTCATGATTTTTTTGGTATTTTGATTTCTTTGGAATTTAATATATTCCCTAATTTGCAATGATGGAGTTATTGTGAGGGACTGAATATTTCATCTAGGCCTAATTTTTCTCCTGGGAGTGGTTTGACTCTTGGGTTACATTTGGCAGAACTTTCATTGAAAGTTAATAAAACTAAGCCTAAGCTATACTGCTGGGATAATGAGAAGTGTCATGAAATAATGGCATGTTTCTTTTATTGGTAAAGTATTTTCAGTTTTGCCATTCATTCATGATAGTTTATGGACATTCTGTCTCATAAGGGTAAGTGGGAAAAGCAAAACTTTCTCACTTACTAAATCTCTATTTATAGCTTAAGTTTAAGCTTTTAAATTCCAGCTTAATATGTCTTTCTTTTGGAAGAGCAATCTAATTTCATGGAAGTGGTTAGTTTTTAGTTTTAGGACAGGGTCTCTTCACTGAGTCATTAACCTTAATACTTTAAAGGAAACACAAGGTATTTTATCAAAAGCCTGTGGTTACAGTTGGCTTTTGGGATTTTAAGTTGTACTTTTACTTAATATCAATCTATAAGTGAATCCTTAATAGACTTTCTATTAATATAGAAAACTAATATTTTAACTTGTTAGTATCTTTTCCTTTTGTGTAGTGCTCAGGATTGAACCTAGGGCTTAAAGCATCATTAGCAAGCATTCTACAATTGAGCTACATCTCTAGCCTTTAGCTTTTTTAAAAATATTTTTTATTGTAAAGATACCTTTGCCATTGAAAATTGTTACCCCCTCCTTTGTTTTTCTTCTACTAGTTTTCCCTCCCCACCTCCCCAGCTCCTTCCTCCCTCCCCCCCCAAAGTTGTAAAATTAGTTTTCAACGTAATGTCTTGTACATATCATTTAGATTTTGACCAGGGTCTTTCTGTATTGCTGAGGCTGACTCAAACTTGCCGTCTACTTGCCCTTGCCCCCCAAGGACTGGGATTGCAGGAATTTGCCATTGAAACTGGTTTTTGGGAAAAAAAATGGAGTAAACCTTTTGAATAATATTCTTTTCATAAATATTTATTCTCTTTTTTAAACCTCATTTCTTTTTATTTTTCCAGAAGAGCTGAATAATATGATGTAAAATATAGAAAACTGAAAATATGCCAGCAGGATACTAATCTTGACCTCAGAGATTATTGTTTTTGAAAAGGTCCCTCATCCCATTTTTTTCTCTTTGCTAATTGGATATTAACACAAATGCCATATTGGTTTATTGAACTATCAAATGACAAAAGTGAGTGGGCATGATGCTTTAAAAATATGAATATGGGAATATCATTTATTACAAACATGGAAGAAGCAGACTCAATTACTGAATCTTAGGCAATTTAGGATTTATTATTCTGTTCATTGTCAATGTACATTTAGACTATTTGCGTATCTTGGCTGTTGAGAATAATGTAGCTATGAAATCAGGATTGCATATATTTCGTTGGCCTACTGATTTTAAATCCTTTAGGCATTTCTGTACTCAGTAGTGAGATGGCTGGGTTAATTTTTTTTTTTTTACAAATGCTCTATACTGATTTTTTTTCAAAATGACTGTACTAATTTACAATTCCACTAACAGTATATGAGGCTTCTCTACCTTCTTTGTCAACAGTTTCATCTTGCAATACCTGTCATCTATTTTTATAATAGCCAATCAAACAAGTATGAGGTGATACCTTATTGTGGTTTTATTTTGTATTTCTCTGAGGTTAGTCACAGAAAGATAAATTTGTGATATTACTTATGCATAGAATCTAAAAGTCCAGTTCATAGAAAAAGAGAAGAATAGTAATTTTCAAAAGCCAGGAGTGGAGGTGGATAGGGAAGAGAACACATTTGTTAATAAGTACAAAATCATACTTAAGTAAGATTATATTTTGGTGTCATATTGTACAATAAAGGCATCATAGCTAGTAACAACATATTTTATATTTCAAAATACTTGCAAGAGGAAATTTAAAATGACAAGTATTGGAAGTGATGTATATTGGCCTTATATCATCCCACAGTGCATACATTGATCAAAACCTCACACTCTTTCCTATAAATATATTTTAATTATTAATCAACAAGAAATGAAATGAGCCAGGTGTTGGTGGCTCACACCTATAATCCTAGTTACTCAGGAGGCTGAGATCTGAGGATCACGGTTCAAAGCCAGCCTGGGCAGGAAAGTCCGTGAGACTCTTATCTCCAATAAACCACTAGAAAACCGAAAGTGGTACTGTGGATAGAGTGGTAGAGCTCACCTTGAGCTGAAGAGCTGAGGGACAGTGCCCAGGCCCAGAATTCAAGCCCCACAACCAACCAAAAAAAAAAAAAAGAAAAAATTTAAATTCACCATTTCATTAACTACAGTATTTGCGAGGTGATATGATTGCTTTTACTTTATAGTTGGGAAAGCAGGTTAGCTAAATCTTTTTCTACCAATTCCACTGAATATTAGAAAGGGTATCTCAGGGACATTAAATAATTTTTTTTAAGGATGCTTGTTATAGATGGTAAGCCTGACTCCTAGATTGGCTTATGTCATTCCATGACTCTCTCCATATCTCAGGAGGTCAAATATAGGACTTCTACCATGTGCCATTCTGTCAAAGCCTTCATCTCTGCCATCTGTTTTTAAGTGACCCTCTCTCTATGCTCCTTGTCTTCTCTTTGGTCCTTTTCCCTTCTCCTCCACTATGTATAACTCTTTTTCTATCACTTATCTATTATCCTCTGCCTAAGCTTGTGTTGGTAAGTAGGTCTCCCTGGTATCAGTGAAAGTTTTGTGATAGAACATGCACACTTTTGCGAGCAATTGTTTAGTGATTATGAACAAAGACGTTCATCTATGAGTTAATTTAGGACTCTGATTCATAAATGCTTGACTCTTGTCTATTACTTCAAATTTGGAAAAATTTAGAATGATAGGCAAAAGAGTTACTTGTTCTTTAAGAAGTTTCAGTTCTTCTCATCATCTGATTATTATTATTCTCTCTACTCATCTGATTTATTGATGAATTTTCTACTCAGTGTCTCTTTTGTGCCAGGTTCTATGCTAGATGTCTTCTCTTCATCCTGTGAAATAAACATCTTTTAAAAATCAATCTTATTACCCAAACAGTAACGATTTTTAGATAATTTTTAGTATGGTTTTAGCTAAAATCCTGATTTCAGGTTTGGACACTAGCATGGCCTGGGGTGGTAAGGCAGGTAGGTCCTGAGAAGGCTGAGGGATCAAGGAAGCTCTAGGTCTTGTACCTTTGGTTCTGTTTACAGATAAGCTTCATTATCCTCTCTCTAAAGATTAAATTTTTTCTTTATTTTGGAAGAAAAATGATGGTTCCTAGATTTCTATATCCGCCTTAATTGTGGCTACAGAGCTGTCTTCCAGGATTCCATCTTGACCCACCCAGTGTAATGAAGAGTCTAACCTCACCCCTCTGTTTTCCTTTCCCACATCTGGGTAAGCTGATGGAAGGACTATGAGTCCATCTCTTCCTGTGGCACTAGCAGGGAATTTAAACCTCTCAGCCAGTATAGATTTCCTATTGTTCTATTCTCCATTCTTTCTACTCCTTTCCCAAGTTAGTCTAATCTTGCTTACACCCACCCAGCTCTCTTCTAGGAATCCCTTGTATAAGGAATAAACTTTCTCTCAAATTTGCCTGGTAAATCCAAGGAATCATAAGTTTGGCATACCTTTAACAAGGTCTGTCTTGCTTTGTAGGGAGGCACTCACCCCATATTAATCACCATGTTACAGTCGTGCAATTGCTGGGCATCCTGTGCTGTAAGGAGAGGGAAACTGTCAGGAAAAAGAGGATTTTAAAGTTTATTTAACACCCTATTGGTTAAGTTCTTACTCTGTGCCAGGCATTATTTCAGGCTTGTGCAACAGAATGACTTGGAGTGTTGGTTGAACAGGTTACTGGGTCCCACACTTCCAGAACTCTAACAAGTTCTAAGTCATACTTATGTCCCAAGGATTATACTTTGAGAACTACTTTTCTAAGCAACATGAACAAACAGCATTGTGGGATATAGGGAGTAAACAACGGACACAGTAAATAAGTAAACTAGCCTTTGAGAAGATGATAAGTGCTGTGGAAAAACAAGTAGAAGATGGTGGGGACAATGGAAGTGTGAAGTGGAACATTTGAAGGTCCATTATTATAGTAAATGGAACAATAAGGGAGGATGAGATTTGAACAGAGACTTGAAGGATGAGAGAAAGTGGCTATATGGAGGAACTTTGCAAAAGAAGGGTTGGAAGAGAAGCCCCAGTTTTCAGATGTGGAGACCCACTTAATCTGATAAACAGCAAGGAGGCTAGTATGTTATAGTAGGAGGGACCAATGAGCGTGGAAGGAGTAGTAAGGGGAATGTAAGAGGTAAGTGGGATAGTAGACTTTGGCATGTGTGTGTGTGTGTGTGTGTGTGTGTGTGTGTGTGTGTGTGTGTGTGTGTGTGTTGTGGATGTGTATGGTAGTTTGAATACAGAACCTTGTGTTTGGTAAGCATGTGCTCTACCATATAAGGTATGCCTCCAGTCCTAAGAATTTTATCCTTCCTGAAATGGGAAGCTATTGGTTGTGACTCATGGAATACCATAATTATACTTCTATTGTCAAAGGCTTGCCTGGCTGCCAAGATAGGAATAAGACCATCAGGGGTCATAGGTGGGGCATTATTTCTTGTGATCCAATGAGAATTGAAGGTAGCTTGGCTGATGGAACAGTAGTTAAAGGGATGAGAATTCTCAGATTTGGGTATGCTCTCCAGAAGGACCGAATGAGAGTTTCTAGTGCAAATAATATGACGACTGTAAGGTATCAGCTTATGAACTAGGACAAAGTTGCCATCAACTCAGCTGGGAAAGGCTGTGAGGTGGTATAGATATGGGAGGGAATAAATACCAGAAGTTGAAAGCCTGTGGCAAGAATCATATCCCATTTTTACCCCTCTACCATGTTGCCCATTTTACTCCAATTCTAACTCATCCCTCCAGCTTGTTCTAAATGCTCTGCATTAATTTCTACTACTAGATTCTCTCACATTTTATATAAATGTAAATATAAATATAATTCCTTGCCTTAGGGTTCAACTGAAGCCCTGCCTCCTCCTGGAAGCCTTCATTCTTTTTTTCCCTAAAACCTCCATAATAATTAAGCTATTTTTTGTAGTTGTTAGGTGATTTCATATGGTTTATGCCCTTAATGCTATTCAATTACATGGAGTAAAAGGCTGTTACTAAGTTTTGAAGCATCTAGCCCTCCAGGCCTTTGCACAGACTAAAAACTTTGTTAACAGCCTATTGGTTGGTTAATTATTTGGCAGCATAGAAAAGTTCTGGCCCCAGAAGTTATTCTCTTGAGTGGAAAATGTACTAGTGACATGTCACTGTTATGTTCAGTGCATTTACTTGGACCTTATTCCTTATCTGCCTCCATAAAGGATTTGAAGCAGCACATAATTAATTTCATAACAATTACATAAATATTTAAATAGAATAATTTAAAAATATCTTTTAAAAGGAGTATATTCTACCAAAAGAATAGGTAAGTTGATAAATGTTTTTCTCCTGAGCTCTCAGGCTTTACCAGTAAAATTATTTTGCTTAATGTTAAATTTGTTAAACGTAAAAGATAGAACTTCTTGGAAAGCATTTCTCTTTTATTCTTTACCCTTTTCATCTGTGAGCCCTTTGTTGTACAAAAGCTCTGAAAGTGTCAGTCAGAACTAGAAAAGAATGAAGTATATTTCACAGACTGGGTTTGGGAAATCTGATTGTTTTTCTTGGAACAGATTGTTCATTATAACAGTATCTATAATAAATGGAGCGCACTGCAGAGATAGATGAAAATGAAATTAATTTGGCTCAGATGTGATCTTTGTTTTGCTTATGAGGATTTGAAACATCCTCCCAGAGTTTCAAATTTCCATGCAATTTAGAAAAGAAAGAGATTTCAAAATATGTCAGACTCCCTTGCCAGTGGCCACAGGTCCCTCACCATGGCACAGAGCAGCCAGAGTGAATAACTATGGATGAAGTTAGCAAATGATAGGACTTTTCCTTGCTTCTGCCTTAAAATATACATGTCACAAATACAACACAGCTCATGAGATGATGTGCTTTTTTTTTTTTTTTTTTTTTTTGCAGGTTGCCTATCAGACTGGTAACTATAAATTGGCCAAGAAAGTTTTTTCAACAGCTTGGGATTATTTTGTTGCATCACCACCTCGAGATGAGCAATCCATTGTTTCTTTAAGCAATATAATGACAATAACACAGAGAAGGTACTTAGAAGTATTATTTTAAAATGTGAATTTACTGCTTTAGATGTTAGGTGTGAAACCTTGAATTAGTTTACTGTCAATTTCATGTGAAGATAGTCCATGTAAAAGTATTTCTAATCAAAATTATAGTAAGAATATGCATCTCAAATCTTTTTTTTCTTTTGTTTTTTGTCGGTTGTGGGGCCTGACTCTGGGCCTGGGCACTCTCCCTCAGCTCTTCAGTTCAAGACTAATACTCTATTATTTGAGCTACAGTGACACTTCTGGCTTTTTCTGTTTATGTGGTTTTGAGGAATTGAACAATTGAACCCAGGGCCTCATGCCTGCAGAGCAACCACTCTACCACTAAGCCACCTTGCCACCTTCCTAGCCCTGCATTTTAAATCTTGAGTCCGTGCTAGAAATTTCCCTGATAGAATCAGGAAAAATAGTGATGGCATATGGATGAAGGTTATGGATAGAAATACCAAATACTGCCTTAATACTTACCCATTATAGCAAAAAACCCAAATATTCACTGGAGACTTTTATAACAACATCAGGTTTGGTTAAGCTTAGGGCTTTATGTATGGACCGTTAGATTCTGAAGAGTTTTCCTTTGTTTCAAGAGGCTCCTAAGATAAGATCTTCAATAGCTGCAATATGCTGGCAGCAGCCTTATAAAATGGTAGGCTATCATTTGATTTTACTATCATTTTCCTTACAGGAACAGGTTAAGAGCAGTCTCAGATGTGAGGGTTAGTGTCTAAAGAAATTAAAAAACACAAATCTCCTCCACTTGCTGGTCAATGTCTAAATTATCTTAACAGGAAGAGAAACTCCTTCTCTTCCCAAAGATAAACAAGCCTATAAATGATGATTAAAGCTTGGTATTGATAATGCCTATTTACATTGAAAGTATAATTTCATTTCAATTAACCTAACATGGGCTTAGCATTTGCTATATATAATATCCTAGTGCTGTGTGACTTGTGTATTAAGATAGGAAAGAATGAAAAGTGATTGAAAGTTCTAAGGTTACTGACTTGGAAGCCTGTAGCATTTACTAAGGGGACATGGCAGGTGGAAAGATGTTTGCAGGGAGATAATGAATTTGATTGGGGATATTTTGAGTTTAGTTTTCCAGAAGGAATCCAATAGATATATTTATGTAGTGCGACACTCAGGAAGGAGCCAAGGCTAGAGGTAGAGATTTGAAAGTTATCCATGGAGATCATCATTAAGCTCTTGAAAACAAATGTTATCTTCCATGGAGGGACTAACAGAAAAGATAGAAGGCTGGGACTGACTCCTGGGCATTGCTTACATTTAAGTGGAAAATGTAGGAGAAGGGGAAAAAAAGAAGTATTCTGATAGGAGCTACCAAGTAAATGATAAAATCCACAAACAGGCATTGCCAAGGAGACTGGCCAGCTCTATCAGATGCTAGTATAAGATCAGGCTCAATCAAATGCTGCAAAGATGTTAAGTAGGATGAGAATCAAGAAAAAGCATGTAGACTTGGCAGTTAGATAACTGGCACATTTAAGGGAACCATGATAAACTGTAGCATGACGGACCAAAAATCATTTTGTGACAGCTAAGGAAAAATTACAAAGTAGAGAGTTACAACAAGCAGAGACCAGGCATGTAAAACAGGACTGTGAAGAGAAGAGGGAAGCAAGAAGCTTGAGAAAGATAGGCTTATGGGGGATGGTTTTAGAGTGTGGATGGAAGGGTAGAGGAAGTAGAGAGGAAGAGATGGAAGATAATAGAAAATTCAAGTGACAGTGTCACAGGGGCATTGTCAAAGGAAGACAAGGGAAGCATAGAGGAGAGCAGAGGGATTTGAAAATATTGAAAATATTTGAAAATATTATTCTAGGGGAATCCAAACAAAGAAATAGCCCAGAATACATGGAAGTATTGTGGAGAAGCACTAATGACTCAGCTGGTGTCATACAGCACGGATTTGTAGTAAATCTAGCTCCCTCATGGCTAAGGGCTCAACTTGATTCATCTTTATATCCTAGGGCCTCACTAAAACATTACACTATACAAAGCAGACTAAAAATTCTACTTTGAAATGAAAGAATGAGTGAAATAAATAGGTGAATAAGTGATTTTCATAACAGAGGTTAGAAGATTTGGCATTGATGTCTCTGTAAGGTTAAGCTAATTGATTATTGTATGATGTTAGTGAACCTAAGATGTTAGAAAGGTCACTTTTGAACAAAATGACCAGAGTTTGAGCTGGATAGGTAAAGAAATGGAGCCAGGAGGTGACAGGTTGGAGTACGGGTAGAAGTCAAGGTACTGAAGGACATGATGAGGACAGTGAGAAAGTTCAGGGTTTATTACAGGGCAGCACACTAAAATTCTCATGGCAAAGATAAAGCTAGAGTTGAATACAGTGGTGATCATCCTTAAGTATGAATTATTGATGTCAGATCCCTTCCTATATCATAGAGACGAGAGGTATAGAGAAGAGATGGATCTGAAGCTTAAAAGTAAGGGTTTATCATCAGCTAAGCCCTAGATTAAGGGAGAGAATATTGGAAACAAAGGAAGGCTTCAAAGTTCACTGCTTTGCCAGTGGTCAGCACTGTTGGCTACAGTTGAAAAAAGATAATTAGAAATGATCAATAATTATTAAAATACTCTCTCTTCAACAACAGCTGAGTTTGCTATAAATAATCCTTATTTTCAGAAAGTTTATTAATTTAAGTATTGGGCCTGTTTTCCAAAATTATTTATAGTGGTGTTATAGTTTGAAAAGAAATTTTATATATGAATATATAAAATATATAACATAATGTATAATATAATCAGATACATAATTTTATATATGAATGAGAAAATTTTTCCACTTTGTTTATTTTTATATATCTGTGATTTCTACAGCTTTATTTTCCTCATTATGAACTTGTCTTTAGTTTTGGTCTAAACAGCTGTTCAAGAATAGCTGCTGCTTTATTTTCATTGCTGTTCTGATCATTGAGTAGATACTGAGAGCAAATGAATCACATGCTAAGTCAATCATTTTATACTTCTACCTGTAACAGCATTTATTCCTTTTGCAGATTGCATTCAGATATTTTGACCGAGACTTCTTCAATCCTTTTATACCTTTTTCTTAGAAACATTTTTGTAACAAGTGACATTAAAATTAAAGAAGAAAATATGTTCTGTGATAATATTAAAGGCAATGAGATTTTCCCTGCTCAACAGGTAAGTGAATTAAAGTGGCTGAACCCATGTCACTTTGCAATGATATGTAAATGTCATATTCTGTTTGTTTGTGTCTTGTGTCCTGTGAATGAACTGAGGAGCCATGATATGAATGTGTTGCATTATTTGAAATTCCACAAAGGTTTTATAGGTCTCAGTGCATGTTTATTTTCTCTTATTTTTAATTTCTTTTTTTCCATGTGTACAGGAGTAACATAGATATATATTTCAGAATTCAAATGTATATAATGTATAAAATGAAAAACCCTTTTAATTCTATAACTTCTGTGAATACTAGGGTTTCATGATTTGTCTAATTTTTAAAAAATATATACATAGACAAATCTATTGCTATTATTTTTTCAAGAAATTGAATTGTAAATTGCTTTTTAAACTCTTTCTATCTTGGATGTTTTTTTTCATGCTGGCACGCATCTATGTTCCATGTTCTTTTAAAGTAACTTACTGTATTCCTGTATTGAGGAAGATGTTTAACCTATTTCCTATTGATAGAGTCTCAAAGCAGTTATAAACAATGCTTGTATGTATCTGTAATCCTTTTAATATTTTCACTTTTTTAGCGGTATTAGAATGTTTGAATCTTGATATGCTACTTACTAAGCAGACATTCAATCACTTGAGCCATATTCCTGTCCCTTTTTGCTTTAATGATTTTCAAGTAGAGTCTTTTGTTTATGCCCAGGCTAGCCTGGACCTTGATTCTCTTTACACTTCCTGTGTCTCTTGGATACAAGCCACACATCAACATAATTATCCTACATTTTAAAAATTCTAGCTTGATGCTTTGTTTTCTATTCTTTCCCTTTCTTCTTATTCACTTTAGATTCAGATGTTTTAGCTATTTTTCCTTTTTTAAAAAAAATCCATTTACTTATAATTAATTAAACAGTAAGTTGTTATGTGAGATAGAGGCAATTTCTGGGAGAATGAAAGTGGAAAAAATATTAGCTCAAGAAAAGATTACTATGCTGTAGAGCCCAAGTACTCACAATCATCCACTTGTCCCTACCACATTGAATTTAGCTACTTTTTTGATTATATCCGGTCTCGAAGTAACATTTTTCAAGTACTTCAGTGAATTCGGAATGCTAAACTACCATTCTAGTAAAAAGTAATTGTATAAGAATCACTATGCAACTCACAGTTTCCCTTTCATAGAATTTTGTATGTATAGAAAAATGATGATTGTTTCCCTAGAGAGGGGAAAGGAGAATGAATGAATTTTGTTCATTTTGAGTTACATTTAATATCAAAACGTAACATTGAGATTATACCATCTTATTTATTTAAATACTAAATGTATAAGCAGGAGATATATAACAGAAGAGTTTACTGAAAATTTACCATTTCTGACAGAACAAAAGGAAAATTGGAATCTGTAACAGAAATGTTATATTTTACTTATTGTTTAAAGCTAGATTTTTTAAATTAAAAAAGCCAATATTTAATTTGACAATAAAAGACTCTCACATGGTGCTGTTGGCTCACGCATATATTCCTAGTTACTCTGGAGGCTGAGACTGAAAATCACCAAAGCCACCCCCAGCAGATAAGCCTTTGAGACTCTTGTCTCCAGTTAACTACCAAGAACGAGGAGGATGAGGTGGAGGAGGGGGAGGGGGAGTGGTAGGGGGTGAGGGAGAGGGAGAATTAGGAGGAAGAGGAGTAGGAGGAGGAGGAGCAGTGGCTAAAGTGGTTGAGTACTAGCCTTCAGCAAGAAAAAAAGGCTTAAGGACACACACACACACACACACACACACACACACACACACACACACACAAGCACACACACGTTCTTTTTAGGTGATTAGTAGTACTTGTGGGTTTTTTTTTTAATATTCTGAAGTTAATTCTGAGATTGCATTATATAAATGTATTACTAGAGAAAGTTGTTTCCAAATTTGCATTTTCTTCATGTCAACATTCGTGTAATTAAGCCACAAATATCACATTTTCTATCCTTTATTCTCCTTAGAAACATGTTAAGTTAATCACTTTGTGTTCAGTTTGAATTACAAGGCTATTTCTTTGCAGATTGCTAGACTGATGGAATGTGAGAGAATATTAGTAGCATTGGAACTTAGCAACTTTCTTAATGATTCCAATTATGCCCTTCAAGCTGTGACTCAGTGTTATGGCCTCCTTGCTCCTATAATATATCACAATATTGTTTTGGTACCCGTTATACAGGTAAAGGTATTCCCATGACTCTACTTAAAGCAATTTTTTTTAAAATATACAGATTCATTCTGAAAAAAGCAAAATAGTGTATCTCTTACAAAATATAGATGGGTAAAAAAATGAAATTTTAAGAGTTAACTGAAAAGCATTTAATTAATTGTATGTCTGAACAGAAGCTTGATTACTGCCCACTGTTAAATACTGGCAATAGTAATTTCTTAGTTCTAAGAGTTATTTCATTATTATGCTCTTGTAATTTTAGATACAGTTGTATATACTGTTGCACCCATTATTAAATCCATTATAAAGAGAAAATGTAGTGAATTACCTAAGAAAATATACTTGGTGATGGAATTTATGGAAAAAGTTGATGAGATTTGGTGGGAGGAATTGTATTAGTTATATATGCTTCTTAAACACTGTTAATCAAATCACCATCACCTACATCTTAAAAGGACACCCACTTACTTCTTCATAAGTCCCAAGGTCAAAAGAATCCACACAGGTTAGTTAGGTCTTCTGGTTTGGATCTCAGGCTGAATCAAAGTTGTTGGCAAAGCTACAGTTTTTCTAAGTCTTAAAATCTTTTTCTAAGTTGGTTGGTTGAGTTGGCATTCCCATTCAATGGGAGGAGAAGAAACACCTGAATTCTTCTGAAAGAAAGTGGACTTTGACTTTTATGTCTACCCTATAAATGTGTCTAGGTATATTTAAGACTTAAATGTAAAAGAAAGCCAAATATTTAGGGAAAAATCCTAGAAAATGATATGTGTAGTCTAGAGTTTGCAAAAAATCTAAGACAGAACTTCTAGAAACAATAGGACATCTTCCTTTGAAAAAAGGGACAGTAAGAGAATGATAGAATACTTACGGAATTAGAAAAATTATTCCCACATCTGTAGAGGTATCTATCTATCTATCTATCTGTCTGTCTGTCTATATGTATATATCTATATATCTATGTATATGTATATATGTATCTAATAGAGAGTCTTGCAAATAGACAATAACCTAATAGGACAATTGACACATGATATGAATAAGCATTTTACACAAGCAAATCCAAGTAGTTGAGAAACATGGAAAGATGCTTAGATTTTGATAAAGTAACTTTAATTTTAATTGAATCAAAACTAATTTTAAACAAATAAAAAACAAGTATTCCTGATACAATAACCCCTCTATGATTAACTTATCTCATGTAATGAAATCTTAATAAAATTAAAAATACATTTGTATGATAGAGCAATTCCACCACAGGTTATTTATTACATAGCATAAAATTACTGGTTGGCAAAATGCTATCTCTTCTTTACCCCTGAGTTTTAGATGTGTCCTACCCATATTTTCTACCCACTAGGGACACTGTATTACATAATAGTACATGAGTTAGAGGGTATCTGTGACCTGGAGGAAGATGCTACACTGTCCTTAGTGGGGCATCATCTCACAGATGTTGTATTAAGGGTATTTACTGTAGTGCTATTGGTGGCAGCATTATATATATGTATATATTCCATATTCCTCATTATTTTTCATATTTCTTTCATTTCCTATGATTCATTTGGTAATTGAATATATTATCTATATTCTTCAGTATATCATAAGCAATTTATCAATGATTATTGACAGCAATAACATTTTATAGCTTAATGTTCACATGATTTGGATACAATGTAATGAGGATGATATATTAACACAAAAATTATTGTGCTTCTACTTTTTTAGATTTTAATAAAGTGTATAGTGGTTTTGCAAGGACTGCCAAGTATTCTCTTCGCAAAGAAACAGGTTTTAAGTTATGAGAGTGTACAGCACATGATAGCTTGTTGTATCTTCTACATGACAAAGGTATTTGTCTCTTTCTTTGTCTGATGCCATAAAATTTATAAATAGTCATGATTTAGAAAAACTACTTTTAGTCATGATAATTAGGGCAGGGTGCCATTGGCTCACACCTGTAATCCTAGCTACTCAGGAAGCTGAGATCTGAGGATTACAGTTCAAAGCCAGCGTAGGCAGGAAAGTCCGTGAGACTCTCTCCAATAAACATCTAGAAAACCAGAAGTGGTTCTGTGGCTAAAGTGGTAGAGCACTTACCTTGAGCTGAAAAGTGCAGGGACAGCGCCACGCCCAGAGTTAAAGTTGTACAACCAACAAAAAAAATCATGGTAATTAAGATAATTAAAAATACCATCCCCAAACATTTTTCAATCTAAAAAGCAAATGTGAAATATAAAGTTTTGAGATTGTAATCTGTTGTTGAATTTTTTGATAAAATTGTGGTGCTTCACAAACAAAATTTGATGTTACTGAAATAGCATTTGTATATTTTCTGAAAATTATAAAGTCACATAGAAGGTGTGTTTCAAAACCCTAAATTACTAGTGGCATGTACATGGCTACAGGCAATTTGCATATCTCAGAAAAACCTGCTTGTAGACCCAAACCCAGGTATCAAGTGTAGTGTGGTGCTTATAAGACCTCCAGAGACAAAGAAGCATGGTTGTAATAAAAAGCTTAATCCTTAATGACAGATATAACTATATTATAAATTCAGAATTTTAAAAAATAGCATTAGACCTGAAGAAAAAGACAGACTAAGTAGAGGCTAGGGTAATTTTGAGATTGATGAGCAGAACCTTGAACTCAACTGAGGACAAACTGTAGAGGTAAATTTGGACAAAGAGTCATGTATCTGGCCAGGTACTGGTGACTAATGCTTGTAATCCTTGTTACTCAGGAGGCTGAGATCCAGAGGGTCAAAGTTTGAAGCCAGCTGGGGCAGAAACATTTACAAGGTTCCATCTTCAAAATGGCTAGCAAAAAGCAGGGCTAGAGGTGTGGTTCAAGTCACATAGCAACAGCCTTGAGCAGGAAAACAGAGTGAGTGTGACACTCTATATTCAAGCCCTAGTAGCAGCAAAACCAAACCAAACCAAACCAAACCAGTCATCTATCTGAAGAAAGAGCAAGCCAAATACCAAAAATAATTGTAGTATTTTCTCCTTACCAAGTTGGAAAGGACCAGAGATGACTTGGGCCATGATAGGGGGCAGGAGGGAGATAATTAAACTTTTAAGGAAAAGTAATCAGATGACCTTAAACTTACCAATCAACCAACCAACCAACTAACCAATGACAACAAAAAACCTGTAACCAAACTGATTTGATGAAGATCATGGTTATAGTATTTCTTGAACCAAATGTGAAAACTTAAGAACTTTCTTATATTTGGGCACTTGTGACTCATGCCTATAATTCTAGCTACTTGGGAGGCTGAGACTGAGAGGAACTTGATTTGATACTATCCTGGCAGAAAAGTTTGAGAAACTTGTCTTAATGGAGAAGTGGATGCAGCGACACATGCCTATTATTGTACCTACAATGGGAATACTAACAGAAAGATTGTACCCAAGAAGGAAGGGAGGCCTTATATCCAAAATAACAAGCAAAAATCAGGGCCAGAGTTCAAAACTGTGCTGTAAAAGAACAGCACAAAAACCAAAACCAGAGAAACAAAAGCCCAAGCTATTACCACCCTAAACACTTTTAATGTAGAGGATTATATAGAAACAATAAATTCAAATGGTAGATCCAGTAGTCATGACATGAAAATAACAAAAACCAAAAGGGCAGAGAAAGAAACGAATGAAAAGAGATAGGTTCCCTGAGTCCCAGGCTGGATTAATGTAAAAATATTAAGAGGGATGTTGACATCATTCCTAAAGTTAAAGAATCAGAACAAACTTTAAAGTTGTGAAACCCAAAGATCAAGTTATTTGCAATAGAAAGAGAATCTATTTGTTTCAAACTTTATCAGCATCATTAGAAGTTAAAACACTGAAACAAAATTTGTAAAATCTTCAAGCAAAGCATAACATCCAAAAACTAATAACCATGAAAGATATCATTTGTCAGGGGAAAATAAACATTTTCATAAGTGCAAGTATTTGAGAAGTATTCTGCCCCTATACTTATCTGAGGAAAATACTTGAGGAAATACTTATCAAATGACAATTGATTCAGAACAGAAATCCCAAGATAGGCAAAGACAAAATGGAAAGGAATAATGGGTGCAATGAATCTTACAGTATAGGTATTATTAAAATTAGGTACATAATAATGATGTGACTGGGACATTGTAATAAAAATACTAAGTAGAGATCCTTGATAGAGATGTTATCCTTGAAAGGAAAACTTAGTAACTTTGAACTAAAGTTTCCATTCTGCTTGAGGTATGGGGAGATATGAGCAGGTACATTTTTTGGGTCACAATTGAATGAAATTTTATTTTCCCACAAAATGCATATAGTATAAAATGGTTATTTTTGATAGAGTACACACACATATTTAAAGATGGCTTAAGAACGAGTAAAACTTGGGTAAAACTTTAAAGCATAGTAGGTTTCTAAATGGGCAGATATTAAAAATGAACTGGAAAGAATGAGAAAGCAGAATCAAGAAAAGAGCAAGGATAAAAAATAGCTAATTCAACAAAAGAAGAAAGAAAAAGGAATACTATTTGAGGTATAAGTTATAGAATTAAGTATATCAATCACTAAAGGGTGAGTGTAAGCTAAAATGGTGGGTCCTAACATACTATTTCAAGAATCATACTTTAAAACAGGGATGAAGAATGGTTGGAAAATAGATAGATAGACAAAGGTATTAGACAAGCAGAAATTCAAAAGAAAAATGGCACTTTTCACTCCAGAGGAAGCAGAGCACAGGGACCCAAATATTCATCAGTGCCCTTTGAATCTTTGAGACCAATCTTCCATGCTCCTGGATGGCATGATGCCACTTGCTAGTCTGAGGACAGGCTTATTGTCCCAAGGATTAAAAAATAAGCCTGCCTTATGTTTGATTCCTAGCACTAAGAACAAAAAAATGAAAGAGAAAAATCATGTCTAAATTAAAACAAATCTTGGATTTTTATAACAGTAGATTAAAATAGAACAATAAGATTATAACAAAAATGCAATGAAGACATTTGATAACACTTAGCAACCTTTCCTAATAAAATTTCTAATAAGTTAGGAATGGAAAGAAGAAGTTGAATAATGATAAAGACATTTACCCAAACTTTACAGCAAATATCATACTAAATGGCAAATTTCTGAAGCTATTTTCTTAAAATTCAAGCACAGGAAAGAGATGCTAACTCCTAATAGGGACATTCAGTATCTTCAAAGATTCTGTCATGTGATGAAGATATGAAATAATTTTATGACAATAAAATAAAGGAAAATTTACCTTATTTGTAACTGTAGCAGTGTCAAACATTTGAGAATCTAGTAATTATAAAATGATAGAGAATATATATTATACTATAGTGATATATATATAAGAATTTCATTGTTTTACTTGGTTCAAGAGGCCAATCTTTTTCCAAACACAAGGCAGAAAGAACTAGAAAGTCTGCTTGATCCCAATCTTTTCCATCCTTTTTGAGCCCACCCCGTTAACCTTGTGACTATTCTGGTTTTTATCATTTCTGTTACTGTCACATGGTGATAAACAGACAAACCAAATCAACTCAACTCCCAAAGCTCAATTCTGCTTAGCCAGGCCCTCTAAAATATTTGAATATTGATGAGAGGATCCTCAACTGGGGAAATGGTAAGGTTGTAGGAGAAGAAGGATGACTGAAGCAAGTTCCCAGAATGCAGAAGCAGTGGGATTCCCACATAGGTGAGAGACATTAGTTTAGACAGCAGATTGCAGGGAAGATAGTATAAGTACAGGCCAAGTGTGCAGATAGGCTAGTAGACAGATGACTACTTCCCCTGCTTTTTCTTTAATAGAAAGAGGAAATCAGATCATTTGCTAATAGTGAAGATGGAAAATAAAGGTGGGTTTCAGATATTTGAGAAGAAATGAAGGGCTTTGACAAACACTGTGGAAGATGAGAGAGAGAAAAAAAGAGAGAGGGAGAGGGAGAGAGAGAGGGAGAGAGGGGGGGGAGAGAGAGAGAGAGAGAGAGAGAGAGAGAGAGAGAGAGAGAGAGAGAGAGAGAGAGAGAGAGAGAGAGAGAGTTCTGCTTAGAATAAATAGTATTCCGTCAGCAGTGAGTCCTAGTGACAGCTGCCTCCCTCAGTTCTGGACACAATTTCCTTCTGAGCAAACAGTAATTTTGGGGCCGAATCTGTGCACTACCTGATGAACCCACCTGCTTCTTTTCTACCTTAAGGAGTTATTGAAATCCAAGTTGTGCCAGAAATGTTTTGACCATGTTTTTAAAAGAATATATTAATGTCAGGATTTTGATACCTGAGCTGGATATGTTCCCAAGTGATGTTGAGCATTGCAATTTTAGAAGTTTCACTTGGCCTGACTGACAAACACAGAATCCTGGACTAGTCCCAGATTTCAGCTTTTATTTGATATAAACAATACTAGACTTCTTCTTAGAATGTGTAAAGCTTAATTTGTCAAAAAGTATATTTCTTTTTACTGTTTTGTTAAAAAATCAGTAGTCTTTTCAGATAGCTCAACCTTTTTAAGCAACATGTTTACCTTGCTGCCCCCCACCCCTGCCCAAAGTCACTAGAATTCCAAATAAAGTACCACTTCTGTGACTTGCCATCTTAAATGCTTCATTATTTTTGCATTGTTTTAAAGCTGCTATGTTAAACATCTGTCATATCCTTTATTTGTGTTCAACATTAGGTATATTACATGGAATTATTTCTCTGTTTTCTTCTTGATTAGAAAATAATTTACTATTTTTACTATTTTTCTATTACTATATTTAAACATGTGGGGAAATTGTACAGTTCTGGATAAGCTTAGGACCTAAATATTTCAGAAAGCAAAATATAGTAGAGTAGAAAGTACACATTAGCTTGTTTCTGATTTCTAGTTCAAAAGTTGCCTCATATACATTTTATAACGAGAATGGACTATTGTGTAAGCATTCAAGGTCCAGTACAGCATAGCCTTATCTACCTTTTCAAATTTTATTTCACCATTTTCCTTCCCACATTCTGTTCTACCATCAACATTAGCTTTTATTTTAGCACATTGTACTGACTCCACAGAAACAGTTCCATTTCTTATGGAAAGACTTGGAAAAATTATGTTAAATAAAGTCAGGCACAGAGAGACAAAGGTTGCATGTTTACACTCATATGTGGAAGCTTATAAATATATAAATACTTTGGATGGGAGAAGTCAAACAGTGTAATTTCTTAGAGAGGAATGACTACTTGGAAGAGGTGAGGTGTGAGGTGAAGGGGAGGGGAATAGATGAAGAATAGAGAGGAAGAATACAGTAACAAATTCAGTATATCCTATAAAATTAAGAAAAGAGAGAAGGGGGTGGGTTGGGAGAGATGAGTGAGAGTTTTGAAAGAGGGTAACATTGATCAAGATACTGTATTCATAAACTGCTTTGTTGAATGCCGATTCCTTTGTACATCTACTTAAAGATTATATATACATACACATATGTATATATAAAACATTCCTATTTCTTCACAGTAGATCAGTTTTACAGATCTAGAAAGTTGCTATTTTTCAGCTTCTTCATATGTTTCTTCCATGCACAGGAAGTAAAATGTATTTAAAATACTAACTCACTCAATTTAACAGAAAGTAACTCTACCCAACAAATTCATATACACTTAATTATACTCTTAGTTGCCATATAGGGAAGGTAGTGAATGTAATTTACTTCCTTTCAATGTTCTCTAGGATTAAAGGAAATTGATAGATTATTATACCAGACTAGAGAAAGCTTGAAAATACCAATAAGGAGTGGCAGATTATTATGCTGCACAATTCTATTATTAAAGCTTATGCTTTTCCATAATGTACTCAAGAGAATCTGCCAAATATAGCCTACCTCTTGACCAGGTCTCTAGAGATTACCATGCAAATCTTTGATCAACATAAACTCCCCCTAAGGCATCATGAGGTCAGTCCTTGAATAGTTTTCCACAAAAAATTAACTCAAAATAAGAGGCTATGGGTTTGTGACCTTTATTAATGACTATTTTAAAGTAGACTTTTAAAATGAAAATAGTTTCTTAATAGTCATATACTGTACTAAAAGCATATGTCTATATGGTCCAAGGAAAGGGAAACTTACTGGGTAGAACTGGGGTTTGAACTTTGGGCCTTGTACTTGATAGACAGATATACCAATTGAGCCATACTCCCAGGGTATAAATTCCCAGGGGAATTTATTATTGAAGAATCGTTTGTCAGCCCTTTATTTAAAATAGAATCATATATTGTTTAATTCTAGAGAAATAAGCCTCAGTTGGCTTAATAAAAGCAGAGAAGTTCTTAAACTTAAAACATTTATGGGACTCTGACTTTATGATGCATGATACTTGAGAATAGACCAAAGTAACTAACAGAGATAATCAATACATATTTTAATTAGATTCTACGTTCATGGAAGGAATATGACCTGGCAATAATGATGATAAATTATGGAAAAAGAATGTTGGACACCACATCAAGCTGCAAATCTCTATTTGGTATTACTGAGCCAGAAGAAGTAATAGAGGAGGTAATTGTTTTCTGTTTCTCATATTTACTCATACATTTACTTGTTTTTTTTTAGGGTTCATTTATTAGCATCAAACATATTAGAAAATGGGTCTATTACTAGTTTGTCATATTTACATAGAAGAAAAGTAATAGAGTTAAGAGTTTATTTAGTTTTTTTAATTTTGGGGGGAGAGGAGGAGCAGGGTTGTGTGAAAAGCTCATCCACATACTGGAAGTTTGTAGTCCTAGTACCGACCATCTCTCAGGAGTTGGTAGAGAGCTCTCTATACTCAGACATTGGCTAAAAGCCCTCTGAAGTCCCTTTTGAATCTAAGATTTTTATTGTAAATACATGCCAGAGTTATTTATTTCACGTTCAAAGTAGATTTCTGAAATGCATTGTGATACCCAAGTTTTCTTCTTTATGAGACTAATTTTTAATATCTGTCTCCTAAGCATGGGTCTTATAAGAGCTTATGCTTTATTACCTTCCTTTGAAACTGTGTGGATTAAATATTTTTGAGATCAAGTTTGGAAATGTTACTTAGTTTATTGGGTCTCTGAGAAACATACCAGGAATGATCGAAGGAGGCCCTTTGTTGGTTTGGATGTGGGTAGAGACTCTGCCTCCAACACTGGTTTCGCTTAGATTAACTTCATTTCTGTCTCTAGTATGTGCTGAGATAAAATGCAAATAAGCATTTGTTTGCATTACTTTTCCCATGTAGGCATTTGTCTTGACCCCAAAGGCTTCATAAATCACAACTGCATCACTACATGACTTTTTGTTACTGGAGGGGAAGTTTTGTCTAGAGGGGCAAAACAAGTTGGAGTCAATTTGAGTTTTTTCTTTTGATGAAATGTTTACTCTCGGTGCCTTATGGTCCCTTATGCCACCTAGGCCTTGACTGAGGATTATGTTAATATGGGACAGGACCTCACACTATTCTCCTTGGAGCTTCTGGTTCAACAGAAGGTTGAGATACTTTTCTCTGACCAAGGTTGTAGGAACTGCTCATTTGTTCAAGTCAGAAATTCTTAGAGCCTGCCAAGGTCCTTTTAGGCTTGGCATATTTTGTTTTGTTTTGGTAACAGTAGACATTGAGAGGTTAGTTCTCTGGTTCAGACAGAGCATACATATGAAGAGCTTGAACACAGACAGGCCATTTCTTAATTTACTAGTTACTGAAAGGCAAAGCGCAAAGGTAATTACCTTAGTTGTAAAGAAATTCATTCTGGAAAAGGTTTAGGAAAGAAAAGGATAAAAGAATACATTCTTGAGTGGACTCCAGAGATTTTCTTTTGGAGACATTGGATATATAACCTTCATGAGAAGAGATGTGGCTTGCTAAAGGGATGGGGCTCATTAAAGGGATGGAAAATACTGGAAGGAAGGGAAAGGAAAAGAAAAAGCATTTGGGTTATTCTTGAATAGACTTGGTCTGGCTTTTGGTTAGAATATAATGTTATTGAGACTAACTAATTGTTATTGTTTTAGCACACCAATCATAGTTTTATTTTTTATTATTTTTTATTTTATTTTTTGGGTCCAGTCATGGGGCCTGAACTCTGGGCCTGGGCGCTGTCCCTCAGCTCTTCAGCTCAAGGCTAGTGCTCTACCACTTGAGCCACAGCGCCACTTCTGGCTTTTTTCTTTTTGCTTATGTGGTGCTGAGGAATCAAACCCAGGGCCTCATGTATGCAAAGCAAGCGCTCTACCACTGAGCCACCTTCCCAGCCCAACCAATCATAGTTTTATCTGCCAAATATGAAAAAATTAAAATGCAATTTAAAGAAAGCTATTTATTATAACATGTTAAAATGCATTCTGACATTTAACCAATTTTTTTTTTTTAGAATTCTTTGAAGAAACCTTTAAAACCTAAGAAGCCTCAGCAGGTACTGTTCCCTGAAAAAATAAATGAGCAGCTGGCCACATTGGAGACATACCTACTCAAAATGACAAAACAATGTAATTTTTTTCTGTATACACTCTTTATCATTATGTTTCAGAAAATAAGAATATATTTTTTTAAAAGTACTAAGACAAGATTCATGTTTGGGAAACCCTTTAAGGCGTACATGGTGCTTTTTATGTTATGTCATTAATCCTAATAATGCCTTGTTAATAAGGGATTGCTAATTGCTTCTTATGAATGTGTCTTGGAAAGATAAACGGTTTACTGAGGATTATATTACTAGCTTGAACTTAATACTAGGTCTTCTAATACTAAAGCAGATTTTCTTAACCTTGATTCTATTGCTATTTTGAGGTCATAAGGTTCTTTATGGTGGAAGGACTATATTGGGCACTATAAGATATTGGGAAGCACACTTGAACTTTGCATATAGAAATATAGCACATCTTCCCTCAGTCATGAGAAATAACTGGGAAGCAAATATTGCCAAATGTATTGGTGGTGGGATGGGAGAAAGATGACCTAAAACTGTAAATCACTGTTCTCAAGGCAGGAATGCAACAAACAAGGGCTGGTGTGAGGAGTGTTCATATGTAAGAGTTTTGAACCATGGCTTAATAAGTAGAAAGTATGGTGAAAAAGCCAAGCGTTTAGCTACTCAGGAGGCTGAGATCTGAGAATCAGGGTTCAAAAACCAGCCCAAGCAGAAAAGTCTGTGAGGCTCTTATCTCTAACCAGCAAAAAGCTGTAATTACAGTTGTGGCTCAAGTGGCAGAGAACCAGTCTTGAGCAAAAAGCCAAGCGAGAGCACAATGCCCCAAGTTCAATCTCCAATATATGAATGTACACGTTACATTTTAGGAATTCTATTGTAGTAATTTTATAATGAACTAATAATCTATTAATGCAGTGTTGGGCATTTTGGAGAAAGCTGTCTGTAAAACTGACTTAATCTCTGATGATGATTACTGTTGTCACTTTTTTTAAAAAGTATATTAAAAATCTTCTAAAAGAACAAGAGAGCAGTATCTACATTTCTTTCACTTGGCCCTCTGGTCTTTTAGGAACTACTGAATTTATATAATTCTATGGCCCCATGTAAACTTTCTTACTGTATGCCTCATAAAATTTGATTGTTTGGTGGTTTTACTGTTTACATTCTTTCAACTTCCACTCTGATTCTGAGGAAAATTTACTAATTGAAATCAATGTTCTCTCATTCCTAAAATTAGTAAACCTAGTTTTTGGAAAAGTGTAATTTTCTTGCTACATATAAAAACATAATCTATTATATATAAAATGTTCTATAGATGTGATTTGTTCACTTTTACAATAGCAATAAAACATTTTACTAAGAAGTGCAATTTAATATTACTAGTCAACCAGTAACAAATAAAAATAATAAAAATCATATTTTAGGCAGTGTTTTCCATGTGTCAGACACTATTTTAAGTATTTGATGCACATTGAGAGTTATATAACTAATATATAACAACCAAATAAAAAATGATCATATCCTCATTTTTAAAGGTAAGAACACTGAGATACAGAGTTACTAGGTAAAAATTAAAGAGTATCAGGGTTAGTATTTGAACCCAGCCAGTCTGGTGCTAGTGGTTCTGCTCTACTTTACTGACTTTGAAAGATAATAATTATACTAGGAAAAATTTAATATAATTTATAGTTTTGGTGGTGAGTCCCTTAAATTTTAGAAGAAAATAATGAAAGGAAACAATTGAGGTTACAGTATTCTTTGTAAACTTCAAAAATTAATGATAGTCTTGTACATTTCAGAGTTCCAAAGAGTTTTTATTCTTGGTTGTTCAGAACAAAACCTGAAACTTACTGATTTTCTTTTAAACTTAGATACTTCGTATGAACTCTCAGGAACAGAGGACCCTATCTTTCTTTATCCTGTGGTTTTAAATTGGGCTGTGAGAAATTCTGTGAAGGAAGGTAGGTGATCTGAATGTGCACGTGCTGTTTGCTTACTACTGAGGAACGGTTATGGTGTGGAGTCTATAAAGATTTCACCTGCTCTCAGCAGAATATTTTTGGTTCTTACCCATTCAGAATACTGCAGAATTTTAAATGCAAAGTAGTGAAACACACCTAAATATGTACTGGAAAGAAAGAAGCATCATGGTGACTTCTTTTGGTAGTGCATATAAAATTAAGAAAGCTTATAAAATTGAGGGCATTGAAAAGTGCATTAGTGATTTTTTAAGTTCAACTATGAAGAGACAGCAACCCAGAATGAAATATTATCTATATAAACTATGTATAGTTATGACCTTAACTATGTACAATAAGACAAGAAATAACTACTTATGACAATTACTAACCTTTGCCCCTTTGCTAGTGATTCATACAGTAAAATCAACTTGAATGCAAGCTTTCTCAGCATTGAGACTTTTTGAGACGTGGGAGAAATATAGACTGTAAAGTATTATTTGGTATTAGAAAAAATAATAGTTCATATCAAACTCATATTTTTTTAAAGTAAGAAATCAAAAAGACAAGTTAATGAACCCTCTACTTGGAACAAATTATTATTAGTACTAGTAATGCTTCAGCACCCATAATTACTATATTGGTAACTGTATCTAAACTTAATTGTTTTTACAGTTATGAAATTTAAGCAAAGACCTAGATTCCTGGAATTCTTTACACAGGTTATGCTTAAGTGTCTGAATGATGAAAAATTTCACATTTTGGTGGAGATAACTAGTCCTGTTCATGACTTCTTGAGAAGGTACTTGTAATATCAGTTTTATAACTTAAGTTTACAACCTTAAGTCACAGAGCTGGATGAAAAAGAAGTGGGGTGGGTTATGTCGTTGTCACCTGGGAGATAGTGAAGATTTATGTTCGTGTCAGCAAGTAAATGTAAAAATATTTATGTAACTGAATGAAGAAATAAGGCTAGAGCTTGTTCAGATTTCCAACAGGAAATAGATTAGGTCTTTTCTATTGGGCCAGGATGGATAGATGTGTGGCCTTTGGCCCCTTCATACACAATATTTAAAGTCCAATATTGGTTATGTATCACGGGTTTCTAATTCTCCTGTCTTAATGAGCAGGAACCATTTCATATCATTTCCATTTGTATATATGAATGAGACGTCTCTGAGATAGAAGTAGTCAGCCTTAAAGCTATCCCTCTTATTTTCTTTTTTTGTTGTTGTTATTGTTTTTTTAAATTTTTATTTATTTTTTATTGTGAAAATACTGTACAGAGGGGTTACAATTACATGGGCAAGATAATGAGTACATTTCTTATCAAGCATTGTAGCCTCCTCCTTTGTTTCCCCTTCCCATCCCTTCCCATCCTCCCTCCGCCTCCCCACGCAATCCTCCCCACCCCCCGCCCCCCAAAGTTGTAAAGTTCGTTTTCGACATAACAACTTGTACTTCTCATTGTTGCAACGGGTCCACCTGTACAGGTGGACCTTCTTATTTTCTACCTGAATAATTCTCTGCTCCCAGGGAAAATGATCATGTCTCATGCCAACTATGAGGGAACCTAAATGAATTCAGCTTACCCTGCAATAACTGATAAGTGGGCTTTTTGACACCATAGGACATAAATCTATCCATCCCATTTTAATAAAAGTAAATATCAGTAACATGAGATTTTAAAAAATGGTAGCAAAGGAGTAGAGAAACATTTCTTTAAAATAAGTACTTTATACATTAGAGAAAAAGTTTGGGATAGATGAGCTCATATTTTCAAAAAGTAAAGGAAGGAATAGCTTTTGCTAAATGCAGCATGCAATGAAAATCAGAGAATTGATCACAATTAAAGCATTTTATTTAGTTAAAAATTTAGTCAAATCTAAATGTACAGAAAGTTTAAGATGTCACTTAGCAATAAGGAAAAATAGGAAGGGAATAACATGAATATGTTCAAAGGACTAAACCTAGTGTAAAGTACTCTTATGGGTTGGAAATGTGGCTTAGTAGTAGAGTGCTTGCATGCATGAAGCCTTGGGTTCAATTCCTTAGTACCACATAAACAGAAAAAGCCAGAAGTTGTGCTGTGGCTCACTAGCCTTGAACATGAGAGAGGCCCAGAGACAAAGCCCAGGCCCTGAGTTCAAGCTCCAGGACTGGAAAAAAAAAGTGCTGGGGGGTGGGTGGGGGGGGGGGTGGGGGGGGGGCGCGGGAGGTTCTGGAAAGATGGCGGAGGAGAAGCTGGAATATGAACAAGCTCTCATATAGAAAGCAGTTTTAGAGTTCCAGTGAACAGTCCTAAGCCAGAGAATCACACCAAGTGTGCCATCACAGGACAGAGAGTTAGACAAGAGAGGGAAAGCCAAGGCAAGAAGACACATGTGAGCGCTTGCCAGCAGCCGCCGCCGCGGCGGCAGGGTCGTGGCGGAGACCGCAGCCGCGGCCATACCTGAGCGCTCACACAGAGAGTCCGAGATGAAGGAGCCAGACGCAGCGGGCGAGCGGATTCTACTCAACACCAGCAAGAACCGACAAGGAGCGGACATCTTCATCCTGCAGTTTGCAGACCAGAGACGACCCAGGATCCAAGACTCGGCTTGAGTAGAAGCCCAACCTCCTCACTCCTTCTCAGGGAGCAGAGGAGGGAAGGCCACCCCTCCCCCCCGCAGCACCGGTGATCTCCATCTTGGATACCGACAAAGCTCGGAGGCTCACACAGAGAGTCGGAGACGAAGGAGCCAGACGCAGCAGGCGAGCGGATTCTACTCAACATGAGTAGAAGCCCGACGTCCTCACTCCTTCTCAGGGAGCAGAGGAGGGAAGGCCACCCCTCCGCCCCCAGCACCGGTGATCTCCATCTTGGATACCAACAAAGCTCAGAGGAGCTGCCAGCTCCAACTCAGGCCTTGGAATAAAACGAGTCATTTAGCAGGTCACAAGAACTTAATGGGGAAGTGACCTGCCAGACTCAGCTCCATCCAGGGAAAAGTCACCCAGCTCAGGCGCCAGCCATTGGAGTGGCTTTCCTCACTGGGTAACCAGAGCCAGAGGCTACCCCTCCCTCTAGCAGCCTCCACAATCAATTGAAAAACAGAAACCCTGAGAATGGCTCCAGGCTGGGCTGTGTGAGTTTTTTCAGAAAATAGCCCCAGGGAAAAGCTACTGATTGTTGAAAGGCCTCAACTCTTCCCAGAACCTAGCCTCACCACTGCATCCCCCTCTTTTGTGATTCTCAAAGCAGATCACCCTCCCATTAAACTAATCTGGGAGGGGGATCTCAAAATCTTGGGTAAAGCAGAGCATTTTTCTGCCTGTTCGAACAAACTGACTTAAGAAACCAATCAAGCCACAGGACCTCAAGCTGACCAGAGACTCCAACAAGAGGCTGGTTACAGACAAAAGGGAGATACAGGATTCTTCCCACCCCTCCCAAAAAAAAAAAATCAAAGAACTTTTTTTTTTCTTCTTCTTCTTTTTTTTTTCTTTTTTCTTTTGGTACCTTATATATATAATTTTTTTTTTCCTTTTCTAAAAATTTTATTAATCTTTAATTTTTGCCTTTTTTGAAAAAATAATTGTTTTCCAGTAACTTTTTTTTCCTCTTATAATTTTTATTTTAGGAATATGTGAATGTGCGTTTTCCTTTCTTTTCTTGTCTTCTTTCTCTTTTTCTTTCTTTCTTAACTATCTTTTTGATTTTTGTCTAGCTCTACTGAACTTCTGATCTTTTTTTCTCCCGTTCTTATCCTTTCCACCTTTTCCTCTCTTTTGATCTTCTTTATGTGACTTAACTCTTGTCCTGCACATCCTCAGATAAACCCGTAGTTAACTAGTAGACCCTATCCCCCATTGTGTACACACTTAATCCACAAATTTATTACTCAATTCAAAACCTCTGAGACTTAAATTCCTTAATAGCAGTACTACCTCTTTATACCTATATAATATTTTAAGCATTTTTTTAAGTTTTTCACTTCTCCTCTATGTCCCTTCCCTTCTCTTAATATACTCACATTCCTCTCTAAATAGATGATCTTTTAATCTCCATAATAATATTAATTTTTACGTTTCTATTTTTTTCTGGTCTCTTTTCATTTCCCTTTCCCTTTCTTCTTTTTCTCTCTCTCTCTACTTGCATCCTACCCAACCTATTTCCTGCATTGGGATTAGGACATAGTTAACTCTCCCTGTGCCTCCCCACACCAATCTATTCCTATTTTTTACCCACATTTCTCCCTAACCCTAATAATTTCTGGTTTTCCAAATTCTTCTCTGCGGTTCGAAGCCCATTAACATATAGTTGTTTGATGTTGAATAGATGTATCTGTTGAACTAGATTGTATCTGTAGACTATTGACTGTACAAATGCAAACTTTGATTGATGGTTGCCTTAAGATAGTGTTCTAGCACAAAACTGGTGCTATTTTCATCTCAAATGGGCAGAGTAAGCCGGAAAAACACAAGAAAAATGGCAAATCCGGATATCTCAATTCCCAATCTTGATAATCAGGGGTCAGAACAGATAATGAATAATGCAGAGGAGAGTTCCCAAATAGCTCTACAAACACTGCTGGCAAACATGATAAATGAGAAGTTTGACAACTTACAAAGGACTCTGTATGAGCGTGAAAGGGAGAGAGAGGAGGCATCCCAAAAGCTTATACAGGAATATCATAAGCGTGAGGAAGCTACTCAAAAACTGATACAGGATTTGCAGGAACAACTTGAGATTACTCAAAGAGAAAGGGAGGAATGGCGTGAGCAGGCTGAGAACACTCAAAGAGAACTGCAGGAATCCCATGAACGGGAGGAAAGAGAACTACAGGAATCCCACGAACTGGAGGAAGCTAATCAAAGAGTAATACAGGAATTGAGAGATCAGGTAGAGAATACACAAAGATCACTAAAGGCATTCATGGAATCCATTAACAAAGAGCTGAAGGAAGTCAGGGAGACCACAAAGGGAATGCTGAATGGAACCCAACAGAAGGAATGGGAGTCCAGAGAACCCATAACCAATCAACTAAGTGATTTGAGAACAAACACTGAACACCAAATTAAGGAAGTAAAGAAATTCATACAAGACCTAAAACAGAGCTTCAACAAAGAACTTGAAGCCATCAAAGCTGACCAATTAGAAGGAAAAGAGATAAAAAACAAAGTAGAGAGTCTTGACAGCAGGTTAGACCATGCAGAAGATCGAATCTCAGGGATTGAAGACAGCCTAGATATTATAGAGAAAGAACATACAACCATCCAAGACAAGTCCAAGAAATATGATAGATCTATCCAACACCTGGAAGACACCATCAGAAGGCCTAATCTAAGGATGATGGGTGTAGAGGAACACCTAGAAACAGAAGTTAATGGTCTAGGAAATTTGTTTAACAGGATCCTAGCAGAGAACTTCCCAAACATACAAAAAGATAGGCCTATTCAGATACAAGAAGCTTTTAGAACCCCAAATAGACCAGACCAGAATAGGACATCCCACCGTCACATTATAATCCACACAGGATCAACTCACACCAAGGAAAAGATCCATAAAGCTGTCAAGGAGAAAAGGGTAATCACCTATAAAGGGAAACCAATTAGAATCACCTCAGATTTCTCAGCAGAGACAATCAAAGCAAGAAGAGCCTGGAATGATGTATGCTATGCCCTAAAAACAAACAACTATCAACCAAGAATACTGTACCCAGCTAAACTCTCCTTCATAACTGAAGGCCAAATAAAAACCTTCCATAGCAAAGAAAAATTGAAACAATACATCTCCACCAAACCAGCCCTACAAAAGAT